ACCATGGCAGGTGAGACCACCCATTAGAGGGATCAGAATGTGGCTTGCCCACCTGCCAAGTGTAACTTTTCCTTGCTTTCCCGGCCATGAAATCTGGAAATTGCTGGGAAAATCCACCATGAATCGTTCGATGATTTTCCCCCCCAACGAAACCTCCTTTGAGTTCAGGATTTCCCATGTGGAAAATCGCAGGGGACCACCCGCTGCGGCGAGGTGCTTGCTTCGCGCCTGACACGAGCCCGGAAACCTGGGACATCCTGGGAGCAGATTTTCAGGCCCCAAATTTGGCGACCTTCCAGACATTTTACCATGGCTGGCTGGAAAATCCACACATTTCCTGGGAAAATATGGGGTAATCAGTAATACACATCTATAAGTAGGTGATGTTCCACTGCCAGCTTGATTGGAGGGTACCAATGGAATCGGAGAGAACCTGACAGGCCGTTTCGGCAAAATGATGTTCTGTTTACATCTGTTTACCATGGGATTTTGAGATCCTATGTGTAGACACAGTATACATTATTCTGGGTAAATTATAACGACCTCACTGCGACCTCACTGGAATCATGGTTAATAAGGGGAATCATCCCCAAATGACCTTAATTCAGGTTAGTGAAATATTATAATTTACCAAGATTATTAGTGGCATTTAGACTATTTGGATTCCAAATGCGTTAGAGTCACAAACTTGTTCCTGACTGTCGAGGTGTGTTAGTTTGAGAAAACCTGACTTTCTATCCTGACAAAACTAGTAGACTGGGTCTTTGATGATGCATGGAACGAGTTAACAATGGATCCCCACTATCCCATGGTTTTCCATCACTTTCACGTCTAAAACAATAATTTAGGGCATTTTTTGAGACACCCATATTGTTGGTGAATGCTGCTCATATCTCCCAATTGTGATTTTTACATCCCCTTTTTTGTTGGTAAAAACCATGTAAAACCATCATTCTATGGCTGCTTCATCAACCGAAAAAAGACCTTGGGACGGAGCCAACAACTTGATGCGACTTGGTCTCGTTCCGAGTCACACTCTGCACCACGCGTTGCCTTCAGCAAAGAGAAACGCGTTGACAAGGCCGGCTCCACCTGCGTGTTGCAGGATGGGAAAGGTGGTGAACCCAGGTTGGAATTTGGGGGTTACAGACCATGCCTTGGTTGTGTACAGTACACCCATCAATTAATTCACATCATGATGCACATCCAAATAAATTGAGGATGGTGTCTGTTTGAAATTTACCACAGTTCTCATTTTGGGATGTTTTTTTGTCCTAAATAGAGCTCCGGCAAGAATCACGGGTAATTACTTGCAAGACAGGAAGGGACGATCAATACGCTTGCAGAGGGGGTTCTTGCTTCTGGTTCACCTTTGCAAAAAACATTGACTGCAGATTTATCGGAGATCTTACCGGTTTCTAATCTTGAAACCTATAGAATATACTATATACCATCTGGTAATCAAATATTGCAATGGACAATCTCCTTTTGTGGATGATTTTCCCATGATATAAAACCTCCATTGAGTTTGCAGATTTGCCAGCCATGTTTGATTACTAGAGGGTACACGGTCCAATGGGTACCCCTGTCCCGTTCCCCTGACCACGTTTCACTGCTTGGGGGTGCATGGCCAGGCAAGTGAGTGATAAGCATAATATGAACAAATGAAATTAAATCAATGGAATATCCCCAGCTCGATTTATCGGTTATGTAGGGTTATAAACCACTTAGTGACCCATGATTATATAAGGATAAAGGTTATATAATTTGTATATGGTTGTATTATGTATCTATATATATATGGATATATATGTATATATATGGATATGTATATATATATATATATATGTATGTATATATGTATATATATATATGGATATGTATATATATATGTATGTATATATGTATATGTATATATATATACATTATGGGTTATACATGCACATCCAAGTGGATCTTTCAGGAGAATTGCCTCAAGGGTCTCTCGCCCTATTTCATGAAGGATCCCAATGTGCGGAAGCCCAGCATCCAGGTTCGTGGGAGAAATCCAGCCCTTGGGGCTCTGTGTCACGTCAAGTTTCAAGGGTTACCCTCCAGATCCCTCCAGCAATTTCAAGTAGAAAAGAATTTGTCTCATCCATTTCTAGATATTTGATTAATTATATATAATGCCAACATCGGATTAATCAACCCCCCCCCCCTGGTAGGTCAGTCGGACCTTCTGGCTAGTTTTCTTGACCGCCCCTTAATAATAAGCAACTCTGAACCAAAAAACTTAGGATATGGCTTACGTCAATTAGATCTTAATTGAATTCTATTGGATTTGTTAAAATCTCATGGATCAGAAAGGTGGTTGATTAATCGGGGGCAAACCATGGTTATTATTAATGGGGGACATGGGCTCATGGGGGGTACCCTTTGGGAGCTATCCAAACTGATGATTTTTATAAAGATTTTAATTAGAAATCGATCATTTGGGGAATAGTTGTTTTTTGAATTTTTCAATGATCAACTTAAACCTTAAGTATAACAATGATGATTAAACAAAAAGGTAAAAACAAATTGGAAATAAATAGAATTGGAAATAAAAATTGTTGGATAAAAATTTGATTTCAGCACAGGGGGTTGATTAATACCGCGGGTTTATTAATCCTGGGGGACCACCTCTTTTTAAATTACAAAAAAAAAATTGGGCAGAGGGGGTTGATTAATACCGCGGGGATTATTAATCCTATGTTGGCATTATATATACTGGTTGGTGGTTTGGAACATTTTTCCATATTTTGGGATTAATAATCCCAACTGACTAATGACTAATATTTTCAGAAGGGTGGCAAAAAACCACCAATCAGTATATACATACATATATATATACATATATATCCATGTTTATCCCATCTATTTTTCATCTAAAATTCCCATGGAAAATGTCGAAAATTGCCGGGCCAAAGGGGACGATATGTTTGTTGGTGACTTTTTTCTCGGAAGCGTCTGGCGTCAGACCTAAGGAACCACGTAGCTGGTTGGTGGTTGAAAAAAGCATGGCTTTGATTTTCCATTTCATATATAGGATGTCATCCTTCCCATTGACGAACTCATATTTTTCAAGATGGTTAAAACCACCAACCAGACAGGTTTTAGTCGATCTTTAGCAGGGTTTTAGTCCTATGTAGCTCTATTATAAATTATATGTGAATCATGCAACAAAAGTGGGGCACCAAAAACAATGACTTGACCCATACTCATCGGAATTGACGGAAAATGGGGATGCAATATCCCGCCTGAATGTATACATAATGTGTTATGTACTTAGTTTTTGCATGCTTTTGCAGGCTATTTAAGTTTAGCCATATGAGATTGTCTGAAAACAGGATACCCCAAACCCCATTCTTTGTCACCGTTTTCCAACTACTAGCCAGAAATGGAATAAAGCCCATTTCTGGACAAGACCCAGATTCATATGGTTGGTTATGTATATAATATATTCTATATGGGGTTTCTTGAAATGGGTGATCCCCAAGTCACCATGGGTTTCAATACCAAGATGGTCTAGTTAATTTTGGATGATTGGGGGTACCACGAATTTTAGGAAACCTCCATATTAAAAAATATATACCCCGTTAGAGTACTCTGTGGTAATATGTCTACCTAGGCCAATGTCAGTGGCTATGTTACCAGATGGATCCAGAGGGCACTTGGGGCTGCATTCCCAGGCATATATATATATATGTGTATAATATATATATATATACTCTGAAACTTGGATGAGGCTTTGTCAAGCCCATTGCCAGGAAAACAAACGAAAGGTTCCAGAGTCTCCGCTACTCTCTGCACGCAGCGGGTGGCTGACTGTGTATGCAACACCCTGGTCCCAGAAACGGGGCCGCCATTTTGGAAGCCTTTCCTTCTTCCGGCAATATTGCGGCCCCGTTTTTGGGGCCGGTTTTTGGCCCCATTTTTGGGACCACGAAAGAGCAATCAGGAGCTGCTCGACGGTCCTGACGGCCCGGATTTCGTCCATTTGCTGGCGCCAGCCTTCCTTCTGCAATGCAAGCCGCCATGGACACACACACACACACATCCGTATAATACTGTGTATATAACACAGTAGATGGAATATCCCAGTTAGATTTAATGGTTTACCTTCCTTATGCATGGGTTATTCCTATTACATACATACATACATACAGACAGACAGACATACATACATACATACATACATACATACATATATATATATATGGTCCAGCGTTCCAACCCCCTCCCCCCCGGCCATGGTCATGGGTCAGCCATAGTACTGTGCCCTTCCTGTGGTGTGGTCGGGGTGTGGTACTCTCCCCTCCCCCTCCCTGTGGTGTGGTGGGGGTGTGGTACTGTCCCCCCTCCCCCCTGTGGTGTGGTAGGGGTGTGGTACGGCGCATATATATATATATGTATATATATATATATATATGTGTATATACATACATATGTATGTATGTATGTATGTATGTAATGTATGTATGTATGTATGTATGTATATATATATATAAATAAATAAAAGTGTGTATGTGTAAACATATATATATATATATGTATCTATAATATGTGTATGTATATGTATATATAGATATATTTATAGGAAGTAGATACATAGCACATGTATATATGACTATAGGTAGCACGTAGGTACTTTGAGGAAGTATGTGTGCTACGTAGGTCGCCTAAAAGGTAGCATGTACCTGGTAAATGCGAGGCTGGTAGTCAGAAATGCAGCAAAGACCTAGCAAATACGAGGGTGGACCTCAGAAATGCTGCCAATAGCTTGCAAATAGAAGGGAAGGGGTGCAACCTGGGGACCCATACCATTGGGGGGGGTGGGGGGGGTAGGAACACGGAACACGAGACCATATATATATATAGATTTATACCTCTATTTTTTACATGTATATCTGTAGATATATATATATATATTTAAATTTATACAGTTGATGGGTTATCCCCATGATATCTCTTGAAGAATGAGCGCGCAGGAGCTGGGACCGGGTCAGTACAAGCTGCCTGGCACCCAGCCGGATTCGACCACCAGCAAGACTCCCCTGGTGGATGATTTTCTCGTCATTTTATGGGGATTCAAACTATGAACATATTGGAAATATGATGAGATATGTATACATATGTGATTTCATAGGGATTTTTGTTAGAATCATTTACACATGATGGTGGGTGATTTTCTCGTGACTTAGGGATTTATAAGCAGTGAATTATGGGGATATTCTTGTGAATACAACTGATCAATGATGCTTGATGATTAGTTCTGGGATTATACTACGCAATATATTGGGGAAGATCACAATCCACGAACGGGGCATCCTGTTCTCAACCACCGTTAGTATTTTCAGGGACGACGCACGGCCTGGATCCTGGATATCTTTGGGTAAAACTTGAATATCAACCTAACGGTATCAATTATTTTTGTGGGTACATAATGGGGATATACTGGGCATATACATGGAATGATTGTGACTATCTGAACATGGCCGAAGTTTTCAGCATAGAAAATTTTCCTATAATTATCTATAATTCAGCAAGATCCCTAAGAATTTCTACCGTGATTGCCTGCACAGACAAAACATGGAAACACCTTCTTTTTTTACCGCTTCCCCGAGTCTTGCAGTGGATACACACCGCTCCAGCCCCTGGATCCTTGAATTTCTCATGGTTTGAATAATGTCAGACCAGGTAACGATCATATTTTTGAAGGTATATATGTACATATTTATACATATATATATAAATCACCCACCAGATCAGGATGGATAAAATTGATCACCCTCTGGTAAACCAACATAGCGAACTGGAAAATCACCATGTCTAATAGGTAAATCAACTATTTCTATGGGCCATGGTTTCCATAGCAAAATGTTAAATTACCAGAGGGTACCTCCTTGGTAGCCTCAGAGTCCCCTTGTCGGATGGGAACATCGACGACAATTTGTCGTGAAGAAGCGTGCTCGCCAGCAGATGTTTTGCAATTGCTAGGTATATACTATACACATAACTACCCTGCTATTCGATTTTTTTTTTTTGCAGGGTATCTAAGATTATCCATATCCATTATATATATATATATACATATGTATATATATATATATACACACACCATTATAGCCCCATTGCGGTTGGTTGAACATTTTTTTTGCTTCAACCAACCGGTCATTTTCGCTTGTCCAGGATGAAGCTTGGCATTGGCTGCCAGTCCGTCATCAGGGCGACGCACTGAGGAAGTCGCCTTCGGCGGCGCAGGGGGTATCTGGATCCATGGGCTAGTCTATGATAGATGTTTAAGATGAATAAATATATAAAGTCCTATTGATAATCTATGTGTTTCCAAGTCTTATGTTGTTTCACAAGTGAATGTGATTTCATAAGCCCGATTTGTGAAAGATATATGTGATATATATATATACATAACATAGTTTCACCACAATATCGATTTGAGATCGGTTTATACAGATATGATATCGTATGACTGCCTTTTTAATTTTATCCCTGGCCAGACTGTTAAATGGGTTGAGTTGGGATCTGATTCTAAAGATGTCAAAGGTGTCAGCATTCGTAAAAACCCGGTTTTACATTTTGAAACTGGTTGCTAGTTGCAGAGTTTTACTTTTCAATATTGCTGGCCATTTTGCATGTGCAGTTCGTCCTGCTTAAGTCGCACAACACCAAGCTGCGACTTTGACGTCACAGCTTTGTGGCTATGGTTCAAGATTGAAGTGGATTAAATTATACCGATCTCACTGCGACCTCACTGTAACGATGGTTAGGATTCGTGGAACTAGCATTAACTATCCCAAAATAGCCTTATTTTAGGCTAGTGAATAATATTGAATATAATTACTGGTTGGTGGTTTTGAACATTAATTTTATTTTCCATTTCATACATGGGATAATCCTTCCCATTGACGAACTCATATTTTTCAGAGGGGTGGCAACCAGTAATTATCATTTACCCAGAGCTCGCCGTCTAATTTACCATCCCCAACATCTCCTGAAAAGTTCGATCCTGAGGTCTGCACCCGTTCGCTTTAGTTCGGCTTAAGACTTATCCTGTCCGATTTAGGACTCCAAAAAAAGAACATGTTGGATGGATAGAAACCATAGAAACCATCATTGGTAGTCAATATCCATCAATATCACAAACTAATGGACACGCAATGGAAATAAACATCATAATTAACTTAAACGGGAACTCAATATCCAAAATATTCAATGGATAATCAAGGGATGTCACCAACGAATTTAGATATTCCATGGATATTACCTCCCCAGTAAATCAACAGTTTGGCCCTGAAAACAGATGAACATAGCCAAGAAAATTCATGGAAAGTAATCTTCCAACCCCCGACTCTTGGCAGGGTCTGTGTTAAGTTACTGGAATGTAACCACAATTCACTAGAATAAAACTATCACTAATCCATTTGATGGATATTAACCATAATTGGATATTAGATTTTATCCATCAAGAACCAATTGCTAGTGGATCAATGAATATTAACATTAATATCAACCATAATTTTTACCATTATTAATATTAACATTAATATGAACATTAATATTAACATTAATATGAACATTAATATGAACATTAATATGAACCATATACTTAACTTCATGAGGGACCATATGCAACACATTATGTCAATGGCAATTTCAGGAACCTAAATTGGAGGTACCTACCATATACAAGGCCTATGTAAGGGAATATCCCCACAAGATATGGCCTGAAAAATGGTACGGTACCTCCATTTTAGGATCCTGAAATTCCCATTGATTATGAAGCATTTTGGTCAAAAAATATCATGAACTTCTCGGTGACTTTCGCCAACGTCCCTATTGGCACCAAGGCCAATGCACCGTCTTACTCCATCTGAGCCAGGCCTCTTTTCGCCAATAATTTTGGACCTCAAATTCCCATTGAAAAATTGGGGATTCCACCATATTCCACGATAGGTTTATCTTATTTTATATTCATCAAATACGGCAGATATATATATAAATCATTATAAATCATTATAAATCTACAATCCCAGATTCAGAATGAATCAATATAATGCATAATTTGACGAAAACTTGTTTGTCAGTCCGAGGTTCTGCTTCATGCCTCGGAAAGTTCACATGCAAACGTTGTTCGCGTCACAGGGGGAAACTCACCATCTGTTTGGCTGATAGGGTAGGTACCTGGAAATGGAATAGACCGATATACCCCAAGTTCGATGGTAAAGGGTCACTATTGAAATGGTTGTTTTGAATTGTTTTGCGGTATAGCAACTCCAAAAAGATAGAACCGTGTTTCCAGGATGTTATTATTATAAGATATTATAAGTGATGTTTCCTCCATGGTTTTCAGGTCTTCATCTTTTCTATCCTTCTGCGGGTTGCTATATGACGAGATGAGCAAAGGCGATGGATGTGAGCAGAGCTGGTGTTCAACGTCAAACTGTGAACGTCCGAATTCGAAGTGTTCAACGGCAAACTGTGAAGCATGTCAAATCCCTAGGCCCAGGCAGGGAAACAACTATTGTTGTTGTCGTTGTTGTTGCCTTGTTGTTCTTTTTGTTCAAAAATATATACACGATACAGCAAACCCATTAAACTTGGAAACGCTATGCAATATAGCAATTGAACTCAGTATGGGAGCTGAGATCAAAGCGCGCTTACTTGTACCAGCAATCAATCTTGAAGATTCGAGGGGGCAACATGGGACAAACAATTTCTGCAAGGCCACATATTCCCATTTGGGAAGATCGACCAGGAGGTGATTTCGTTTTCTTTCCCCGACTTGTTATGACATAAGTTGGAATTGTGACCTAGAAATGTGCATGGTTGAACACTCAGACATAGTTCGTTCCCTTTTGCCTTCGAATTGCTCCATGCCAAGCTCCGGCCAATGCAACATGTGCAGCACAAAGATCCAGGATCTCTAGCCGATGTCTCGAATGGACAGAGATTTCGTAGAACATACGGTGGAGTGTTTCGCGAAATCCGAATCACCAGTTAGTTGGTAAACATCCCATAGGGTTTCAAGGTGTTTCAACCATCGGTGCAGGATTTCTCCACTGTACATGACAGGTCTTGAAGGTCAGTGGGGAAATTCCATGATTTCTATGCTATGTGTTTTTGGGTGAGCACGGTGAGCCCTCTTTTGGGGCTTTCATGGGCTTTCTATTTTACAACTAGTACACAGACATGGGGTTGTGTACAAGACAGGCCATCAGCTCGCACGGCGCGGAGCGAAAAGTACGCGTGTCACTGGACTGTTTGGTGGTTTGAGATGGTTTGAGTCTTGTGTTTTTGGATCATTTTGGTGAAACCACCAAGCCGTCAGCTAGATATTTAGATCATTTTCAAACGCCAGAAATGGTTTGCTCTGGCAAGGTCAAGACGTCATAGAAGTGGCGGCATTCAATATGCCAGCCCAGTCTTTTTTCAAACCCGCACCGGATCTGAAACCGAGGTACATGAGAATATCGATGCATTAGGCCGCTTTTGCTGGCTACAGGTGGGATATAACTACATCAAAATTGACTGGGTATGTGTGCTTGCCATGAGATTGAGATTAGAGAAGGGCCTCTTAAGCCATCGTTGCGATGTATGATAATCTAGTACTGTATACATATACGATCATATGTAATCGTGTGTATTTATGTAATATTGATATACAACGCGACAATGATGATGTGATATAATGTGGGCTTCCACAAAAATAGGAGATCCTTTTTTTCGCATGGTTTTTGTGTATTTTTCTTGAAAGACCTAAGCGTCGATCAAAAATCCTTATTTTCAGCGATCCCTTGCAGGTCGAATCGCGGCGCTTTTTTTTCATTGAGTTAGGACTCAGTGATGACCAGTATCCAGTGGATGTTGTTTGATTCTTGGTGATTTCAACATGGGATCTAAGATGCTGAATAGGGTATGATATATACCCTCTGGTGAACTAACATAGCAATGGAAAATCACCATTTTTCATGGGAAAATCCACTATAAATAGCCATTTTCCATTGCTATGTTAGTTCACCAGAGGGTATATATATATATATTGTATGAATATCAGAAGTGTGTTTTCAATCATCGAGACTTGGGATTTCAGATGATTTCTGTCCGCAGATTTCACTATTTTGGAATGGGTGGCTCAACCAGCAATCAGAAAATGTTTGGAAATCACGGAAAAAACAGAAATACATCAGACTGCAGAGGGTTGATGGTAAATGATCTGCAAACTTTCAGGCTGTTCAGGTAGGAAGAGTCATTCGACGTTCCGGGTCACCCAGCAGGCTTTGGCAAAAGCGACAATGACAGTCGCCGGCCTCTGTGGGAGCCACACTCTTGTGGGCTTGCAAGCAACATTTGCCATCCAAGCCTTAGCTGGTTGGTGGTTTGGATTTTTTTTTATTTTCCATAATATATGGGATAATCCTTCCCATTGACTTTCATATTTTTCAGAGGGGTGGCTCAACCACCAACCAGTTAGAGTTAAAAAACGAACTTCACTGGGTCTGGTTACCGGCACGCTTAGTTCATCCCGCGGGTTTCCTTTTTTGGACGCTGCGTTGCAGCGTTTCAGCGTGAGCAGAATCGTCCAAGGTCCAAATCATGAAGATCCAAAGGCCTGAAGGGTCCAAAAAGTTCAAAACGCGAAACCCATCCGAGATACCTAGTTTAGCTCATTCCTTGAAAGACACCTAGCAGACCTAGCAGATGCGTCGTCAAAAGTGCAACTTCCTTGTGCTGGGGGATGTTGCTCGACCCATTTTGGCTTCACCATGAAACACAGGGTGATGTGACAAAAAAGATGCTTCGATTTGGTACATTTTCCATGGATTCAGGGTTTCAATGACCTAACACCTATTGTTCTCCTGATAGGGCTTCACCAAGTTTGCAATGCCCACTGAAACCCACTTGGCGCCCAAATCAAAAGAAGTTTAGTTAGCAACCTTCCAAGTTACGGACAAATGTCAATGGATAGCAACCGCAGCTCATCAAGTCAAAACTCAGAGTAGCTGAGGGGGAACAATCGAATGTCTGGTGGTTTCAAACATTGTTGTTCATTTGAATCTGACTTCGATCTCGACGATGATCCCACATGATTTTTCAGAATTTTTCCATGGAGTGGATCAACTACCAACTAGGCTCGGGTGGAGACGCCTGACCATGAAGCACCGCAGCAGCTGGATTCCCATCCTTTGAAAATGGCGGTGGTGCTGTTTCTAGGGCACTTGCCATTTGAACACAGGGTAGCTGCCGCTACCATCCCCTGAAACGTCCTACAATTTGGAAGTCGCAAAATTACATCCCAGTCATGATGATCATGAGTAGGAGGGCAGGAAAAAATATATGGAAAACAATCTGTGTTGGTTTCGTAGATGTTTATAACATTTTATAACCAACAAATTTAAGTTAAAACCCTGCATTCTTTACCACCCTGCAGAATACATCCCCTCGACATCTTCCCTCCCTGTGGGGCGGCGGGGTTTCTCCGACGAATGGCGGTGGAAGTGGAAAATGTGCTTTGGCTTTAAAGGGGACCGGTCGAGTTGTTGGGTTCGGGGTTATCGAAAACCACCCGTTATTTGGCTGTAGCAGCTCTAGCATGGTCGTTTTCTATCGTTTTCACCGGCATTTTTTCGAAAGGAAAGTGGCATGCAAACATCCGAACCGACAAACATTCGAACCAACTGCAGATGGGACCGGACTAGTTTCAGACATTTTGATCCGTTGCCAGAGTCAGTTTCCTACGAGAATTTTGCAGTTACATACCTGTCAAAATGGGGGGTTCACCAGTTAATACCTATCAAACTGGGTTTTGATTTTGAAACAAACGTGGACATGATACACAAACCCACAACGACCCGGACCCACTGAATCAAACTGGACGTGTCTCTTTGTCGGAACATGTCGGAACCATGGTTATGTAGGCCTCCGAACCTATGGGTTTGTCGAAACATTGCTTCGGCATGGTTGGGTAAAATCAATGATTCATGATCGTGTTCAATTTCCCTATATAGTAAAATTGCCACAAGATAGGGTACTGTATGAATTGAAGGACTTGCGGAGAAGATACTTAGATAACCCCCAAAATCAATACCAATACCCTCAATATTTCCTCAGAAGGTACGACTGGATCCATAGGGGTATATATAGAGCTAATTGAAATTATGCCCCATGACGGACACCCATATTTGGGGTAGTTCACCATGGTTCCCAGCATTTCCCAGCCCATTATCTCGATTTTTTTGATGGTCGACAAATGTCAACTATATACTTATTATATACAAAATATACAAACATGTGCAAAACTTCGCTGAAATTGATTAGAAAGTCCCCCGTGACACTCCAGATTTTGAAAAAACCGGTTGTAGAAAAGGACTGAGGACAGAACCAGGAAACCTTTCCTAAAGATCCACCAAATTGGCTTGCAGTTGGGCCAAAAACGTGAAACCCTATCATGTTCATCCATTGTTCTGTATCTTCTTTCTCTAAGAATGGGTGTTCCAATTGCTTTCTTCTTCATGTTTATTTACTGTACATCTAGTCTTCCGGCCAGGATACTTTATTTTGGTGCTGCTGCTTTCTTTGTTCCGTATACGCCATCAGGGTTTTGACAAATATATACATATATATATATATGTTAGATATCCAACCAACGAGATCAGATGATCAGCATTCCAAAGTAGATTCCATGCTGATGGCCTAATGTCAACCCAAGATCAATATATGGATGTTTTTGGGTTGTTTAACTTCAAGGGGTGGGATTGCAATGACGCAAATCATCACCCATTTAAGGGGTTTTACCTTCCGAATCATTGTTGAAAATTTACGGTTTTATCATCAACTGATAGTCAACAGTGGTCAGTGGTGAGGGTGTTTACCCCTTGGAAATTAGCTGTTGAAGTTGTACATGAGTTTAATCCACCTTTTTCGCCATCATCGACAAACCGTTCACCTAGGCCAGAGACGACGACCACCCGTGCGCCGTCGCGGCAATGCCTTTGTGCGGTGCATCCCAGCTTGCCGCTACTTGCTGTGGCCATCAGCGGAGCAGGTCACCTCCATAGATCCCACTGGAAAAACAGCGGAGTAAATGGATCTACCCTCTGGTAATGACTAACATAGCTATGGAAAATGGCAATTTATAGTTGATTTACCTATTGAACATGGTGATTTACCATAGCTATGTTAAATTACCAGAGGGGTAATGGTCTCAAAGTAATGTGTCAATCCCCTAGGAAAAACCACGGTTTCTGCGGTGGTGTTGAATCTTGCTGGAGGATTATCATCTTGGTAGATAAATTCTATGTCAAATGCATCATTAAGTTTTGTAGTATGTTTTATACTATCTCATCTCTATCGATCTATATAATTAAGTATTGCATGTTGATTGATAACTCCCTAATGTTAGCCGAAAACAAGCGAACTGTTATTTTTTTGAACCTTTTAGAACAAAACCCCCGATGCTCGTTGAACAAAACTTTATGTACTTCCCTAAGATTTTATTTGATTTCTAACTGGTTGATAGCTCCATGTACTTCCCTGAGATTTTATTTGATTTCTAACTGGTTGATAACTCCATGTACTTCCCTGAGATTTTATTTGATTTCTAACTGGTTGATAACTCCATGTACTTCCCTGAGATTTTATTTGATTTCTAACTGGTTGATAACTCCATGTACTTCCCTGAGATTTTTTTTGATTTCTAACTGGTTGATAACTCCATGTACTTCCCTGAGATTTTATGATTTCTAAAACAACAACCGTTGCGGCCCAACCTCGCCCCACTGCGCCACAGGCTCCGAAGTCCAGATTTTGGACGCCCGCAGCTTGCAGCGCCACGAGAGTCGCGGCCTGGCGCTGACCAGCGACGAGCGGGTGTCGGCAGTGGCATCTCGGGTTGAGGCGTGACGTTTGGAATGATGGTTTCCATGCTGGGAAATTAGCATAATTATCCCATATGTTATGGTAATATTTATATGCTGATAATGGGATTATTTATCATGAGTAATTGATGGTATTATTACAGGATGGTGGCTCCCAGTTATAAGTTATTAACCATCCTGTATAACAACATTCTGGTGGTTTATAACCACCATATGTGGTTTATACAGGATAAGTTGGTGTATAAACCACATGAATACTATAGTTATATATATATATCTACCATGAACCATAGAATTCAGCAACTTACAGGGCAACTGAACGCTATCTTGGGGGCCCCATCCTGGAGGGAATCATCCTAACATGACCGGAAAAAATCAGCTTGGTGAATCATTACAATTCAGCCAGCCTGATAAGTGGATAGTTGGGAAAAACACATGCTGATAAGGAGAAATCAGAGGGTTTGTAGTTTGGTGACATTTCTTTGGTTGTTGATTGATTGCTTATTCTCCATAGGTTCCAGCGCAATTAACATGTCGTCTAGCAACATATGGGAATACATCGAGAGTTTTTGCGGTTGATGTTTATAGAAAGGAGTATCCCACCCAATAATTGGGGAATGTGAGCTGACCCGCTATGTGCCGAACGGATTTTCCATCCTCCCCAGGGGGTAGTCGTGCAACAGCCCTTTTAGCTTTGTCATGGTCTATTTTAGTTGGGATGGTATCTGTAAGCAGCAAACGACATGGGAGTTCTGCAGCCAATTCTTTGGAAACATTGAAGGTACAGAGTCTTTCTATTACTGGTACTTTTTCTTTTTATCCATTCTTTTTCGCATGCTTAGTTTCAGGACACCCTTCATATATTCCAGATTTTGAGAATTTCATTTTGAACCATACCATACTCATGTGTGCTCCTGATGGTTTTTGGTGAAACTTGCGGCTTGACATATGCTAACATCAATGCATCGTTCCCGCAAAAACACGGGCACACAATTAACCAGTGGAACTTCACTCGTTTGATATCCAATTGTATTCCGTGATTTGTTGCTTAAATAAAAGCCAATTTTGATGGTTATTTCGTATTGGTCTGGTTTTTGTAGCTGAACCTTGTGCATCTTGTGCTCAGTGTAAGGACGAGCAAAACACCGTTTTCTTGTTCAAATGTACCTGTATGGTGGTCGAACTTCGTAAGCTCCACGTTTGGCGAAGAAACCTGTCATATTGGTGGTTGAACTAACTTTCTAAGGGCCTACAACATCCAACAGCAATATTTTTGCGGTAAAACCTAGATTTTGATCTTTAGAGCAACATTTGTTTTAACTTTTAGTTTTTACCAACCCTTGTTGTATATACACCCACAATTTTGGTGTTTAAACCATTTGTTCGGTGGTTTAATCATGTTTAATCCATCTTCTTGGTGGTGAAACTCACAGTTCCAGTGTTTAAATTCCAGATTCTTGGTGTATAGCTTCAGCTTTCACTATTTTACTTATTCTTTCGCCATTGTATTTTTTTTGGGTTTGCTATGCTAAATCCCACATTTTTTGGTATAAACCCCTTCAAATTGACCTTTTCATAAGGCATGGCATCCGCGTCGTGCGCTGTTGGCTCTGCTGACTTCCCGTGGTGGCAGCCGGATCCATATCTTGACCTCTGAGAGGTCAGGGACTTCACCATAAACCCAAGCCCAGTGGGACCATTCTTCCGGCTTATTGATCAAGACACAAGGGAATATCCTCTGGTAAACGTTTACATAGCTATGGAAAGTCACCATGCTATTAATGGGAAAATCCACTATTTCTATGGCCATTTTCAATAGCTATGTAACAAATTACCAGAGGGTATCAGTTGTTTCAATATGTTTTTCAGTTTTTTGTTGATGAACATCCAACATCATCCAACTATATACTGGCGATTTTGATGTAAAAAATCAGGGGCAGTGCTATATTCCAAACATGGATTATTAAGCACCAAGAATGTCAAAGAATAACAATCTTGTTGTGCCTCCGTTGGTGCCCTATTTTTGAGCCATAGCCATGATGACAATCATCACCTGAATCCTGACATTATTTTTACGTATTGGCCTCCGATTCACTTCTACCGTCCGGTGTTGGTAGCCGCCCGACTCTCCCCCGAAAACCGCAGGAGTCAGGTCCAATCAGGTTTTCGGAAAACCGGGAATTTCAAGCGGGGTTGAAAGTGGTTTAAGCCAGCAAAATAGTGGGTTTTAACCAGGAAACCTGGGATATTTTTATATAGATGGAAGCCCGTCTGGGGATCAGCATTCAGGGTTGTTACAGCTCCCATTACCATGTAAGATATACTTTTAAGTATCTTTATAATATGTAATTTTCTAATTTTACTTAAGATATGTATGTAAATTAAGTATGTAATTACAGTTGTATCTAATGATATGTATAATACGTATGTAATTTTACTTGAGATATACTTTAAGTATGTAAATTTTGAAATTATCTTCCTGCGCTACCAGGGTGGACCGCCCCACCTTTCGCTGCCACGCCGCCCTGACGGAGCGCGAGCTCTTCGGAAACGACGAAAACGTCGCGCCGCTGCCAGCCGTGTGCTGGGCGCGCGATCAGCTGCTGCTGGGGGGAGAGATGCTGTGTGCCGCGGTTGGGGAGTTGCCTGTTGGGGAAACTACTGGGAATCAGGTCATCTAAGAATTTGTTATGGCAAAGCACGGCCTGTTTCTTCACAGGCCGTCGACCGGTTACAAAACAATGCAGGGAGCTGATTGGGCGAGGGCTGATGCTCTTCTAGACTGTTTGGTGGTTGCAACCACTTTTATGATCTTTCATGTAGCTTATATATATATACAGTAGTGGGATATTCTCGATGTGGGCTTTGCTTGGACAAACTTTGATTTCAACCTCTCGTTTGTGATATTGGGGTGATGAGCGAGATTCTGTCCGGAAGGATGTGAGGCACGAAGCAAGGTCAGCAAGTCTTGACAGTCGAGACTGGCGGTGAATATGGTTTACACCACACACTGAGTTTACATACGTAATAATATACATGTTAGTGTAATCAAATCAGGGTTGCAAACCAAAGTTTCGCCGCTTACAGCGAATATATGTTTAACTGCTCCATGCTTCTGACAAACACTTTCAACATTTTTCAACACATATATACAGTGTGTATATATATAATAACCTCTATACATCATTCACAATCGGCGGACTCTACTTCTTTACTAGCCTCTGGTGCCATCAAACATGGCTAGCTGGAACATGACCACCCCATGTGGGATTTTCCCGCCATGTTTGATAAAATCGTTTCGGGTACCCAGAGAACAAGGGCGTCCTGACCTGGGACTCTGCAGGTGCTTGCCCGCTGGCGCGCGGTTTAAGCGGCGATACACCACGCTGCGAAGTGCAGAAGCTGCCGAAGGGTGAGCCGCCCATCGTGCAACTGCAGATGGACGGGACGGGGCAAGTGCGCAAGTGCCCTTTGCGGTAGACAACCAGAGGTATATAGTATAAAGTCATATAAAGTCTGCATCCAGCATTTTGAGCCATTGATGGTGAATGTATTGGTGATGCTGAGCCAGGAGACCTCTGAACGTGGCTTGGTCGAAAGGTGGGTGAGAAAGGTCAGAACCACTTTTTTTTTTCGGGCTGGAAATTGCTACCATCATTGGATCCTTTTTTGTTGTTTGATGTTGTTTGTTTGATTGGAGGTTTCGTTCAACATGCCTTGGGTTCGTTAGCTTGACTCTTGAATCGGATTCTGTACTTCAAGAAACAGGAATGCACCCAACTTCTATATCTCCAACTTTTGTTGATCACCTTTGGTTCCATGCATAGATAGATCTGGATCAATTGAATCATGACCTGCGCCTTGGTTCCATGATGGTGCTGTAGCCGAAGCTTTCAGGTTTTTCAGGTCTTTCAGGTCGATACCATTTCATATACCATAAATATACCATTAATGTGGATGATATACAATAATGGTAAATTAACTATTAAATTGGTATATAAATGGTATGTTAATTTCATATACCATTTAATCTGGGTAAATTTCATCACGACCTCACTGGTCTCCTCACTGGGAATCATGGTTTTTATAGGGGAATCATCCCCAAATGGGCCGCAAGATTCAGATTAGTGGAATATTATAATTTACCCAGATTAATGTGGATGATATACCATTATTCTGGGTAAATTACAACAATTCACTAACATGAATTAAGAATAATTAAGGCCATTTGGGGATGAATTCCCGAATCCGAACCATGATTATAATGAGGGAGAGCAGTGAGGTCGTGATGAAAATTTCCCAGATTATTGTAAGTATCCAGATAGATGTTCAAGTGTAGTTATACCGTCTCAAAAGCCAGTTATATCACTGTTATATCCCCTTGTAAGATGCTATGCCTGATGTCAGGATCAAATGGAATGGTTGGAGCTGAATAGATGGTATATCCTTTGTGATACAAGTACGGGTAATTACAAATATGTATTATGTATCAACTGACTGTTAATGACTACTAATGTTACTAATGACATCTAATGACTATTACTGACTAGCACTAACTAATAACTAGATCACGCCGGGGATAGCGGCGCTGGTGCTTTTCAGCTTCGCACGCAATAGTCATTATGTAAGGAATCAAGATCGTATTGGAAATACTATAGGAAATGCCACAACCGAACATCACGAGCGTGTTAAAATGTTCTCATGTTCATAGCGTAGAAGCAAGGCCGTTTTGGAAATTACTAAAGGAAGTGCAATAACGTAACATCACGAGCGTGTTAATATGTTCTCATGTTCATAGTAGAAGCAAGCGCGTGTTGGACATTAATATAGAAAGTGCAAGAACGTAACGTCACGAGCGTGGAAAAATGTTCTTCTTTTCATAGCGTAAAAGCAAGAGCGTGGTTCGAAATTACTATAGAAAGTGCAAATGTGCAAGAACGTAACGTCACGAGCGTGTTAAAATGTTCTTCTGTTCATAGCGTAGAAGCAAGAATGTGTTGGAAATTACTATAGAAAATTACTATAGAAAGTGCAAATGTGCAAGAACGTAACGCCACCTGCGTGTGAAGAAGCAAGAGCGTATTGGACATTACTATAGAAAGTGCAAGAAGGTAACATCACGAGCGTGTTAAGATGTTCTTCTGTTCATAGCATAGAAGCAAGAGCGTGTTGGAAATTACTATGGGAAGCGCAAGACGGAGAATCAAAGAACGTAGACGATTGCAGGTTATTAGCCCCACCCCACCCTACCCCCCCCACTCCACCCCATGCAAAAGGTACCGTGAACATAAATATCAACATCATCAACATCTCTGAAAAAAAAGAAAAATGCTAAATTCCTCAGCGCCTCTATCCCCGGCGTGAAGCAATAAACTAATAACTAGCACTAACTAACAACTAGCACAAACTATTATATCACAACTAATAAGAACTATTATGATTATTCTCCATGCCCTGTTGATGACTCAATGACTACTAATAGATCTCAAGAACTGAGGCTTCTTGGCCTCAGTCCATGGTGGCGGCAATCTGCGCGTGTGGTGGGCCAAGGAGGTACCTCTTTGTTGGGACCGAGGGAAGGCCTTGAATCACTTGGTTGATACATGATGGTTGAGCCACCAATTCATGGGAATTCATGGGGATGTAGTGGGATCATCAACAATTAGGCATTTCAATGGGGATATCTACTGGGGATATCATGGGATAGAAGGAGGTGTATAACGTTATATAACTTATATAACCAAGAATTAGTTGATACCCGGTGTAATCTACCATGGTGGGCAAACCATGTTTGATTACTGGAGGGTGATGGTTGACCCAGTAATTTATGGGGATCTCATGGGGATACAATGGGACATCAACAACAATTAGGGTTGTAATGGGCAAACTATGGTAAAATAATCAATGGTTAATGGGTATATAACGGATATATAATGGGGATGTAACATATATTCAATGGGGATGTAAAGAGGATGTCATGGATGGGGATGTAATGCGGATATAATGAGGATATAAAGGGGATGTCATGAGGATATTTTCACGGTTTTTTTTTTCGTTTTTTTTTTTTTTCCGGCAGGTACACACAGAGGATTCTCCCACGACTCGTAACTGCTTCGTTGGCCATTTTGGCCATTTTGGCCATTTTGGCCATTTTTTGGGGGTCGTTAAATTGGGTACCTGTTCACCTGGCACATCCCCAATATTCCATGATGAAGGGTCTGGATCTCACACCCCATATGGGGGATGGCCATCCATAGGGCTTACCCTCTGGTTATGTCACAGTTTGCTATCGAAAATGGTCATAGAAATAGTGGACTTACCCATGAAACATGGTGATTTTCCATAGTTATGGTAGTTTACCAGAGGGTACTGTAATCTACCCAATAATTACTGTGTTACTGGGATTCCCAATAATTCTGGGATAACCATGACCAGTTCATCCCATGTAACTTGACCATGGCAGGAGGACTGTCCTGCACGGAGCCGTGTTCGGCGCCGTCCGGAAAGTGTGGGCACAGTCTTGGGATGTTGCAGCGAGGCAGGGGGGTTCTGGGTTATCTTAAGGTTGCTTCCCAGATGTTGGTTCAATACAGGTTCAAATGAGTTACTATACCAAACATTTCATTGGGATATAATGGGATATGTATGTATACCCGAGGGGCTAGGACTTCTCCGATGGGGAGGGGTGGGGTGGGGGTGATACGGTTTATGATGCTATGCTGCGGATGTGCTTCGTCACGCATATTGGGTGCGGTGGGGTGGGGTGGGGTGGGGGTAATAACCATATTTTCGGGTATATACCTAGGCTACAAGGGCTTTGACTCATAGCCATATATATATATATTTAAATACACACACCATGATTATGTTCCGGTTAAATCTCACAAAAATGTTCCCATGAAGATAATGCATTCAAACATTTTTTTCACTAATGATGTTCCATGGTTTAGTATGAAATAAATGTATTTATTATTAATTTTATATACCAGTACTAATCATCATCAGTACATGATGTGATAATATTTTATTGTATGTACTACTAATAATGACTAGTGTAATTATAAGTGCTATATACCATGTAATAATTAGCACTTTTTTGTGTGTACTTTTCTACCATTATTAGTGTAATACTTATTACTTATTACTGTATATGTACATATAATGATAATCATTAATTCTTTTCATGTGTACTAATATATAGATAGATATATGATTAGGCCAATACTTACCCATTGATAATGTTCCACATATAGCACTGAGCATTGTATATCGTAGTACACTAATGGTGCTTATGATATATGTATACTAGTAGTATAATGGTACTACTAAAATGATACCATTGTAATTACTAGTACCATTATTGCACTATATAAACATATAGGAATATATATCATATCTGGAAAATTATGTACATATACTACCAATAATTTAGTACCATATCTAGTATAAACTACTAATAGTACCATTCTTGTACTAATCCTTATTAACAGTGTTATATCTCCAGGTCTTGGAACGTCATTGCCTGGCAGCCAGATGGGCGCCACGAAAGAGGCCGAGTTTTGCCGATTTTTTTCTTTTTTTTCGGGCGATCTGATGGAGGAAAATTTAGGGTGATTTCATGGGGGTGAATGGTAATGGGATTTCATGGAGGTTTAATGGTGATCTAATGGGATTTCATGGTGGTTTAATGGGAATGTAACAAGGAATTGAACCATATTAAACCTTCAGTGCATGGTTTGTTAATGTTTGTTATGTACATACTACATAATCATATAGGTATATATATATGTATAAATATCTCTGGGTAAATTATAACGACCTCACTGTTCTCCCTCACTATAATCATGGTTAATTTACAGGAAATCATCCCCAAATAGCCGCAAGATTCATGTTAGTGAATTATTGTAATTTACCCAGAATAATGGTATATCATCCACATTAATCTGGGTAAATTATAATATTTCACTAACCAGGTGTACCGACCACATGTCTGGAAAATTATGTTAACTGAAACGTCACACGTAAAAAATATGTTTTTCCGATGATCCGACACGTAAAATTTTCCCAGTCCCGTAGGGTAGTGGTTTTTTTTACATGACGCCGGACTGGGAAATCCCCAAGTTATGTATGGTTCATGGAAAAATCCCAATCTAAAATGGATGATAACCGGGGGTACCCCCATTTTAGGAAACCCCTATATACACACAATTATATAATCCTAACTGGGCAGGTTCTTGGTAACTTCAACGATTCCACGGCAGGTGCCGCGTGCCCGGAGACTCCGTTTCTCCTGCGCTGTTGGTGTCGCTGAGCACGCTGGAGAATGGACGAGTGACAGTTGCTCGGCTGTTGCATGTGAGGAGAATAGCGGATAGTATAAAAATCATATAGCAAATATACCAACCGGCTTTAAACAAATGGCAACTATATGCAACTATAAATGATTGGCATGGCATATTGGTTTAGTCAAAAGAATATGGCATTTACTTTCAAGATATGGCGATTTTCTTGGAGCAAACAATGATCAATCACAGTACTTGTCTGGTTCCATGACCAGGGCGGAGCTTCCAATATGTTGACCCCCCAACGAATGAAGGTCTTCCGGTTGGAGGTTGACAATGAATGAAACATGGTGGCATTTGGCAGTTTTGGGACTATCAAGAAATATGGCAGTAATGGTCTTCCAAAAAAGATGGGAAGCCCATTTCATGCCAAAAAAACTGTTTTTTTTCTTCAGCAGGCATTGAAAAAACAGTTCAGACTTGGTAGAAATCTGAAAGGATTTCCGTTGAGTCAATGGGGTCCTTACCTTTGAAATACTGGGTGGTGGTTTGGAACATGGTTTTTTTGACTTTCCATATATTGGGAATAATAATCCCAACTGACTAATATTTTTCAGATGGGTTGAAACCACCAACCAGAATAGTTTGACCAATTCAATCATTCTGCAATTATTTTCTTTCAGTGTCTCGAGGATGACAGCCCAAAATCATTCAACATCTATCAGATTTGAGGGGAAAACACAAGACCCGTGACAAAATGGGTTACAAAATCTGATGCTTCCCTCCAAAATCAGCGTTTGTCCAAAAGTGGGGTACCCCAATGAGAACGAAGTCTTGTCATCATTTCCCCCATCGAACTTGCCGTATTTTGGGTGTAAATACCTCATTTGCAGACCAAAAAAAACATCCGATTCTTGGTGACACATCACAGTAAGTATCCCCCATCATATCCCGGTAGAATGGGTCAAATATCATGAATATATGCTTTGTTCCATAGCCCTGCGAATTTTTGTTGGTGAAATCCCTTGAAGCTGGAAAATCTGGAAAGAACTTGGCAGGTTTGGAGGGAATCCTGTCTGGATGAAGCTTGCGCTTTCTTGCCAGAGGCAGGAGGCGATAGTCGATGATAGATATAGGACGAACATTAATAGTAGTTTGTGGGTAGTGGGGATTTAATATGGATGGGGAGACACAGTGGTGAAATGGGTATGCTGGTGAGTAGTATGTTACTATATGTCAGTGTGTTTCCTGTTTCCATTTCTAACATGCCTACGACGACCGGTACATCTCAACATTCCGCGTTGTTTTTGATGAACACCTATGATACCATATGGATAGTGATAGTGATGAACATCCATAACTATCCAGAGCTATCCACAACTAGCATCCTCAAGTGGGACATTTTTCAACGAGGACGAGGGGCTTAGAATCCATGCTTTGAGGCGCGCTGGAGCGCCAGCTGTGACTGCGCCTTCAGTTGGGTCGCGCCCAATTGGGAGGAGGAGATGAAGTCAGGGTGGGGATGTGGGGTGGGCCTTGATGGTTTTTTTCATGCAAACCATGGAGGAATGACATCATCTCTATGATATCTTCATCTTAATTGCACAAACTTGACTTTGTTGCAAGGGACCCAGGGATGTAGGGTATCTAAGATGAGGTATATACAGTATGTCTACCCACATTTCGATGGTTTTCCCGGGGATAACACCCACTGGCACAGGACACCAGCCCAAACTTGGCTTGAATTGGCACTGACTATTCTGTTCTTGGAGTAAATTTGGCATATACATGGCTGGGTCATGAAATGGGGACCAACAAACCTGAAGATTCGGAAGGCAAAGCGGAAAACGCCGCAAAGACAGGGGCTGTGACATGTGAACCCCTCAGGAACCACAACCCCAGCCTGGCGCCACAGGAGGAGGAGCTGAATGACGCCCCGCCCGAGGACAAAGTGCCCCTGCGCGCCACGGAGCATGGGACCGCTTCCGCGAGCGCGGGGACGATGGGCTCCGTGCAGCTCGCAGCTCGGCGGCGACCCGAAAGGACTAAGGCAACTAAGGGGTTCTAAAGCAGAAGCATCATCAACCTCAAACTCAAGCTGATGCTTTTGAAGATGTGTTTACTGTAAATGTTCAACCTTTCGTTTTCCTCCGATGTTATGACATGGGATGATCGAAGTGTACGAGTGAGCAGTATTTTCATAGGGTAGGTTGAAACCCTCCAATCGGATTTCGGCCTCTTGTGGCCGATCTTCCAACTTGATGTGCTGATGACCCAGTGGGACCAGCACAAAGTGATCGCAAGTGGTTCAACCAACGGTTTATTTGATTGCACTTCAAACGTCAAAAGTCCAAAGAGGTAAGAAAAACCTTGTGGGCCTCTGCCCATGGCAGGGTCTGCCTACCCACTTTGTGTAGAGAGAAAGTACCCACCAAGTGATGCTAGCCATTCATTGAGGTCTGGGGTAATTGGATGGACACGACTGCTTGGATCACATGAGATCACATCGTCCAAGGTGATGCTGGCCGATGGCGGCACCGTGCTATGGACCCTAGAGTGGAACGATATCTCCGCGCCGATGAAGACAAGTCAAGAGGCGCGTCCACCTGGGGATTTCCCCGATGCCGTCATTGGCAACAGGAAGACCACGATCGGTCGGAAAGCCCAAAAAATCATTGGCCTTTCACGATGCAGAAACATCTTCGAAGGGTAACATCATTTGTAAATGGTTTCAAATGGATTCAAACGGGTGATTTTCCATTGCCAGCTTAGACTACGGGATGGATTTGCAACATTATGTCCTTAAATATCCGTGACGTTCCTTGACTTAATCGTTCTAGTGTGATCACCAAGTCCGTGATTGCCCTGGGAAGAATTCCTGGGTAACCAGAGAGATTCCTTGAGGGCCCATCGGAGCGGACAATGAGATGCTAAGAGGCTGCTATGACTCATCAACTTTAACGCGGGCTCATGATTCACAGGCTTGCTCCCCAAAACATTCCCAAATTCATCGACAATCTAGCATGCAAATCCAAACCACTGAAGTGAACAAGATCCCTTCAGCATGATTATCAGCCTTGGCGACTATTTTCAGTCTCAGCTCTCGCTTGTCACTTGGTGCATCCCAGGAACAGGTGGTACTGTACGTATCATAAACATAATTGGCAATGCATTCAGCAGGCACGCGTACAGGTGATATTCGATAGATCATGTTAGGTTACAGGGATCATGGTACATTAGTTGTGAAGTTCACGCGCGCGGATCAGGTTACGTAATCAGAAGGGTTGTTATTTTATGCGCAACCCGCTCTTGATGCCACCCTCTTAAGCAACTTGCAACATGCTCTTGATGCTACGCTCTCAACCTTCTTAAGCAAACATTTGTTCCCAGCAGTTTTCCACGACGCTTGTATCATGGAATCAAGACACAAAAACATCCAGAACTTGATAAGTTCCTTTGCGGATACTGTTGGCGACAATCCTTAGGTCCACTGACGCTTGAGGAATTTCTGAAAGAAATCTGCAAAGCAGTGAAGGCATGCAAATGCTTCTGAGACGAGCAGAAAATGTGCTTCAGCAACCCCAAGTGAAGAAATGACATGCAAGAAAAAAGTAGGTCTTCCAAGTTTACAAAAGGCTGTTTTTTTTCCAGACAACAAGTTGAACAGTGATGTGACGAAAACGACTATATCATTTATGTTGACCTGCTCACCAAACCACACGACTAATTGTGGGTCGGGAACCGTGCAGTTTTTGTCCAGTTAGAATTCCTGGGATTTCGCCATTTAGGGTAAGCATTTCCGATTTTTTGGCTCCTGACTCCTGACCATTCAGTTTCTAGAATGACACACTCGCCTCCACTGACCATCATGGTTTTTACACTTGGAGAACCATGACCTGTATATATCGTACCTATGGATACCTACTTGGTGGTTCATCCCACTTAGTAAGTGGGTTATAACCCCAGTTATAAATGGGATAAGTAGGGTTAATCCACTTATAACTGGGGTTATAACCCACTTACTAAGTGGGATGAACCACCAAGTATGGTATATCATTGGGGATCTTCCATGGGCCATGGGTTGTAACCCATCAAGGGTCACTCCACCATGCCTCAGGTTCACCGAAGCCCCTGCACAGCTGTGGCTGGCCGCAGCTTCTGTGAGAGTGGCATCTTCGGTTACGGAGGCGCGGAAGGGACACGGTGCGGGCGGTGCACTTCGCCACTTTTCGACGCTTGGGTTTTGACATGTTTGAAACAAGAAATGGGTCACAACCACAGAGAACAAACACAATTGGTTGATCAACATCCCAACATAGACCATTCCATGACCATTTTTGGGATGCGACGTAGAGGATTTCAGTGTTTTGAATGGTTTTGACATGTTTTGAGCCATTTCCAAATGTCCCTCTTTTTGGATGTTTGAGCCCTACACTTTCACAAGGTTCTTGGAGATGAACGTAAAAAATAGGACATTTCGGGACCAAAAAAGAGGACCTCAAATCTTGTCATGGTTGGGAAGGTCTCCAAATGTTGGGAAACACCAATGTGATCCTACATGTAAGCCATGTAAGCAAATAGAATTTGGGCTTCAACCCGACCCATTTGAAGCGCCGTAAACGGTGCTTCAAGGTCTGTTGGATATGAGTTGATCATGACTGGGCTGACCAATTGCCAGAGCCCTCTTCCAGCCAAAAGACAAAGTCGTGCTTTTTTTTTAAAGAAATGACTATATATATATAGTTGCGGCGAAGCTTTCCCTGGAAGTCGTGCCTTTTTGCAAAACGCAGGGGAACTCTGGTGATCTCAGCGCGACCATGGTTTTTAGTGTTTTAGTGTTTTTTCTTGCGTTCAGGTTGGCTTTAGGTATCTACTTATGCTTAGGTCGTATGTAATGTTTGTTGCGTTCAGGTGGGGGAAACTGAGTTTGGTGCAGCTGCTTTCTTATCAGTCACTTTTCGTTGTTCTAAATTTCACCGTTATATATATATATATTTAGCAACTATTGTTAAACTGCTTCTCAATTGCTGGCTGCTGCTCAGCTGCTGCTCAGCTGCTGCTCAGCTGCTGCCGCTGGCTACTGTCGAATTTCTGAACTGCTGCACTAACAGAGTGTAGGAGTAGTAGGAGTAGGAGTAGTAGCAGTAGCAGTAGCAGTAGGTAGCAGTAGGTAGCGGTAGTAGCGGTAGTAGTGGCAGTAGTGGTAGTAGCGGTAGTAGCGGTAGTAGCGGCAGTGGTAGTGGTAGTGGTAGTGGTAGTGCTACTGCTGCTACTGCTGCTACTGCTGCTACTGCTGCCACTGCTGCTACTGCTGCTACTGCTGCTACTGCTGCTACTGCTGCTACTGCTGCTACTGCTGCTACTGCTGCTACTGCTGCTACTGCTGCTACTGCTACTCCTACTTTACTGCTACTGCCACTGCCACTGCTACTGCTACTCCTACTCCTACTACCACTACCTCCTACTACTACTACTACTGCTGCTGCTGCTACTGCTGCTGCTACTGCTACCACTATTTTTTTGGTCCTTTGCAAACTTAAAAATTTTATCTTCTGTTCACCTTCCGGTTTGTTGCTTGCACCAATCACTTCAAGCTCCAGGTGTGCTGCTGGTGCGCCAGGGCCGCGAGAAGATTTGGGATGTTTGGCTCTGCTCGCCAGGTGCGAATGATCCAATGGGCTCCACCAGGATTTGTTAGGGGGCTTTGATGTTCCCTTTTTTTTGGGCAGGTGTAGTGCATAAATTAGTCCTAAAATTGGCGTAAAATGACCAAACCATACCAAACCCTATGGTTTTTCGGGCCAATTTGATCTAAATCGGGTTCATATGATATCATAGTGGCATCTGTTGTTTTTGTTGGGGGGTAGATGTTGGTAGAACTACAACCGCCACTTTTCTCTATGGCACCATGCCTGCCCTCGATGGCTGAGCGCCCAAATCTTGAATCATCATTTTCCCTGGAAAGTATTCAGAATGGACATCACTTCATAGTGGGTTTTAAAATGTTTTTAAACAATTTAAATTTAACATTATCCAGTTTCAACCCGTGTTCACCATTTTTTTTACCAATTAACAATCTATTTAAAACTAAAAATAACAAATGAATAACCAATAATAACAATATATTCATTGTTTATTAATTATTGATTGTTCATATTATCAATAGTCAATTAAGAACTAATGTTGACCAGCAATTGATATCACTATTACTCAATTACCATCTGGTTACTTAACACAACCATGTTTAATAGGTAAACCATCTATAAATGGGCCATTTCCCATGGCTATGTTAAATAACCAGAGGGTAATTATTCATACTACAATATTAGTAATATATGATAAACATCTGAGGCGGCGATCTTCAACGGCTGCGCTTGGAGACGAACCTTTGGACGCCTGTGTCAGTGGCAGGAGACCTGGGTCTCCTGTTCCAAAAAATTGCGGGTTGATGAGGGTAAAATGAGTGTGATGGGGATTATGGATATTTTATTTGAGGATAAACTATGTTAAAACATGTTAAAACGAATTATGATCAAATATATAGGGATAGAATGTCAGTGGTTGATCAACTCTTAACTCATGGAATGATGGGAATTGAATTCAGGATGCTGAAACCATGTCAAGTGACATCCCAGGAGCCCTGATTCCCCCGGCCGAGGCGGGATTTGGCCGCGAAGTCCTTGTTAAACTTCTTCTATCACCAAAAACCAGGTTAAGTAATCTGGCTGGTGGTTTCAAACATTTTTTATTTTCCATAATATATGGGATAATCCTTCCCATTGACTAATATTTTTCAAGATGGTTAAAACCACCAACCAGTAATAGGCTGGGGATACTTTATGATATCAGAAACTCAAGAACTACAAGAAACAGCAGACTCGCCAGTCCTTGTCCAAATTGATGCCAGCGGGGTACACCACCTTGAGAATCAACACTTTATTTAGGACCCAAATTTTGGGACAGACTGAAACATGTCTCCCAAAAAGCCAGTTGTAACTGCCTGGGTCTCCAGTTTGAGGCACATCGTGTGGTGTCGATGGCAGTGCATCACGATTGGGGCTTTGTGGCAGTCTTGCTTGAGGCGACACAAGGCGCAGCGCCCGCGCGAGCTTTTCTTTTTCCTATGAGATCCTGGACCAAACGGGATGAACATTCATGAATCCCAGCTGTTTCGATGTGAACAGCAGGGGATTCCATCATATTCCATCGGTTCACCGACCCAACATGACCCAACCCCCCAGCTAGTTGTGCCACTGGAAAACCATCGGACCAGTGAACTGTGACCCAACCCCCTCAAGAAAGTGCCATTTGACCATGGCTGAAACAGTTTCGCAGGTTCCAAGGTGGTACTCTTTGAGATGCCGCCGTGGGGATGCTGAGATTGGCCTTGCTTCTGTTGAAGTGACGACTAGTGATTGATGATGTTGATCGTTGGAGATGGACAGTTTTGACCTATATTACTATTATAATTATAATTATATTTTCATCTAAAATTGTACATGCATATCTATCTTATTTTCTCTTATATCTTATATCATTTAAACTCATAAAGTAGGGGCCATGATCCAACCAATGCATCCCAAGCTCCACTGCCAGTGGTCCAAATTTTCCAGGTGCCGAGCCGAATTCATCTCTGGACATTATCAAGTCGCAGAAGGCTCAAGCGCAGCTCGTTGCGGATGTGCCGTTCTTGGGTATAAAATGGTATAAAGATCGGAAAGTAGGTGGCTGAAGCCGGGGTGAGTTCCCCTTAAATGACATGATTGCGTGTCATCATGTTCCCGATCAAAATTAGACATTGGCATAAAATGGCGGTCTTGGTTGGGGTCTTGGTTGGGGTCTTGATTGCTCTGGCTTCAAATTTGGGAACCCTACAGTAACAGTCCCAAATGAGCAAAAATAGTTTATATATAATATATATAACTGGGTGAACTAACCCTGGCTATGCTGGTTGGGGTTGGTCAATGTGTCGATTTTGAGCGATGGGGGTAGATTAAAATACCTAGCCGTAAAAAAAAACATGGAGAGTATCCAACTTCAACTTTCACCTAAATTTGTTTTGTGGGCCCTGTCTGACCTTCACGGCATGCCGATTTTTACGTCTATTCGCCAGCCTAAATGGTCCCAGCAATTTGCAGCTCTCCAAACGAAACAAGGATATGTTTCAGTAGCCTAGGACATGCACTTGTATCTCCTCTCAAGGTATTTTTTAGGCAAACTGACACTAGAATAGCCAAATCGGATTTCCGAAAAGAAGAAATATGGACGTCGTACAGCAACCTCTGCCATGGAGGTCAAAGTCTGTTGCATCAAGATGCCATTGCTACTCTGATTTGCCGGGACCTGAGGGTAGAGTTGGATGCTGAATGGTTCCTTTTTTTCAGTTGGTTGGCAGTTTGATTCGTGATAAGATAACAATCTATACGATATCCCTATGTTTGTAGCTTTATGGTGCTTTACGACGCAAAATAATAATCGTTAATAATCTATATAATGATATATATAATGTACACACACATATATATATATATTATATATACTTACAATAACTACAGTATATCTACACATTCTGCACGTAAGTTACTGACTGGGTCACTGCTGGAGTATTGCCACCTTGATCCGAGCCCCCGTCCACCTAAAATGAGACGACCCCAGGCTGATGGTTTGTTTTTGAACTATTTTGAAATGTGCTGGTTTTAACCTCCCGTAGTTAGTTTGTTTTTTGATTCATGATACTATTAATATCTATCGAATATTCCTATATGTTTGTCGATTGAATTCCGCATTGCTGTGGCTTTAACCCACTTTTAGTGGTCGAACCCCCCACGTTTTTTCAGCTCCACATCCACAATTTGCTGGTTAGTTTCCGCATGTGTGAAGATGAAATACAATCTTGGCTGGCTCATTTGTGCTGGTTCAAATCCCCATTCTTTGTCGTTGTATATGATTTGTTCCTCAAATAATCCACATGTTTTCCCTGTACCTCCATTGAATCTTCAATTTTGCTTTGAAATCTCAAGTTTTCACGGGTTTCATCCTTTATTTAACTATGTCTTCCGAAGTTTTCATAGGTTGTCATCGGTTTCACCACGTTTTTCCTGGATCTTTCCGAGATCCTGGCTGTTTGGCCTCGCTCCACTGGGCCCCTGGACGCGCCGTGCCGCCACGGCTGTTGGCCTTGGAGCGTGGTGGAGCGCTGTGCTGCGGGGGGGTGGAGCCAGGGCCCCCAGGGCCCTGGAAGGAGGTGCCTGGAAGGGTTGCGCTACTTGGGGAGGCTACTTGGGTGGGGACCAGGGACAACTCAGGATCTGAAGGATGTCGATTGAAAAACTTTCGATGTTCCTTTGTTCACCTCAAAGGGGGGTTTCAATTCACAATTCCATCCAAAAGACAAGTAGGACACAATAGAAGACCCCGCCAACAAACATATTATATATTGAAATTCTGAGGATTTTGTGAATTCTTATATTAGATGTTTAAATAAGGGATTTATCTTTTTTTGAGATTTTGGCAGTCTGAGGATTCAAGATGAAAGCTAAGTAAGGGACAAAGGGATTTATTAAAAAAGCATCCAACAAAGTAGGACGCAATATATAGAAGACCCTACCAACATACATATTATTAAAGATCTGAGTTGCTCACGGGGCTACCCCTGGATTTTCCTTTTATATACTACGATTAGGTAATTAGGTAAGGAATTCGATACTTTGGTGGAATTTGATAAACAGTACAATGTTTTTCTTGATTTAGCAAACCACGCCTGAAAAAAATTGGCCTGGGACAAAACCTGACATAATACTGACCCACTGTACTAATCAAGAGCCAGCATTAAGCCAGTTACCCTCCAGTAAATTAACATAGACCCTGCCAGATAGGGGTTGAAAGATTAGTTTCCTCTAAAAATTGGTGATTTTCAGGGTCTATGTTAATTTACCAGAGGGTATATAATGGAGGTTTTCGTTGGGAAATCAGCTGTATCAACTGATAGATGGTGGTTTTTGGGCCTGGGATATACCATGATATAACCCAATTACAAGATGTTATACCCTCTGGTAATTTGTTACATAGCTATTGAACATGACCCAGTCGAAATAGTGGATTTTCCCATTAAAAATGGTGGATTTTCCATAGCTTTTTGTATGTTTACCAGAGGGTGACCAGAACGGGATGACCCTCCTAGGCCCCAAATTTAGACCACAAAGGCGGTATATGGTGGGATGATCCTCCACTTTTGGCTGCCCAGTTGGTATATATATGTAGTATATGTATGTACATGTCATATGTCGTAACCCCCAAAAAGATTAAAAAGTATCACTATCTACCATATTCCAAGAATGATCTAAAACAGAGAGTTTGGAATGTTGTTTTATTTTTCATGGTGATTATGTCTATGATTTCTGTAACCTGAGGATAGAACGGCCCAGCAGTCATCATCGCGACGACGACGCCAGGTCTGCTGGGCCAGTGGCATCCCAGTGCAGCACCTGCGGCGTTTGGAGGTGTCGAGTCAGGAGGAGTGGGGGTCAACCTGGATGACCTGGATGATGTGGATGGAAATCTCAGGGGATGGAAAAACTGGATTTTTGTAGTGACTAAACTTCTAGTTTTTAGTGGATGATGTGGATAAAAAAGGGGATGTGGATGATTGAAACTGGATTTTTAGTGATGTTGACTCCTAGACATTTCATGATATTTAAGGAGTGACTAAACTTCTAGTGTTTTAAGTGGCGTAAATATCGATATTGATTTGGTTTCTTTGAATTTCTTCACTGAAATTTCTCGATTTGACGAAACATCGAAAAGCCATTGGCGCCAGGACGAGAGTCCTATTGCCCTGCTGGTGGATGAAGCAAGTGGTCTCTGCTGCGTACTGGCACAGCTGGAGGCCATGGGCATGGACGGGTGGATATGGCAGCATAGCTGGCATCGCTCCAAGTTTATAGATGTTTATAGGGGGTGGTACCAGTTTTGATCGGACATTTATCACCTTTTTTTGGGGTGACCACGGTGGCCTAAATAAAAATGTGGAGGTTTATGAGAATCCGGGACGCTTCATGGGACAACAACCATGCAGTCAGACTGTTTCATTGGAACTGATCAATGGTTTGTCAGGGCAGTGCAATGGACAGAATGCTCGGTCAATTTTTGATCAACATAGACTGGGCAACGAAAACATGCATTTCTGACCTCTAAAGCCCAACATTAAGCTGTTTCCGTTGGGAAAGTCGGAGCTGTTTGAAACACTGGGCTCCGTCACAAACCATCTCCATGATCAACTCGGTGCTGGCTTTTTGCAATCCCAAGTATCATCCTGGGTGATATTTATGATTGTAATTATATTATATGTATGTATTATATAACAATAATTCCTTTCTGAAAAAACAACAGAACCATGTTCAAGCTCAATAACATTTTTATTCCATCTTGAACATAGTGAATTCTAAACATCTTGAAATTATAATTATATATATATAATCATCCCATATTTCTTGAACATTTGATCGTGCAGTCATGTTCCATAATCCCATCTTATCATTTTTTGCAGGTGTCCAGCAGTGCGAAGACGTCACGGCTGAATTTGCTCTGGAGGCGCGTTACTCTAGGGATGACAGCTGATGGTAGGAACGAGTACATCTGACCATTTGAGTCGCAACGTCAGAAAAAAGAGGCCCCAAAACCACAGGATCAAAGCGGTAGAAACCGTGATGTCTTACTTGGTGGTTCACCGTCAGCTTGGTGAAAAGCCCAGGAATGGGCAAAGTAGGGCACTTATGATGGGTATCAAGGTGGGGGCCCCGATTCGAAAACTGTTTTCCCCATTAACTGGTTGGTTCCATTCACCATCATTCACCATATACCATAAAATTCACGGAACTACTTAGCTAGGCCTTAGCTTTTCGTAAATCCCATTGAGTCCCACAGTCCTATCAAATCACTCTTCAGTCCTAAATCATGATTAAATCATGATTAAATCCCATGACATCACCATTAAGTCCCACTAAAACACCATGAAATCAGCATTTTTCTTTGGTCTCATCTCAGCCAGTACGGCATCGATCTTCCAGGTGCCCAGTGGATGGAACCACCTCGCCCGCGATGGCGCTGGAATGGCTGCTTGCTTCACTAAATTTGGCCAGTTTTAAGATGTTCGAATTATGAAACTCCCACACTTGGCAATCTTGGCAGTAAATGGATGTGGGTCAAAATGGAAGACCTAGGGGACCACAGATGTTAGTCTAGTTTAGTATTAACCATCCAATTATTGGGGTACCTAATTTTGACCCATACCCAAATATTGATTTGACATGGATTTTGCTGGACTTTTGTTGGGATATTCGGAAGATTTTCCCAGTCCAGTCAGCCATTTCAGGGTCGATCTTGAATGGGATACGGACAGCAGGAACATTTGGATGGTGCCACAAATGAGAACTGACCAGTGGACCCTTAGTTGCTGGATGCTGGGTTATTCCAACTGGTTCACTGGGGATTCTCGATTTATCCAAGGAATTCATCTGGCCCTGCCTGGGTGAAACCTCAGCAGCTTCTCATTCCTCCCTATTCACCTTTTTCCCTGAGGGACCCTGACATAGTTTTACCATGTTTTACCCTTAGCAGCTCAGCATTCTTGGCCCAGGCTGGGTTTTGGCGCTGAACTTGGCGTTTGGGGCTCCAGAAAACTTCGGTTGGACCACCTTGAAAGGGGAGATTGGAAGGGTGCGCAGCCGGTTGCGGGCTGGCCTGCTATAGCAGCCTGAAAGGCGACTCAAAGGGTGACGGTTTGATCGTGATGATGCCAGGATGAAACGCCCAAACATTGACAGACGGATAGAACTTGGCATGAAATGGCTCGTTAATTTGAATTGGACCCACCCAACTCAGCCCAAATTTCAACATTCGCAACGTTGATCTGGGGTTGACATGAATGACTCACTAGATGAATGACTTGGTGATCTGCCACCATGGAGTTTGCTATAATTTGGCTGTTCCCCCACCGTTTTATCGGATTGTTGCACTATTCTGGCGCCCGCCCAAACACAATCAAACACATCTATGTCATCAGGAATCATGAGGTTGCTTAACTTCAAAAATAACAGCAAGCTTGTCAGACAATGTTCGTTTGTAACCCCAGAAAGATAGAACATACATTTCTATCTTCTGGGGAATTGCCTAAAAATACAAAGGTAGGGACTTTAAACATCTAGGGTTTACCACATGTTTTATACAAAGGTATGACTTATATATTATGTATATATTCCATGTCATATTCTAGGGTTACCATCTTGGCTACCCTTCCAAGCCTTTTGCGACACCCGAGGCTGTGGCGGGTCAGTTGGCACTCTGCAGCGACACGCAGCAGGTTCTGGTCACGACGCTGTGCATCGAGGTCGGATGTGATAGCCTGGCGCTGCAAATCTAAGCCACCCTGGTGGTTTGTAGAAATGACACCAAACACCAAGCCCTGTGTAAGAAGGGTGTACACACACATTGGTATGTTGTAAACAAAAAAGAACAGGCACTTGATCCAGTTTTAGTGGGTTTCGTGGGTTTAGTGAGCCGACAGCCTTCCAGGACCCATCCAGTGGCACAGTCATGAGCCTCAGAGATGAACCGTCTAAGCACTGAAAGTGGTGGCGGTATAACTCCATACGCAGGTAGTTTTCCCGCTCATATTGGTGGATAAACTGGAAGGGTTGATTACTTCAAGTGGGGGTTGAAACAGCAGGATTGTTTAGCATCAAACCAGGAGGACAAAACCTGCTGCAATCTTTATTTTTTCACTATTTTCAGGTTAGTGAATTGTCATAATTCAGCCAGATGATAATATGGTACATCCTCTACAAAAGGGGCATTGATTATACTGCCAGGGGAAGTTTCCAGCGCTTCGCTGGTTTTCACCTTTGCCTTTCCGGGAAGGGTTCCACATGTGCAAAACAACATTCAATGGGTAATCTACAACAGCATGAAATTTAATCTTTTGCGTGGTATCTCATCTGGCTTTCGCCATGAAATTGAGAGAGATGTTGAGTTATTGACATAATTTCCAAAAATATACATTGATACTGTAATCATTGATATCATTTCATATCATATACGCGGCGTTTTACCATAGTTTTACCATACATTAGCATCATTAGCTTCGAAACTGCCAGGTCAAGTCGAGCCCTTGGCTTTCAGCGCCTCTCAAAGGCTCCAGCAGCGATGACCGTAAGTCAGACCCCATGGTGACGACGACCCGGGACCCATTCAGAAAGCACCAATTGAGCCTCTGGTAAATTACTGCTTGGTGGTTTGGAACATGAATTTTATATTTTCCCCAATAGTTGGGATGATGATCCAATCTGATGAACTCAAATTTTTCAGAGGGGTTGAAACATGTTGAAACCACCAACCAGGAATTGACATAGACCCTGAAAACAATTAATTTCTATTTGAAACTAGTCTTCCAACCCCCATCTGCCAGGGTCTATGTTAATTTACTGGATGGTACATGTGATTTTTTTTACCTCATTCCAGGGTTTTCAACTGTTCTTTCTTATTGTTGGGGGTTGCTGTAAGGAACATGTGGCAGGGTATGGGTCAAAAATTTGGGGGGATGGTGGTAGACACTTCCCAAACCCTCATGTGGCTATGGGTCATTTTCTTTGAAGGACCTGAGATAGTCATTTTCTTTGAAGGACCAAATTTTTGTTCATTTTGACCCCGCTGGCCTTTTTTTGCGCATGACATGCCGATGACATGATGATTGGGATAGCCGTCTGAAATCACGTACTTTTTTTGGATCTTGCTGTAGGACGTTTTTTTGTCTCGCAGCCCCCAATCAGATTTCTGCAAAATAGCAACTTAAGTAGCAACAAGTAGCCACCCTGGACAGCAAATTCTGAGTGGGATACCCCACAGCCATCAGATCCAGCCTGCAAAGTTCCGTGGGTTTCTCCACGATTCACAGTCCATCTTTGGGATCGGACTGGGTAAAAAAGTTCCGACTTACTAAGTGGATCTACCATTGTACATAGAAATGGGATGAAATAGCTTGATTAACCCAAAACCATAAACGCACTTATAGGCAGTATAACTGGAAAGCTCGCAAGTTTTGGGAGGATTCCCCGGAGATTACCCTCCAGTAAATTAACATAGACCCTGGTAGATAGGGGTTGGAAGATTAGTTTCCTCTATAAAACGGTGATTTTCAGGGTCTATGTTAATTTACCAGAGGATAACAATCGCCCCTGGCTTTCTGGGTTATGATTTGCAATGTCAACCCGAGGTTGCTAAACCGTGGTTGATTAATGAGGGGTTCTCCCCGACACAAAAGTGTTTCAATTCAATCTGTCACTATTCTATGGTAGCACCCAATTCAACGGCCCAAGGGTCAACATTAACCGAGTGATGCAAGCCACTTACGAATCATTCCTAGATTCAATGGATTTACTCGGGAACAAGCAACATTTCCTATAACATTGATTGACTTCCCGTAAATCTTTATATCTTTTAGATGATTTCCCTCATTTATCATTTTAACATAGAATCTTGTATGAACATTGGATATTTTCTATAGATGTTCCATAATTTTCATAGAATTAACATAGAATCAACATAGAATCTACAATTTCTATAGATTTTCCCAGAAAATCCCCGCCATTTTTTCCGCAGGGGATCTGGTGCTGCAGCTGGCTCTCTGCGACGAACGCTTGGTGGCCTTGACGAGCCGGGAGGCGCGCAGTCGCGCAGTTTGCCATGCAAAAGTTGGACATATTTTGCCATGAAAACTGGGGACTTAAATACGTATCCACTAACCATAATATATATATATATATATGTAATATGTATAATATTTATATATATGTATATTGGATATCATGGTATATATATATATATATATGTATATAATGCTATACACATATTGCATATACGTTGGATGAGATTACCCATTGGGGGTGGTCATGTCACGTTGATACCCAGATCCATACCAGACATACCAAGTTTCCGTGAAATTCACCCTACATTTTCGGCTGACTTTTGAACATGTTGGAGAAACCCATGGTGTTTTTTCGGCATTGAAAAATGGCATTTGTTGGGTAAGTCCCATTTTGAGACCTGCCTAGTGTCCCAGGAAGTGTGCACCAAGTGGGGTTATCCCATATATCACTATAATGTGCTTAAAACACGAATGGGAATGGTTTATACAACCTACTTCTGGTGATTTGGGGAATGGTATATGACATTGTTTTAACCGCACTATACAACTATAGATTACTAATATTGGTTATGAACCAGCCACTAAGTGGGATGATCCTCCAAGAATGCATCGCCGTGTATAGTTGCCTCATGTTGCCGAAATGACGACTGAAATCCATCAGGGCCTATCTAGTTTCAACTTTTTGCGGGTTCTACCGTTCCAGCTGGTTGCCTCAACACGGGTAGGAGATGATCTAAATTGAGGTGATTGTCACATTCACGTGTGATGATATATAGACAACCTTCTTGCAGCTGCACCACTGGGGACCACGGGCATTTGAGACAACAAGTGTACCTGGCTACAAGGCTGAAACCAGCACGGGAAGACTCCACTGATATGATGGCCTGGATGCAGGACATTGAGATGGTGCGATGGATGTTAACATTGCAATGCTGGGGGGTTTCCATAAATGACCGGTAACCCAAAGTGGATGGTTCATAATGGAAAAAACCAATCTAAAATGGATGATTTAGGGGTACCACCATTTATGGAAACCTCCAATAGATCTTGGAATTATGGTTTCCCTCAATAATACATAATAATACATAATACATGATGGTTCGGCTTCGCCCTTATGAGTTCAGAAGCCCAACCATTATTGGTGGGTTGAATTCCCTCAATGGAATAAAACCGGGTTTCCTGCAGTGTTTACCTTCGCCCAAGTCATGAAATTCGGGATTCAATCAACTGAGTGAATATCAGTTGACTTTCCTAAGCTCTGCAGGTGTTGGTTTGGCTACTGGTGGAAGGTCAAGACGCTTCGCGGCCCCCTCAGTTCCTGAGCAAACAATCACTGGGAACTTCCTATACATTTTGTAATTGATACAACATCTACGATCTCAATGGAATTGTCCTTTGCCCGGGTTGGTTCAGATGATGAACACCTCAAAGTCTCTATTTTGTCCTTGAAGGGTAAAAGTGCTGCAGTTGTAGTTGACTTGGTCGGAAATATGGGAGCTATCTCCAATAAGAACCCTGCATAACTTGGGAACCATCCCGGTTCAGATGGTCGAATAAGTTGTTGCATTCCTTCTGCGAATCTAACGTGGCAATCGAAGAATCCGTTTTGGGTTTCTCCTTGCCATGCTTCTTTAGACCAGTAAAGAATGGCGATGGACCCACACAGAAAAACGGGGGATGAAAAAACATGGAGTAGATGAATCACCAATTTTGATTTGCTCAACATTGGAGACTCATGATTTTTCCCGCTACCTTGGATGGAACCAAAAGGCTCTTGGATGGATGATCCTGGACATTTTTTAGGCGAAATGAGCCGTTTCTAGACTAGAATCCATGATTGAAATGTTCCAAAGTGTGAAAAACACCCCTTGAATTTGATATAGCATGGGGCCTCGGTGTTTTTGCTATTGGACCCATTTATATATCAAAGATGATCAAATCATATTGTTGGTGATAGATACCCATGAATCCCCATATCCCGGACAACCATGTTGCTTTTATTCCTTCCTTCAACTGATATGACTGTTCCAACGTGTTGTCATTTTGTCACCGAGTTCCAATCGATCTACCCAATTTTCCACTGCGGTTAGTTACTATAACCAAACATGTGGTTCAATTGGTTTGTAATTTGTTAGGGAAGTACTAAGCCACTGGTAATTTAACATAGCTATTGAAAATCACCATTTTCAATGGGAAAATCCACTATAAAGGGCCATTTTCAATAGCTATGTTAAATTACCAGAGGGTAATCCACTATATATTTGTAGATCATTTTCGATGTGGAAAGCCTGGCTGGTTTCCCTAAGAATATGATCAAAAAAACTGGTGCCATTTCCATCCCGCTTCCGCCGCCAACAGCGGCCGGAGGCTCAGCTATGCCCACGTCTTGCCCTCTCGTCCTGTACAAGGCCCAAGAAACATGGGAAGATTTTAGAAATAAACCGTTTTAGTCAGACTGCGTTTTTGGAAAATACCCAAATATGCTGAATAAAAATCTGGAATGATGGTTAGGATTGTCTTGCCTTAACTTTGGGGGCTGCTTCAATAGAGGTATTTTTCAGTGTAAGTTCATGTCCAGGTCAAGTCCAATTTGTCCTGACCATCATCCCCTGCTGCTCTGGTTCAATTCAAGGAATAATGGTGCCCTCACATGAATGAGTTTTGGCATTGGAGATCTCAACTCAAGGGCAGTGCTTACAGAGAAACAGATGGATGAAGGCACTGACAACATTGCCATGCGCCATTGAAATCAAAGAAACAGATCTCACTTTCATTTGGCCACTGCATCCTTTGCAGCCATGCCTTCGAGAAAGAAGAGGGGCCCTGGCATGAGGGGCTTGCCATCAGACTTTGTCATGCCTTACCCTGGATGGATGAAGCCAATGTTCAGGGGTGGTGATGATGAGTCTGAATACTCCTCAGCCAGTGAATCATCTGAGTTTCTTGCTTGCAGTCTGACTGAGTGAATCATTTTGTTTTATTGCCAAAGTCTTATTTTTAATTCTGACTGAATTATTCCAAGCCTGAGCCAGTCAGTTAAGTAGACAGGGCAAACATGCTAGCTTGATTGGGCCAGATGTTGTGCCACTAGCCCAGGTCTGGGAAGGAGGACAAAAAGAAGTCAAGGAGAGCAGAAAGCAGCAGAGCCAAGAGCAAGAAAGACAAAGACAAAGAGCCTAGGAAGAAGGACAAGAAGAAAGACAAGAAGAAAGACAAGGACAAGAAAGATAAAAAACAGAAGAAGACTCTTCTGACTCAGATGTGTCAACCATCCCAAAGTACTTTGGCTTTGAAATCATTGGCATGCCATTTTAATTTGGGCCCAGTTTGAAACTTGTGACTGTGGATGTGGAAATCACAGGATGATTTGAATAGCCCAGTCAAGACCATTTGCCCCTAGCATAAATCAAGTTGCTTGTGCAGTTGGTGCCATTGATGCACCACTCATTCTACATGAATTGTCACAGATGTATTGAGTGCTAGGGTTTGGTAGTAGGCTCAGAAAACACTGAGGATTGAATTATTGAGTGCTATTAGGGTTTGGTAGTAGGTTCAGTTGAATCATTAATCATTACATGATTCACAGGTTACTGGTTACCAGGTCATTGAAGATGACCCACCACTGGCAACCACCATGACCACCACCATGATGATCACCAGCTGAGGCACTGGGTGCACCTGGGGCCATCCTTCTCCTCTCAAGGACAAGTCTGCCAAGCCAGAATCTTGGCTTTTGATGGGATGGGCCTGACCATGCTAGTACCCAGTCACAGGAAAATTCTGGCATGAGATCACTTTAGTGGGGTGCAATGTTTGAAATTTTGAATCAAAGTTAAAGCTTCTGAGATTCTGTGTACTATGGGGAATGCATCAATTCAATGGTAGGTGCTTTGCAGGCATGCAATGTGTAGGTTTTGTCTTGCTTTGTATTTATTGTATCAGCTGGCTGGTTTTGCCTTTTTGATGATCTGATGGCTTCTTGTTTGAATTAAATAGATTAGATTGCACCCAGGCTTGTTTGTCATTATTGTCAGATGCTGGCTGAGGAAAGAACTGCTTGTCTAGATCAGCAAAGGTCAAGCACTTGATGGATATGGATGAAAGGTTTTGCCCTAGTGTCTGGGATGCATTTGCAAGGATGGTTTTTTTGAGAGGCTTCAGACAGGGTGTGGGGGGGGTGGGGGTGGCAGGTGGGCAGGCCCACTTGTAAAGGTGGAATGGTGGCCCACTGCCACATTGAGGCTCCTTATCCAACCTTGGGGAGAAGGAGTTGGAGCAAGTGTACTACATTGCAACTGGGCTTTCCCCAACCCTCCATGTGAAGGACTTGATTTGCAACAAGAAGAGGGAGTTGCCACTTGGAAGCATTCTTATCCAGAACTTCAAGGTAAGTAAGTGCATTGAAGCTGGCTGGTTTGAAAGATTTCCTGGTGACATTACATGACCTTCAGGATAGATTGAAATAAGTAAGTGTGCTGCTCCTGATGATCTTTTTTCTGCCATTAAATAGTTGCTCATTGGGGCCATGCATTTTGTGTGACTTTGCTTGGGGTATGTGACTGAGGTTGGACAGAGTCAAGCAATGCCATGCCAGGCTGCATGCCAAGTCAGAAGGGAAGAGGCTGTCCCAATTGAATGAGACTTTATTTCCAATAGATCAGTCATTGAAGCAGTATCAGAACATGCTGTGATCATTTGATTTGTACCTTGTGGTTAAGTACTTTGGTTAGTGGCCATGTAAAAGTTGACCAAAGTCTGAGTCAATGTGAATGCTAGGGGCTGAATTTTGGGCCCCAGCCAATGAGAACCCCACCACTTTCTAAGGAAGACTTCAGCAATGTTGAGGCCTATGCAACCCAGCTAGGCTGGTACCAGCTCTTCTCCAAAAAGGGTAAGGGTGAGTCTAAGAACCTTGGCAGCACCAACATTGGAAATGAATGCATTCATTAAGTGACCAGGTGGAAAAACATGTTTGGGAAACAGGTGCCACATGGTGCTGGGTTCAGACATTGGGCCCTACAAGAATTTCAGTTTCCAATGTGATTCACAATGATCATGTTTGACCCTAGGTTAGACTCACTGGCCTTCATTCACCAATTAATAGCCACTAATTTAGTTTTCAAACCTTGTCATTGCACTGATGCATGCCAACCTTTCAGAACTGAGAGTACCCTGACTCTTGACACATCAGGAGGCCACCCCTTCATTGCCAAATGGTGGGTGGTTGCCATGCCAATGCCCAGGCCAGAAGGGCCTGGTGATGACAACACTGAATTGGCCAAGCTGAAGTACACCTATGAAAGGGGGCATCCTGGCTTTTGTCCTTATTAATAACAAACAAAATTAAAATGGGCCATGGGCCTAAGGGGAGGGTGCCATGTCCCACAACCACACAAAACCACAACACCATCAGTGTGCCACACCTTATCCATCATGACAGAATTATGGCATGGGTTCTCATTTGACCAGGGTCCAGTCTTATAAGGCTATTTGTGGGCATGGAACTACCCATTTGTTGTTCATTGTTGTTGTGCATAGTGACTCAGTGGGATAGCAGGGTTTGGAACCATACTTTGTAGCCATTTGTAAACTGGGTAGCTGCTTTGTGGACCAAGGTGGTGGTTGTTGTTGTGGGGTTGGTGCCACATGCTACCTGCTGAGGTCAAAAGGGGAACTTCATGTGCTGCACAGGCCCAGGGGGGTCAGATTGGTGCTTGCACCACCAGGTGCACCCATCAGTTTCATCTACAGAAGTGGCAGCAACATGTTGAAGATTGCAGAGACCTGCAAGACCTCTGAGTGGCTTGACCTTGTAACATTTCAAAAATCAACCACCCCCATCCCATCAGTGACTGCAATTTAACCATGGTGATCCTTCTCATGTCATTGGCTTGAAGGAGTATTAGGCACCTACCTACCTGTTGCTTTGTGCCTGCCAAGGTATGTTTGCAGCTTGGATGACATCTTTGACAGAACTGATGGCTTGGAAGCTTGGTGGGGGCATGTGGCCACTAGGCTTCAAATAATTGTGTTTTGTTTTGTTTGCTGCCAGGGCACCATTGATTGGTTGGTGGATGTGGCCAAGTCACATGAAGTCCAGAACTATGAGTAAGTCAAGATTCTAAGATGTGGGGTAGATATGATATGGCATTTTCATTTATGCTCACTAATTTATATTATTAGTCAACCATGGCTTGGGTTTGAACAATGCAGCCACCTACTCAACTCACCCAGTCACTCATTCACCAAGCACTCACTCAGTCACTGAGGCTGAAGTGGCAGTTGAAACCATGGATGCTTACACCTGGGCCAAGGACTTTGTAAACACTGCCTTGGGTTACTTTGGCCAGGGTTCAATAGTTGGGTGGGGTGGTGGCTGTGCTTGCAGAGATGGCATGCCCACCATTGATGGTTCATGATGGCAAGACACAGACAGAGGACAGTACTTACTTGACTTGAAATAGCATCAAAGAAATGAGTGCATGAACTGATCTTTTTTAGTAAAGTGCAAGATTTTATGTAAACCAAAATGGTTGATTCCAGGCAGACATGTTACAGTTACTGTTCAAACCAATGGTAAACATGCCATCATTTGAGACACTAAGTAGTGATAGTGACTCACACAGTGACCATGCCATGCCCATCACAACCAACAACCAGCCAGGTTTAGACCACCACCCATATCATTATCCCCATCACTGCCATTGATCCTGTGTCACCCCAACCCACCACCACCACCACTGCTCCATGCACTGAGGAATGCACCCAGATCATTGGCAACACCAACAGGTTACCAACTTGATGAAGCAGAAGCCCATCAAAGGATGTGCTGGCAGGGGGTGCTGGTTTGTTCTTTAAAGTCTTTGGCTGGTTAGGTTGCTGCTACCTTCTTACTTACCTACCCAGCTTGGGGCCAAGCCTGGTTCACCATAGTTGGCCCCTGCCCCCTACCCTTACCCTTCCAACATGCAGCTGCCATGGAAGGATTGCCACTGGCTACTGGTTGCCTATCATCTACAACTGCTGCCAAGACTGGGGATGCATCAATGTCTTCAAAGGCCCCAAGTGAGTGGATTGGGTTTTGTTAATAAAGGTACTGTGAAAGGTTTTGCCCTTGCACATTGACATTGAATAAGTAAGTGCATTTGAATGACAGATTAGTGACAAGTAATGGTGGACAATGTCACAAGTAAACTGTTTGTTAAATATTTATATTCAACAATTGGCAATTGACATTGAAACCTACATGCTACATTGTTGTTGCTAGAGCCACATTGCAATGGTGGGGTTGAATGTTTCATGCCATGGCCACAATGTAGTTTGACATGGGTTCCTGGGTGGCCTTATTATTGATGATTGGCTATAATTATAACAATTGTGGGCCTTGTGGTTGCAATTACAAGCTGAAAGTGCTCATTCAATGGTTCCATGCTTAAATAGCAACAGCTCTGTAGCCTTGGTTAAAGTGAAGAACCTTCCCTTCTCCATGCTCAGGTGTCAGAATCAAGTGGGGCAACTCTTGTCATGACTGCTGGGACTCCTGCCCCTTGGTTCTTGGGTGGGTGGCTGAGTGTGCTGGGGCACTAGAATGGAAGGCTTGATGTTCAGCTATTTTGGTGTGATTGTATTTTGGTTTGATGTAGTTAGCTTCACACCCATGCTGCACTGGAGTTTGAAGGGCTGCATGCTCAGGTGACCCTGCAGTCCATGTATGACACAATGCAGCCCCCCAGGGAGAGGCAGCTGAACATTGCACACCTAGTCAGAGTACAACAGCAGGCAGGGGCAGCAACAGATGAAAAGAAGCATGAATCACATGAGCAGGAGCTGGCCAGGTTGAAGCAACAAGCATTACAACTGCAGCAAAACCTTGATGGCAGCTTGGTGCCACCAGAAATCAAGCCAGACCCAGTAAGCATGGCATTGGAAGAACAGAAGAAAAAGGTGGCAGAGCTGCGAAGGCAAATTGAGGCAAAGAAACAGAAAGAACTGGGAGGGCAGACCCAGTCCCATCAGATGTCAGAAGTGGAGACAGAGAAAGCCAAAGTTGCAGCACTGCAAAAGCAACTAGAAGAGCAACAGAAGGCAGAGCAACAGAGACTGGCAGCAGAGGCAGAAGCCAAGAAGCTGGCAGAAGTGGAGGCAGAGAAGGCCAAAGTTGCAGCACTGCAAAAGCAACTTGAAGAACAACAACAGAAAGAAGAGCAAGAGAGACTGGCAGCAGAAGCCAAGAAGCTGGCAGAAGTGGAAGCAGAGAAAGCCCAGGCTGAAGCACTGCAGAAGCAACTTGAAGAACAACAGCAGAAAGAAGAGCAAGAGAGACTGGCAGCAGAGGCAGAAGCCAAGAAGATGTCAGAAGTGGAGGCAGAGAAAGCCAAAGTTGCAGCACTGCAAAAGCAACTAGAAGAGCAACAGAAGGCAGAGCAACAGAGACTGGCAGCAGAGGCAGAAGCCAAGAAGCTGGCAGAAGTGGAGGCAGAGAAGGCCAAAGTTGCAGCACTGCAACAGCAACTTGAAGAACATCAACAGAAAGAAGAGCAAGAGAGACTGGCAGCAGAAGCCAAGAAGCTGGCAGAAGTAGAAGCAGAGAAAGCCCAGGCTGAAGCACTGCAGAAGAAACTTGAAGAACAACAGCAGAAAGAAGAGCAAGAGAGACTGGCAGCAGAAGCCAAGAAGATAGCAGAAGTGGAGGCAGAGAAGGTCAAGGCTGAAGCATTGCAGAAGCAACTTGCAGAACAGAAAGCAGAGAAGAAAGACAGTGATGTTCCACAGCAGTGCAAACACACAGCAGGACAGGCAGAGAATACCAGCTCCAGCAAGGCAGAGGCAAAGGTTGTTGAACAGCCAGGCAAGGAGGTAGTTGTGCTAGATGATGAGGCAGCAGCAACACAGGATGAGGTGAGACATTTGGTGGCATGATTGGGGAGAGGTTTCACAGATGGTGGCAAAGGGTCTTTAAGGTATGATTCAACATGCTTTGCAGGGCTCTGGGTTTGCATAAAACATTTATAGTATGTGCAAGAATGGATGTGGGTGTAGCCCATGTGGTGGCAATGGTTTGAAACATGTTTAGGTATGTGAAGCAACTTTGCCATGATGAAATGACATGTCTTGATCATCATACCAGCTGTTCCTGACCCAAGTCAGGCCTGAGGGGTTGGTGGGTGTGGGGTGCCTTTGCATTGCATTGTGAGCCCATGACATGTTGTGGCAACTAAGGATCCCAATTTGATGATGAATCAGTGCAAGCAGCAAAGAAGAGAAGAACTGAGTGCAAGGCTTGTGGGCTTTGGCACATCATTCATGGCAACTGGTTCAACACCATGGCTTAAAGCTTGAAAATAAGCTGTTGGTATTTGAACCATGTGGTTTCCATAGTGCTTGGTTTGGCTACTTGTGATTACCTTTTTTTTATGGGGCTTGGTACTGGTTTGGTGGTGGGGTGTCAGGGGGGGAGCACATGCCAGTCACATGACAGATGGATGATGTTCAGTTGTTTAACTGTTTAGGGTGGCCTGCATTATGACAGTCTGCCTGAGGCTGCAGCACAGGGCAAGAAAGCAGAACCTTCATCATCAGTGAACCAGAAGCCTTGATACTGTTTGATGCTGGCCATAGTGAGAATGTTGGCAATGGTGGTAGGGGCAATCATGTTATGAACTGGCCAGGGGAGCCAGGTTGAAATTTCGATCTTGTTCCATCTACCCCACTTTCAATATCTCCTGGCTCATGATTAAGTGGGTCATAATCCAATACTTTTGATGGCTTTGAACCTGTGAGCTCCTAGCTTCAATCACTTAAAGATTCAATGACAAGGCCAAGTGAAATCAGACCAGGTGACCAGGTGATCAGCCTTCAAAGCTGGGCTATTGAATTGATGAATGATGGTCATGTTGGCTTTAAATAATATGACAGTCAGGACAGCTAATTATGTTCTTTCAGTCAGCAATCAAGGCAGGAGCTTAAAAGGTCATTGCTACAAGTGGAGCAGGCACCATTAATAATATTAAATGTGGTTTGGACAGAAGAACCCAACTCAGCAACTGATAACTGTTTCAACTGTTTGTCTCTGGCATGCTTTGACCATTTAGGCATTTCATTTGTTAGCTTGAGCCTGCTCCCTTAATTTTCCTATGTGCACCATGTGGGGTGCCTTGGCTCTCACAGCATTGCATAGTAGGTGGCCCTGAATGCATGATGGCATGTGTGGTGTTAGTTGTCAAACATGTCAGTAGTATTCATTTCCTGGGAAAAAGAATGTATTACAGGTGGTGGTGTTAATGCATTCATGCCAAGTGAATTCAACTCACCCATTCACCATTGAACATCTTTTGGGTAAGTTTAAAATTAAAACACATCAGCCCATTACTGTTTAGTACATACCAACAGGTGCATCAGGTGTGTCACCATGATCTTCACACTCTATTCATTGGTGGTTCAGTTTCAATTTTCCAGTACTGAGGAACCAGGGAACATGAACCTTTCCAGGGGTGCCACCATGGGTTCATGCTGCTATGGGACCAGCTTCATTCATGTTCATGACTGTTGGCACCCTGGCTGCCACTGGCATGGCCATACAGGCATTATGTTCAGCCCCCAGCATTTTAAAAGCTCATAGCTGTGGGGTGCTCTAGATTCCATTTGGCACCAACAGCAGCTTTGTCGCCTTTTGCAGCTTGGTAGCATCATTCAGGTGAGCACCAGAAGGGCCAAAAGGTGGGAAGTTTAATTGCTGTGTGGTGGAATCTATGCACACACGGAATTATATAGTGAATATAGTGGTTTTTATGAAGATTTTTATGTGCATGTATGTGTAGTTGAGCTCATGTATATGTGCACATGGCAATGTAGGTGCACATGCAGGTACCTTTGCAGACATGCCCAGTATGGGTGCATTGAGTAATAAATAAATACTGTAAATAAATATATATATATATCCAAATGTATACATGCATACATATACACACACAGATGCATATATATATATATATACTCCTATTTGTCTCTAACTAAGTTAAGTGGTTGAAGGGTGTGTGGTAGTTATGGATATCATGTAGTATAGAAATAGGAAAGCTGTTTGACATGTCAATTAACTAATGACCTGCATTGATGTGATGTTTAAAATTTATATTATATATGAATGATTCCTTGGTGGCCATTGTCATTGATGACCTACTGGTTTGGAATTTCTGTGTGATAAAATATGCCCAACAGTGCACCTTAAAAAATGGAACCAAGATTAAAAAAAAAACAAGGTTTGTGCATCATCAGGGGAACCAAAGCAAATCAAGAAAAATCACTTTGAAAGTGCACAACAGTGAGCCAAAAAAAGGGGAAAAAAAGGGCAGCATTCTGTTTAGAAGGGTTTAAAAAACATGGTCACCATTTGGCTTTCCCCAAATCTGGGAATGACCTGGGAATGACCTGGGAATGATCTGGGAATGATCTGGGAATATGTTGGGAATAAGTTGGGAATAAGTTGGGGGCTGGCCCAAATCTGGGAATGACCTGGGAATGGCCTGGGAGAGACCTGGGAATGACCTGGGAGTGATCTGGGGGAGATGTGGAAACCATGCTGGGTCTCTGTGAGGGAAACCATGGGGAACCCAGGGGTGATGATGGGTAACATAATGGGAATGATGTGGGTGCCCAACCAAAACCACCAAAAACAACATGGATCAACCTTAGCATGGATCAGCACTGACAACCCTTCAACCATGACCTTCAATGATCCAAACTGCCAAGGCATTATGAGTGGGAACTGGCATGGACAGAAGTGGCAGGGCAACAGCTCCTGGCTGCTGGGATGCAAGGTGATGGGAAGGATTCAAGGGAGTGGGCTTGGTGGCTTCCTATGCTGGTGACCTGGTGGGTCCTCATTGGTGTTGCACTGTATGCAGGTTTAATTTTTAAATCTAGCAGTTGGACCAACTAAAAAATATATGTTTATCTATTTAAGGTCCTGGTTAGTCATGTCCTCATGCATGCTGAACTAAGGAATGATGGTGGCAATGGAACTTATTATTCTGGGAATTGGTCCAATCAATGGTGGCTTGGCTAGCAGAGCAACTATGTCATGTGAGACATGCTGCAGGGGGGGCTGGGGAGGGAGTGGTCCACCATTTAAATCAGCCATTTGCCATTCAGCAGTTGTCAGGAATGGTGGTGGCAGCTGGCATGGCTGGTCAGCTCAAGATGGTGATGATTGGCCACTTGGCTTCAGGGTGGCATTGGTGGTGGGTGGATTGGTGCTAGTGTGTGTGTGAGTGTGTGTACCCAGTAGCCTTGGTCAACAGAGAACTGACCCTGCCCTAATCCTTCAATTGTTGCCACTGCAACTTGCACCTAGGAACATGCATTCAAGCAGTGGTGCAGCTGGGTCAGCAGATCCTTCTGGTAGCTCACATGCTGCTGATGCAGGGGTGATGGACCACTCATTTGAAATGGTCCCATCAGAGGATGAAGGTAATGATGGCATGGGTCCTGCCCTTCCTGAGCAACCCAAGAACTTGAAAATGGAGGTGAGTGATCTTAAGGCTTGCATGCAGGTGCACCCTGACACCAACCTAAGGAACCAGTTCATGGCCATTGAGGTGGCTATGAGGATGAGGAACTCTGAGCCCACCCCTTTTGAAAAGCATGCCATCAGGTCCCACCAGTGGACCAATGACAAGCTGAAGGATGATGCCCTGAAGGTGTTGCAGCTTTTTGGGCAGACCAAGGGGGCAGGCAGGTCCTCCAAGAATGTGATTGGGATCATGGCAAATAGGCAGGGCTTAAGGCTTGGTGACCTGGTGGAGCCTGACTGCATCTTGTGGACCATGTGTAAGCACCTATGGGTCAGCCAGATCAAGTCCTTGGCCCCACCATTGATGGTTGCTAATGAAGATGGAAGGGGGCCCAGTGTTTTGTGCTACTGCCTCCCAGCCTCAGTCTTCATGCCTATGGGCTGTTGCAATTTCCACTTCAAGGGCCCCATCTTCAAGAATGACCACCCCTATGTGAACATTGGGTATCCATGCAGCAAATGCCTGAGATGTGGAGGGTAGCTAGGCTGAACAGTGGTTGTAATGGCTAGTGGTGGGGTTGGGTCTGCCTTTGCCTTGCCTTCCTTTCACCAGCCCACCTCACTGGCTGCATTTCCAAGGATTTGCAAGGTTGCTTGGCAGAGGCATCCTGACAAGATGCTGAGGAGCTTGGCAGCCAGTGGTGTAGTGGATGCTGGGCTGTGCATTTGCACAGATGATGCCTGCCATGGGGACTTCATGCACCATTGCTTGCCCTAGAGCCAGTTCCCATGAAGTGCCTTGGATGCATTGGCCACAGATGCATTGGCATTGTCATACATGTGCCATAGGTAGCTTATTAGTGGTGATCATCTCAAAGGCCAGGAATTGATGAACTTGATTTAGGCTTGTGGATTTCCTGAAGTACTAACTACTTCTGTAGTGTAACAGTGTACTTTGTATGCATTTAAGTTTGCAACCAGGAGCTTTAATGATGGAACCAGCAGTGTGCATGGCATGATGGCCATGCTGTTCTTGAGACTTGGCAGCCTTTGTATATTTTTTCAGTGCCTCAAGCACAGAAGTGAAATTGAAGGAGATCAGATTAGCACACCATCCAGCATCAGCAGTCTTCCACAGGCAGCTTGGGAACCAGAATCATTGACACCTCACAACCACTGAGCACATTAGCCTCACAACCAGTGAGCACCATCCATGGGTGTAAGATGCTGGGTGTTGGTCATGGGAGTCTTACCACCCTCCACTCCCAGCTTGAAGTGCTCAGTCACTTACTTTATTATTACTTAAGTAGCTTACTTAATTTGGATCACCATCCTTGGTGGTTCTGGTAGTTTGAGCCATGGTAGGGGAGCTCTCGACTTTTGGCCAGGTAGTGCCAAGGGATGATGATGGGGAAGGTGTGGCCCTGCCACCTGAACCACTGCAGGATTTGCAGCTACCATTCAAGGTAGGAACACTGCAAGACTTGCAGCAAAGGGCTCACATCACTCAAGATGGGTGCCCAGAGTGGCTTTTCAGCAGGGCCCATGCCTTCTGTGGCATTGGGACTGAGCCAGGAAGATTCTTGAGAAGCAACAAAGCTGCCATTGAGGAGGAACTGCAGAAAGTCCAAGTGCCTGCCCAGCAGTTCCATTACAGGGGGACTGGTGAGCCTGAAGCTGGGGATAACAGCCAGTGGAAGGATCACACATTTGAGAGCAGAGCCTTTTTTGTGGTCCTCCTCTTGCTGACCAGAACCAGGTCATTGAAAGCACAAGGAAAGGTAAAAACCTTGAACCTCATCCTTGGCTTGGCAGCAAAAGCCTTTTCAGTCATGGATCTGGGAAAGCCTATTATGGGCTTGGTGACCAAAAGGGATGGAACCCTGGTGAGCAGGGAGCTTGCCTTCTCCAAGCAAGGTGTGTGCCTCTCCTTTGCAGAGTTCATCATGCTGTGCCCTGGTGCTTCAGCATTGTGGAAGAAACTGACCACCAGATGCTGGCTAAACAGGTGCATAACTTCATCTGTGGAAACCATTTCATTTCTGGACTTGTGGTTCTTTGTGGTGTACATCTATGCCCACCCCAAGCTCAAGCAACTGGGCCAAAACCTTTGGTCCTCCATTGGCAAGGACTTGCTAGTGGAGTTGGTGCACAGAACTGGGGAAGCCTTGGTCACAGTTGCTGTGCAGGCCAGTTCTGAGGCTTTGAGCATGCTCCCAACTTTGAAAACAAAGGCAGGGGCTGTGAGGAAAGTTGCTGATCCAGTGAACAGAATGCTTTTGTTGCTTAAGTTGAAGAAGGAGAAGCAGCACAGGAAGAGGATAGCTGCAACCCATGAGGAGCTGGGTGGCAGCACCAACAGGATGATAGTTTTTGAAAACTATGTTGACTGCATCCTTCACCTCAAGGCTTTGCAGAGCGGCTTTGAGAGAAGCAGGCAGGTCTCTGTGTCATGGGACCCATCCAACTATGGTGGGAAGGAGGTTCTGATGAGCATCCTGTATGACCCTGCTTTGGACAAGGCAGCATACCTCATGTGTCAGCACATGACACAAACCATGCTGTCTGAGCTTCATCCTTCTTTGCTGCCAGCTGCCAAGAGCAGAAAACTCTGCAGATTGGAAGGTTTCAAAGAGCTGAAAGGCTTGGGTTCTGCCTTGGCATCTGTGGGCCTGTCCCTGGCAGACTTTCAGGTTCCTGAGGGCCTTTTGTGCAGACCACTTTCATCACAGGAGTTCAGGCTGCAGGGCAAGGATGGTTCTTTTTGGAGGAAGAATGTGGCTACCAATGTGCTCAGTCCAGAAATCCCACTTGGTATGGACCTGGGACAGGTAGCATGTTTGGTCTCCGTGACAGACCAGGGCCCAAACATTATTGGTGCCACAAACTACCTCCAATACTCACCCAGTGCCCTCATGTTCTTGGCCTTGTGGGACCCTTTCCACAGGGCTTGGAATGACCTGAAAGGAGCAATGAAGGCATCCAAGTCTGGGGCATGGAGAACAGTCTTGGAGCTCACCCTGGTGGCCAATCTTAATTATGGCCCCTTCTCAAGCTCTGCCTGGCACTACAAGAAGAAGGCCAGGCTAGAAGATTTTTGTGCCACCAGGAACTGCAGTGATGAGCTGTGGGTCAAGTACCAGCATCTGATCTGCAAGGAGAGGCGGATGCAAGAGCCCAGCAGCTTTGATGATTGCCAGGCCTTGTTTGAAACCCTCCACACCTTGGATTCCTTCAACACCAAGGGGCCACTCATCAAGCTGATGAGATGGTTTTCCTGGTTTGAGTCCATGGTCTTCTACCAGGGGGAGCTTTGGATGACCAAAATGGTCCTGGAATCTGGCTTGGACTCCTTGGAGCAGGGGTCTGAGCAGGAGGTGGATGAGAAGCCAAAGGGCAACAAAGACCACCAAAAAGAATTACAAGAATTGAAGAAGAGGAAAGGCACTTGGAAACTTGCTCCCCAGTTGATCAACTCCAAAAACATGGCAGTCAAAGACTGCATTTTATCCATTGGGAAGTCCACCTGGCAGCTGTTTGCTGCAAGGGCCAGGGACATTTGCTCCCCCAACCATGTGATGGAGTTGAACATCAGCTGTTCCTACCTGGGATTTTGGAAGCAGGAACTGGAGGAGATGGTTCAGTGCTCTCTTTTTGATGAAAGGCACATGCAGCACCTGCTCCCTGAATTCAGATCCCATGAGAAAGTCTTGGAATGGCATGTGGATCTGATGGACAGGTTGCTTCAAACCAGAACTCAAAGCCTGGTAGCCTTTCACTGCTTGCCTCCCAACCTGTACAACCACATCTTGTCTCCATCTCCAGCAGCTGTAGTTGCTGCCTCTGAGCTGGCAACAGGCCACTGGAAGGTGCTTCTGAAAGCAGAAGAAGCTGCACTGGCAGGTGTGGAGGTGAAGCCTTTGAAGTCCATGCACTGGAGGCTAAACCCCTTGGTCAGAACACTTCTGATGGCCTATGAAGAGGATACTGCAAAGGGCAGGCTGTTCTCTATTGACTCTGCTGCTTTGAGGCTGCAGAGGGTGATTGCCAAGAACTTGGGCGACTCCAGGGTCATAGAGAACATACACCAACATGGAAGAGACCTGTACAGGGCTTCCAAGGCCAAAACCATTTCAAACACAGCCATCATGGCCAACTGTTTGAGGTCAGGTGTTCTGGAGCAGAGGAAGGTGTCCATGGTGAATGCCCATGAAGCTCAGAAGGCATTTGGGGAGGCATGGAGGCCAGCATACAAGGAGAGTGTTGTCAGCAGCATGAGGAGCAAAGGGAAAAAGATGCCTGTAGGACTGCAGAACTTGATGCTGGCCCAGAAGGGTGACCATACATGGCCTTCTCCTGCTGCTGGGTCTTTGTTCCAGTCTTCTATGGCTACCCAATGGCTCTTCAACTACTGGGGCAATGAGGACCTGCCAGATGTTGATGTCAATGCTGCTTGGCTCTCTTTCCTTGCACAGCCTGGTTCCATTCTTGCCCAAAAGTCTTCAGGCTTGATGGTGAAAGTCCTTGCCTCTGCTGAGTTTGGCTTTGTGGGACTCAGGATGAAGGTGGTGGTTCTTGACCAAAAAAGGTTTTACTGCTGCTGCCAGGGCAGGGACCAATTCATGACCCACTACATCTATGACCTGGATGATTGGATTGAGCTTCACACGGAACCTTCCTTACTTGGGGGGTACACAGGCCCCATTGGATGGGTGCCAACTGGCCATGCACCATTGCCTTTGGATGTCTCTGCTTTGGCCCAGGGCCACAGCATGACCTTTCAGCAGGCTTTGGGCCTGTTGAGGCTTTATGGTGCTGCTGGTGGTTTGCCTGGCAACCCTTCAAAGGCCACTGTGATGAAGAAGTTGATTGAAACAGTTGTGCCAGACAATTTGAAGGAGCAAGCCCTGTCACATCTCCAAGCCCCTCAGGCAAAAGAAGAGCAGATGTTTGATTCTGACTTTTCTGAAGTCCTGTCAGAGCTGGGGCAGGATGAAAACAACATCCAGGACCTCAAGGAATACAAGGAGAAGAAAAAGTTCTACAACATGAAGAGAAGGATGAATGCCAAGGACAGCCCCATCCCAAAGGCCAAGGCCAAGGGGAAGGCAAAAGCAAAGGCAAAGGCAAAGCCAAAACCCAAGGCCAAAGCCAAGGACTTTGCCACAAGATTTTCCAAAAGGAGGGCCAAGAAACTTGCAGAGGACAAGAAGGCAGAGGAGGAAGCATGCCTGGATTTTGCTGATGGCTTGGAGAAGGCTTTGGATGAGGCTGAGCAGCAGGAGCTTGAGCCTGAGCCCATTGTGCCAGAGGCTGGGCCCATGGAAGTTGAAGTGGCAGAGGCTGAGCCCTTTCAAGGTGAAGTGGCAGAGGCTGGCCCCATGGAAGTGGAGGAAGCACCTGCTGGTGCCATGGAAGTGGGGCAGGAAGCTGCTTTAGTTGCAGAGGCAGGTGAAGCAGCAGATGCTAAAGCCAAGGCTGCCCCCAGGAGGGAGGCCAGAAAAACTCCAGAGGAGCTGATGGCCTTGATTGAGCCTCCAGGGTGCAAGATGGGGATCTCTTTCTTTGTGCACACATTCACTTCCAGATGGGCCCAGGACCATCCAAGTCTGCCTGGCCAGTTTTCCCAAAGAACTTTCAGCAGGGCATTCTTTGCAAGGAGAAGCTGGAGAGAGGCATTAGTGGATGTGCACGAACACAACTGGAAAAAGTGGAGGCAGTTGAAGAGTGTGTACCCACTGGCTGGCAAAAGGGAAATGGAACCAGGGCAGATTCCTGACCATATCCTTGACCAGTTTGAGCCCATCATTGCTGAGTTGCCAGAATATGTCAGGTACCATGAAAAATGATGGGCCTCCAGCTGCACCATTTGAAGGTGTGCATGTACCAGTTACCAGCACAGGCCAAGGCAGCTTTCAAATTGCTTGGAAAAAGTTTAGGAAGTTGGTGCTGCAGGGGCTTGACATATGGCCTGGTATTGGTAACTGGGTCTGGCTTACTGGACTTCTTGTGCACTTTCTGGGTGTTAGCTGATCATTCTGCCATGCTTGCTTGGATGGGACCTTGCTGGCAGCCTGCTGGGCATCATGCTTGACTACTTACTTGCTGTGCCAGCCTACTGCTGTGCAAGCTGATGGCTTTGGGCAGGTTGCTAAGTTACTGTGTGGTGGCACACATGGTGCATTGAGGCACAATGCTCAACTACTTGCTGTGCCAGCTTACTGCTGTGCAAGCTGATGGCTTTGGGCAGGTTACTAAGTTACTGTGTGGTGGCACACATGGTGCATTGAGGCACAATGCTCAACTACTTGCTGTGCCAGCTTACTGCTGTGCAAGCTGATGGCTTTGGGCAGGTTACTAAGTTACTGCGTGGTGGCACACATGGTGCATTGAGGCACAATGCTCAACTACTTGCTGTGCCAGCTTACTGCTGTGCAAGCTGATGGCTTTGGGCAGGTTACTAAGTTACTGCGTGGTGGCACACATGGTGCATTGAGGCACAATGCTCAACTACTTGCTGTGCCAGCTTACTGCTGTGCAAGCTGGTGGCTTTGGGCAGGTTACTAAGTTACTGTGTGGTGGCACACATGGTGCATTGAGGCACAATGCTCAACTACTTGCTGTGCCAGCTTACTGCTGTGCAAGCTGTTGGGGCTATGCTTGCTGTGCATGTGGGGTGCTGTGGAACCTTTGAGTTATATAATAAGTAAATCACATTAAGACTTAAGCTTGCTGGGCTCTGTGCTTTGCCTTGCTGCTGTGCAACTGGGAAGTGGCTAGGTAGCTGGCACCATTTGTGGCACCATTCATTTTTCAGATTTCACCTTTTGCCATCAAGTCAGTCATCACAGTTTGTTTTTTGTTTGTTTGTTGGGCTGGATGTTCCTGGCCTTACTTGTTTGCTTGCTTTGGTGAGTGACCAGGGTCCCAGCTGCCATTCATCTAAGGCTATGGCAGAACACGGTGGCATGATGATTCAATGAGTATGAGGTTGGTCACCTGAGAAAAGCTCAGAATTCACCCAAGGGGGTGGACAAACCTTGGTCACACAGGATGTGTGGAAAAAAACCAGCTGGTGACAGGGCTGTTTTGCAGGGTTTCTGGTCAATGTGGAATATGGGTGTTTTGTGGGTGTTCTATGGGGGCCATTTGGGTGCCCACTAGGCATTTTTTAGCCCTACATTTTTCCCATTTTTGGGGATTGCATGCCAGCACAAAACCAACCAATGATTCAATGGCAGAGGCTGGCTTCACAACTGCATGGACTAGTTAGTTATGAACAGGTGTTCAATAATTTTGGGTGGATTTTGTTGAGGCTAGCTTCTAGCTTCACAACTGCATGGACTAAACAGTGCAGTCTTGGGTGGGTTGTGGAGGCTGGCTTCACAACTGCATGGACTAAACTTAAACTGCATGGACTACTTATGAACAGGTGTTCAATTATGGGTGGACTTGTTAAGGTTAGCTTCACAACTGCATGGACTAAACAGTGCAGTCAGCTGCATGGACTAAACTTAAACTGCATGGACTAGTTATGACCAGGTGTTCAAGTATGGGTGGACTTGTTAAGGTTAGCTTCACAACTGCATGGACTAAACAGTGCCACTGCAGTCTTGGGTGGATTGTGGAGGCTGGCTTCACAACTGCATGGACTAAACTGCATGGACTAGTGGTGCAACCTTAGGTGGATTTGTGGAGACTGGTTTCAGTCCAAAACTGCATGGACTAGGGGTGCATCCATGTGTGTGGATTCATTCCAAATATGAAGTTGCAGTTAATGTTAGACCCAAATGTTTTGAAGACATTGAAGTGAAATTCTAAAAACCTACAGGTTTTAAACACCCAGGGTGTTGACAAGTTAAGTCAATCTTCAACAGGCTATTTCTCAGACTTGGGCATCAACTTGCCAACACTAACTGCAGGATTTGTTGGGGTTGTAGTGGGGTTCACTTGGGTTTGCAATGGGTTTAGTTTAGATCTGCTCTTTCTCCATTTTTTGGGACCCTGTTTGAACATGACCCCTATTGAAACAGACCTCAATGTTGCAGAATGAGATTGGGGTAACTACCCTTGGATGGCCTTAATTTAGCTCGGTGAATTATTGTAATTTACCTAGATGTATGTCATATTTAGCAACATTTACCCCAATAAGTGAGCCGAATGTAGGGACATATTCCATACAATACATGGAACATATGGGATATCTCAATATGTAAATTGCCTGTAATATACATAATTATATATTGTTATATGTAAAAACTCATATGGCTGCGTAGAACTGAATTAATTTCCATTCCAGGATTAAATTGCAAAAGGGTATGCGACAACTCATTCATCAATCATGTGTCAGGAGATTCAATGGCTTTAAATGGACATGTATCAACCAAGTTCTGCATACCCTCTGGTGAACTAACATAGCAATGGAAAATGGCTATAGAAATAGTGGATTTTCCCATTAAACATGGTGGATCTTTCCATAGTTATATGTTAGTTCACCAGAGGGTAATCAACATGAAATATACACTTCATTGGATTGGTTTAAGGGAAAATTTACAGGAAACCTCCATATTTAGTGGTAAAAACCATGGTTTCCTGTAGATTTTCCCTTAAACGAATCCAATGAACACTGAAATCAACCAAGTCAACCAAGTTCTAACACGCTTAGGGGGCGCTCCGAAAGGTCCAGAAATGTCCCCAGTGCGCGCAGGAGGCTCGAGCAGTCGAGGGCCCTTGAGTCAGCGAGGCCGGCAGTTCACCAGAAAAAATTGGGTCTTTTTCATCCAACTTAATTTACCATCTAGTTATTTAACATAGCCATGGAAAGATCCACCATTTTTAAGAGGTAAACCGTCTATAAATGGGCCATTTTCCATGGCTATGTTAAATAACCAGAGGGTATCTTTAATGGGGATTTTGAATATTTTGACTGGGTTTTTATTCATGGCTTTTGGGATTCAATGGGATAACTAACCAATTGGCTAGGCGCGTCATCAAACAGGGCTGGAAAATCCCCGTGGCCATGGGCTGAACTAAGTGGATTTCAGTTCCTGGGCGCACCAAGTTATTGGTGATCGCAATGTTCAGAAAAGCGGATTGTTGACCAACCAATCCACAAAGGATGAGTGTAAGGACAGTCAGAAGCTGTGTGTTTTGGTGATTTTTCCTTGATTGATTGGTGATTTTAAGGGGATTTATCCATCAGTTATAGGCTTAGTTGCTCGGGCACTCGCGTTGCGAGCACTCGGCACTCACGTGCTGCAACTTACGTGCTGCAACTTATGCCAATGCATTTTTCATGGACAGAAGTACGTCATTGGGTTTTTTTGAGTGAGAGGCATGTCGATGCTTTTTTTGGTGAATCAAAAATGCATTGGCATATTAGCTAAGATCAAGTAAGCCCTTTAAGGACTTTGGATAAAGTAAAAACCCTAGGAGTGAAAAAGGCCTTGTCTCTTGCACAGGCCCCCAGAGAAATGCATTTACTTGAGTGTGAAAAAAACATCCGGAAACATGTATACTTTTGGGCTCCCCCAAAGCTTAGAACCTCAGCTGATGCTTTTTTAATCTTCAAGTAAATGCATCCATATGTGTCGACCATACCAAAATCTCTTGTGTTGCAACAAATGCATTTACTTGACAGTGAAAAAAACATCCGGCAACATATATATTTTTGGGCTCCCCCAAAGCCTGGAACCTTAGCGGATGCTTTTTTAATCTTCAAGTAAATGCATCCATATGTGTTGATCATACCAAAAGCCCTTGCGTTGCGAAACAGCGTGTTGCAACGGTACGTTGCGCGTGCTGCGTGCTGGAGCTACTAAGGTTATAGGGGTTGTGAGATGGTTTTAACCATGAAAACAATGGGGATATAAGTGGTAAATGATGTCTGGCTGCTGAAGCTGGGAACCATGTTGGTCAAAGCATTTTTTCAATCTGGGTTTTTATAAACTTTGAATGGATTCATACACAAAGATACCTAGAACCGGTACTATCTATATGATATACCATGATATAGGATCATATATGGTGCGACCATACAATGTATATCAATGTATGTATACGGTAGTGGTTAGGAGACATGAACAAGTTCCTAAGCAATTGGAATTGGTATATGGGTCTTGGCGAAGTATGAAGTAACATCACTGCGACCTCACGAAAAAATGCGATACTGGGTCTGTTTCCAGTCAATCAATGGATTGGTTTGAGGCTAAGGGAAAATTGACACCGGAAAGCCGTATTTTTTTCATGGGGAAAACCCATGGCTCTCGGCTAAGATTTTCCAACCAAGAACGAATCCATTGAGTCAAAGAATTGCGATGACTACTTGATGGGTCTCATTGGGGTACCAAATGAACCCTCAACATTGGTCCAACATCGCGATCTGAACCCTGCCGTTGAGAGGCGGTTTTGGTTTTTCTGAATATATGGACAGAATATGATCGTATTATGACTATAATATATGTGATATTAAATTTCTGATTATAAAGAATCATAGATGTATTTTGCTCAAGTCTGAATTTGTTGACCATGTTGCTACTCCTTGAGGCTCTGATGCCGCCACAAGTTACAGAGATTCCACGGTTTCATAGCTGGGATGCGCTATCCAAGTGATGGTGGACCATGGTTTCCTTGCGGATCTTTCCTGGTTTCCGCAACTCAGTGAGATGTTCAAAATCCGTCAAAAGGTTGATGATTAGTTCAGGGGTTTCACTATGTTTCACTCACCAAAAAAAACTACTAACAATCACTGGTTGGTGGTTTGGAACATGAATTTAATGACTTTCCATTGGGAATGTCATCATCCCAACTGACTTTCACTCCATCATTTTTCAGAGGGGTAGGTATACCACCAACCAGGTTTCATAATCAACCCGAGTTTGGGGAACTAACAATAGCTTGATGCTATCAACTAAGAATACTCACCCTTTTGGTTAATTGAGGGTTGTCATAATTAGATTAGGGGATTATCAACTTAATACTAACCCACATTGGTCCACATTGGTTATATATATATATTAACTCGATTATACCGTAATTATACCAATTAATTATGATAAGGTATAATGTAGGTTTTCATTACCATACTAAGTGGGGATTATCATGATCATGTATCCCCAGATTGGAATATTGGGTTAGTATCAAAAGTTCAAATATATAGTAATCCACACTTATTACTAATACTAAGGGTTACCCTCTGGTAAACTAACATAACTATGGAAAATCACCATTTTCAATGGGTAAATCCACTATAAACGACCATTTTCAATAGCTATGTTAGTCATTAATACTAAGGGTTAGTACAAATCTTCGCCCAATACGGGATGATCTATGGGATAATACTAATACCAGTCCCTATGAAACCCATTAATTGTTGGCAATATTAAGCAATGCGAACCCTATAGTAATTATGATATCATAACTAATATTTGATAAATGATGATATCATAACTAATACCAATGAGAACCTACACTATTCAAATGGATATGATTTGGTATGATTGGGTTAGTAGAAGCCTTTGTATTTCAGTTGACAATCATAACTTTAACTGATACTGAGATAATCTAAGATACTTAGGTTATAAGTTTAATTTAACTTTATCACTAACTTAGTATTTTAGACGATAGCCATTTAATCATAAAGTTGGATTATGGGAAAATTTACAGGAAAGCCCTATATTTGATGGTAAAAACCATGGTTTCCAGTTACAATTTTCCCTTAAACCAATCCAGTGATTTAATCATAACCCTTTTTTCGGGGGCGGTGGGATCATCAACTCGTCGACAAAACACCTCGAGGCTTATCTTCGATCTCTTTCAGCATCGAGGCCGTGGTCCGTGGATATCCATGGCCCTGTGATATACGTTGCGGTTACCCTCTGGTTATGTCAAAATAGCTATGGAAAATGGCCATTTATAGTGGATTTTCCCATTAAAAATGGTGATTTTCCATAGTTGTGTTAAATTACCAGAGGACCAGAGGGTATACTAAGGTCATATCAGTTGTGGTTACCCTCTGGTTATGACTAACAGTTCGCCATGGAAAATCCCAACCATAAATGGAGGTTTCTAGCTGGGAAAATCATCTATTTCTATGGGCCATTTTCCATGGCTATGTTAAATAACCAGAGGGTACTATTCCCAATGCTTTTGGAAGGATATAGTGGTGGTTATCATCTGGTTGGTTTTTTGCCACCCCTCTGAAAAATGATGGAGTGAGTGAAAGTCAGTTGGGATGATGACATTCCCAATATGATGGGAAAAATAATGAAAAATGTTCCAAACCACCAAGCAGTAATTTTCTATTACGGGCAAACCCCTCAGCTTGCCCGCGCCGATATTCGGACCACGTGTCCGAACATCAAAAAAACATGTGTTTTGTGAGACAAAATGCACATGTCCAGGATCGTGGCTTTCATCTTGCAACGCACAGCTTAGCCACCCTTAACCCTAAACTCCTCGAAAATTCCCGTGAATATAAAGTTTAAAGGGGGTGGGGATTGCATGATTCCCTAGAAACTCTGTTGAAACATCTTGAAGATTCCATTGAATATAAAGTTTCATGGGGGTAGGGATTTAATGATTCCCTAGAAACTCTTTTGAAACATCTTTCAAGAGCTGTGTGTGTGGGCGAAAGAGGGGGTTTGCGCGTCAGGTTACACATTCAGGTGATGCGAAAAAAACGTAGAGTTTTTTGGATCATGATATCAACATTATATCAACTATGTTTGTACCAAGAGATGCAATTCCATGTCTTTGGGGTTGAAGCACTGTTCCAAAGGATGAACTCATGAGGTCGTGATTCAGCTCATGACTGTGATCCAACTGATTCACACGAGCCTTTATGATGTTGTAAAATGGAGCAGGAAATCGAGAATATTCATTGTTTAACAGCGTTTATTTATGATACTATTGATACTATTGATACTATTGATGGAAATATGCTAGATATATCTAAATATTGTCCACATCAAATATTTTCCAATACGAACATCACTGGTTGGTGCTTTGGAACATGAATTTTATGACTTTCCATTGGGAATTTCCTCATCCCAACTGACTTTCACTCCATCATTTTTCAGAGGGGTGGCTCAACCACCAACCAGATCATTATCAACCAGATATATCTAAATATTGTCCATATCAGATATTTTCCAATACGAACATAAGATACTGATTCATATCCATTGGTATCTTCGTATCGAATCCTGATCTTCATCTCACCAGGACGGCGCCTCCTTTAGCAGCGGCAGTCTGTCCTTGCGACGCCGTGCAGGTCTGGAGGATCCCATGGATTTCAGTGGATTTCAGTGGATTTCTTCCAATAAAAATCATAGAAATCAGCATAGAAATCTGATATTTTGATGGTTCTGTTCTTATGAAATGGATGTGAAATGATATGTTGATATTTTGATGGATCTGATATTTCAAATCAAAACATAGAATCAGCATAGAAACGAAATCCCATGCTGGTTCTGCTATTCTCTTCGGTGTTTCATGATGATTTTTCTGACTTCCAAGCTTCAGTTGGGATCGCCACGGCAACAATCAGCTCTTTGAAACAAAAATCCCCAGCATTCAAAGTTGATATCATGGTACAATCATAGTTGATACAATCATAGTTGATATATATATGTTGATGTTATTGGTGTAGTATGGGCTATTGTGGTTTAGTATGATTGTGAAAATTCACCTAGAAACTCAGATACAAATCCTGGGCATTGTATGGCCTATCCGTTGTGTTGGCCATGTTCATGAACTCGGGGCCCATATGAAGGGCTGGGGGTTGTTGGAAACACTGCAGTGGATGAACCCCTTGGTTTTTGCTGAGAGCTTTCCGCCAAATCAAATGAAGCCATGAAAAAGCCTGGGCGATAGCCGTCCCGCAGGGAATATAAATTTGATTAAATTTGCACATACCCTCTGGTAATTTAACGTAGCTATTGAAAATGGCCCAGTCGAAATAGTGGATTTACCCATGAAAAATGGTGATTTTCCAGTTAGCTACGTTAGTTTACCAGAGGGTAATTTCACATAATTTCACTATTCATGTCTCCTCTCATGTTCACATTGTTCATGTCACTATCTATGGTTTGCGCAGGTTGTGCAACGTCACGTCACGTTTTCGTCATTTTTCGGCGCTGGTTTTCCCCAGGATTTTCCCCATCAACATCAGTGGTTTCTTGCGGGAAGTTGTTGGATGTTTTTGGATCAATGTCAATGGCATTATATCATTATATCATCATTATTAATCCCAATAAATTGCATTATATCATCATCATCATCACCAGCATCAGCAGCATCATCATCATCATCATCATCAGCAGCATCAGCAGCATCAGCATCATCATCATCATCATCAGCAGCAGCATCAGCAGCATCATCATCATCATCATCACCAGCATCAGCAGCATCATCATCATCATCAGCAGCAGCATCAGCAGCAGCATCATCATCATCATCATCAGCAGCAACATCAGCATCATCATCATCATCATCATCAGCATCAGCATCAGCATCATCATCATCATCATCATCATCATATATATATATATACACAGAGAGTATATATAATGATTATTAATCCATATTACTCCCAATAAATCCATCAGAATGCATCAGTAATTCCCCAAAAAACATCCCTTCTGAATATCCAAACTCTGGGCACTCCAGGTGGTGCTTTGCTGCTTCTCGTTGCAGCGAGCTCTGAGACTTGGCAGAGCGGTGAATTGGTTCTTCGCTAATCTATGGTGGATTACCCTCTGGTAAACATACAAAAAGCTATTGAACATGGCCATTTAAGTGAATTTTCCCATGAAAAATGGTGATTTGCCATAGTTATGTTAGTTTACCAGAGGATAGTTCATTGAATGGTGGATTTCACTGTGGATCTATTTCAGACTTGGCGAATGACTTGGCTAATTCTTGTGATTTTGATGCTGATTTGCTGGTTGAATGTGATTTTTATATATTTGTGGGATTCAATTGGACTTCATGGGGATTTCTGGTGATTGAATGGCTATTACCCTGGTGATTTCATGAGGTTTCATAGTGATTTTCTACTGGATCTCCCTGCTTGATTCATGAATGAAGCTGTGAGTTCCGGAAGCTGCACCTAGGATGACTTCGAAGCACCGCCATCTGCCCTTTTATGTTTGGATCCCCAACTTCGATGTTGGCGTTACCGCCTCAGTTCTCAACTGGTTTCAGTTGTGATTCTAATGTGTCATATAGATTTCTGGCTGGTGGTTTCAAACTTTTAAACATGTTTTATTTTCCATAATATATATATATGGGATAATCCTTCCCATTGACTAATATTTTTCAAGATGGTTAAAACCACCAACCAGATTTCATCTGAAGATCATGCGGTAGACCGAAACCAGAAACCATCCCATGTTTTCCGGAGAGTTCTATATCAAACCTCAGCCTCAAACCTGGAGGTGTTTTGGCGTTGGCTTTGTCACCAACCCATCAATATCCACTGATCGAATGTCACTCATACACCCTGCCCAGTGATGTTTGTTGGTTAATACACCTCAATTCACTATAGTTCAGTTCGTAGTTATATCTACCCTAAACCACACAGAAAACATAACTCAAACCAGTTCGTTCCACCAACTTCGCTTCAGTTCCACTTCAAAATCATGTCATCAAATCCCCTTTCAGTTCATATTTTCATGTCACAAAAACTTATAACGGTGCGTGCTAAACGCAGGGAATTTTCGGGAATGATCCACTGGCTAACTATCAATAATAATCCCAGCAACCCCCAGCAACCCATCCAGCAACCCTCCGTAAGTTTCGCACCCGTCGCCAGGTCAGTATGGCACCACGGGTTACACCTGGCAGCCTCTGGAGCTGCATCCGGAGGCCTCGCCGTTCGACGGATGGACGGCGGCCACGTGGACGGCGGATGGGGCTGCGGTGCTCCAGGCGCGGCTGGATCCGTTGGGGCTGATGATGATGAAGTCTTTGGAAGAAAAACAGGGAATAAATGGGTTGATTCTATGATATTTTTTGGGTTGTTTGATGGTTTTTGAATGTTTTTGAATGGTTTTGATTGGTTTTGAGCCAAGTGAGCTGTATTTGGGTGGTTAAATCGTGTTGGATCTCCATTTTTGGTGCTGGTGATGTCCAGCTTTTGATTCATGATTCAAATTGATTTTATCTATTACGTATTATTACGCATTTTTTCGATCTCTCTCTCTCTCTCATATTATATGTATGTATATATATATATACATACTATACATTAATTAACTGCCTATCTCTGTTTTAAAACGTTGTAAGTACCACTATCTTTTCAACGGATGGGTAGACACCAGATGGTGGGAAGGGATCGTTAGCCGAGGCAGGACACGCCCAGCAAGGTGGAGAAGGAAGCTGCTGCAGGTCCAGGGCTTGAAACTAGTTCCATCGGTGTGAAGGAAGTCAACAAAATGGTTTGAAATAATATGTATATATATAATATTATATATATAATAGATGTGTAGAGAATACAATATTAACTATAATCTCTATACAGTAGAATATTATATATTGTATGCTATGTGTATATCTATAGATAATCTGTACAGTATACATATTATGATATATAATAGATAGAAATATTATATACACACTATATTCTATATTGCATAATATGATGTAAACGTATTAACAATACCACCAATACTACCAGTATTACATGATCAAATCATATGTTCATGTGGTTTTTGGAGTTTCTGAAGTCGTGACCTCAGGTTTTCATCCAAGTTCTTGGTCCTTTTGGGGTTTCACCAATGGTTTGGGGCTCCACCATACTATCATTTCCGAAATGATACTATCATTGACTATGGTATTTATATACAGTAGTATCATTTCAAATCAATATAGTCATTTATAACTATATCGGAAATGACTATGATACTATCAATATTACTATCGATATTCATATCAATTTTTCATGACTATGGTATTTCAGCATCCACCGATAAAAAAAGTCGAAGCCAGATAGATGATGCATTGACCATCATTGACCTATCATTTGCGCTGATGCCTCCCTGGGCCCGAGTTTGAATCGCTGGGTGGGAAATCATAATCCATGACAGTCAATGTCAATCCGGACATGACCGGATTGAATGGTAGAGGTGGAGTTGTAAGGTGTGATGATATGAGTGTTTCCTGCAATATTGATTTCCCGATGATCATTTTCAATTTTGGATCATGTTGGACCTCTCCATTTTAGGAACCCCTCATTTGTGCCAACCTAGAAGGATTTGAGACTTCTCCTGAGATCTGTTCTTTCAGGTTGACGGTGTGTTGTACAGTCATTGCAAGGTGTCTTGCGAGAGTTATTGGCTCTTGCTTGTTTCTTTCTCACCTCATTAACCTTTTGGCCTGCAATTGCTAGCCGAGGGTCTGGCAGCTTGTCTGCTTGAGAGTGAGTCAAACCTAGGGTACATTGCCCAAAATTCATGGGGGATCTTCATCAGCTGATGAAACCTGAATTTCCTGACCGAAAAAAAAACTACGGATTCCCATTCGGGGACGACCATAGCACCATGAATTCTGCAGACGGCAGGCTGAGTTTGATGGTGACTGCACTCCCTCCAGCTGCACAAGGTGCGGACCTTTTTTCGTATCATTTTTATTCATTTTTTGGGTTCAGTTGGATTATGTTTTTGTTGGTTTGGCTGAAATTTGGGTTTTCAAACCATTGACTTTCCCTAAATCCGCAGCTTCATCGGTTCATGTTCCGTATGAAATCCATGGCCAATCCATGTCGTGGGTCTACCTGACTTCAACTGGCAGCCAAGATGGAGCCACAAGCCATCAAGATGTCGATGACCCGGTCCTGATTCGTGGCGCTATCTGGCTTTTGTAAAAGATGACCGCAATGTAATACACGATACATGGAGCATGTGATGATGTGGTATTCTGATGTTGCACTGGAACAGGCTAAAAGGGGCCCTGTAGATGGGTAACTTGATTTATAGCTAGACTAAGCAGTTCAACTAAGTAACTAGGTGGTGGATATATCAACAAGTGGATGGGCTAGCAAACCAATCTATAACCAGGGGGATCCTGAGGGACTAGCTAAGAATTCTCTGCTGCCAGGATCTCTAAGTGCTACTGTTCCATGCCCTGCTGGGGCCTGAAGAACAGAACTGGGAGGTCACTTTGGTCAAATATATTCGATTCCGAATGATATCCACCTCCATTTGAAAAAACGAAAGAACCGCCGCGGAGACTCAGTAGCTGATACAGTAGTTTCTTCAGAATTCGAAGCCAAACTTTAAGGTTTCAGGTGAAGTTGGAGAAGTAAATTGAACAGTCAATGTCAACCTCCATTACTTTCACATCAAATTACTGTAACCATCAAAAAGATAGAACAGTCATGAAAAGCCATTCTTCACTATTTTAGTAGGATTTTACTCTTTAGCTTTCTTTTCCCTATATATTGATTTAAATATTGATATTGGAATCCTGTATTTCTCGATAGAATCTGGCCATATACCTGAGGCCTATCATCCCGACACCTTGATTTGGCTCTTACGCCGGGGACAGGTGAGTTGCAACGCAGTGACTCAGTGGTGGTTTCTTAGAGTAACCCCATCTCGAAGACGTCATCCTGACGTTTTTTTTTATACATATTTTACATATGGACATGTCAGAACATCTGCAAAATGAGAATCTGTTTGAACATCCCATATTCATCTGATTGGTGCTTTGGAATCTGAATTTTATGACTTTCCATTGGGAATTTCATCATCCCAACTGACCAACTCACATTTTTCAGAGGGCCGTCTCTAGCATCGATCCAGTGATAAGAAAAGTTCTTGAGGGAACGTGTTTAGGCACAAGGGGCACTTACGTTTTTGATACCCTCAATGGATTGGTTTAAGGGGAAATTTACAGGAAAATCCCATATTTCATGGGAAAATCGATGGTTTCCTGTATATAGATTTTCCCTTAAACCAATCCATTGATACCCAGCTATTGATGAAAGAGTACGTCTTAAAGCCACTCAGAGACTGCGTTGAAGAAAGTTCACTTGGCGGCTTGGAATGAGGTGGCTTGGGCCAATTGAGATGATTATTCACTGAATCAGAACATGTCGACATTAGACTTGTTGAAAGCACTGTTTTCTCGTGTTTATTGAATTCATGTTTGTTTTTTCCTTGAGTAATTATTAGGATTATGATTATATATTATCATATATTATCATATTTGTTATTTTCATTATTCTTTTTTATTATTGTTATTATCACTAGCAAGGCTATTGTTTTCACCATTGCTGTTCTTCTTCTTCTTCTTTTTCTTCTTCTTCTTTATATAGTTTTCAAATGATGATTTTCATTACTGGTAATTATTATCATCACAACTACCATCTTACTGTCAGTTCTGCTGTTTAGTATTGTTTACAGTAGTACAATATATACATATACATATATATATGTATATATGCAAGTATATGTGTATATGGAACATTAAGTTCGATTGTGACTGCCGTTAACTTGCTGCTCAAGTCATGCATGTTTTTGTGGGTTGAAGGTTTGGGGCTGGCTGACCATTGCAAGTGAGGTGTCTCGCCTTTCTTCTTGTCCCTTCCTTTGCGGCACGTCTTCCATCCCTTGGTTCTTGCTTGGGCCTGTGTTGGATTCCTTGCGGCCTTCCTTTTCTTTGGATTTCTCCTGTCCCTTTGGATTTTCCGATCTGGACTTGGCCTGTTGTTGTTGCACGTCCTGTCAGGTCGTCACCCAGATCACGTCTTGCCCAAAATCTTGAATGAGCTGTCCGCTCACTGCCTCTGAGATTTCTGAAGTGATCAATAAGCTAAAGAAGCTAGAGGTTTGGAAAAGGCAAGTAGAACAGGAGCAGGCATCAAGCTCTTCTGGCCAGGGTTACAAGAGAGGAGATCCAAAGGCTAGAGCCGCTGCAATTAGTGCGCCTCAGGTTAGGACTGTCTTTCCCGCTCTCCCAGTCATTGCTCAGACTTGGAATTTGGTCGAAGAAGCTGCTCAGACTTGGAATTTGGTCGAAGAAGCAGGTCCTGAGTTCATTGGCAAAGACTTTGACGGAGTCGAAAGTGGCCCAGGGACTATTCCTCAACTTGTACTGGACCAAGCAGGTTTTGTGTCTTGGGATCAGAAGGACGCATTGCAAAGAATCCATTTGTGCTACAGTGCTGGTTTTTTCGCTCGGGCTGCTCTTGAGTGTTTCCTGGCAGAGCCTCTTTGTCCTCGCGACATATCATCGCCTGCGGAGCACTTCATTGTTCTGCGAGCTGTGGGCCTCAGTGGACCTGTGCGTTTTGCCTCAGCTGGGCATTTTCAGAGGTTCAGAGATCAATCGTTTGAAGGAGGTCTGATTGCCCACGGTTTCCAGACCGAAACCGAGTTGCAAGTTTTTTGCCAAGGAGGTAGGATCCAAGTCCCGCCCCTCTTTGAACCATGCTCGAAAAGCACCGCATAAAACCTGCAAGCAAAGGGGACCCTTCCTTGTTGGTCTTCACAGTTCCTGCGGAGATCTCATCGGTAGGGGATGCAGTAGACGTGTATGCTTTAGCAATTGAATTGAGACAAGGTGGAATGCTCCTTGCCTTACCGCATGATACTTTCTTGCAGCCCACTCTTGATGAGGGTCAAGATGCCACAGATGATGCTATGATTGGCCCGAATTCGGTTTTTTCGGTTGGTCTCGTTGAGGAGACTGAAGATCTTACAGCTACAGTTGCTCTGGGCGTTGAGGCGCCTGTTTTGGTGGTCGATGTCAGTGACGGCATTTTGCCGTATTGCCGAGAGTATGATCCAGTGACAGACAGCTTGGCAAGCATTCTTGGGTTTTCACTCGACTTCCCTCAAAGCCTCCCAGATGCTCCAGTTTTGCTATCCCTAGTAAAAGAGTGGTTGGTGCAAAGATCGGATGAAAGGACAGGTTTTTACACTGCTCAAGAAGACCAGAGTACTGTCCCAAAGACGCCTGTGCCAGCCGCCCCTACTGTGAATCCTGGGAAAAAGAATGCGACAGCCAAGAGGGTTACAAACACGATGATTGCAGACCAGTTGACGGCCTTGTCAGCTCAGATGGTGCTGCTCTCTCAGCGTCAGGACCACTTGGAGAAAGCTGCTTCTTCATCTGTCGCAGATGTTTCAGGTCTTTTTGTTGGCCCTACGCCCAAGTTGCCCCCGGTATCTGCAGGTCTGCCAAAGCTTGGGATGCCTCAGCCTTCAGTAGTTGCAAAGGCACTCAACCTGGTAGGACCCCCTCCCAAAGTGAAGTCGGGGGTCCCGCAGGTAGCTGTTCCAGATGTGGGGCAGGACGAGCCTTACGATGCACTTCAACCAAGTTCAGAGGAGGCTGGGAATATCGCCTTGGCCATAGCAAGACAGAGCAGCGCAATCACTACGCTGGTTGCGCACCTTGCCTCCCAGTCAGGCGATGTTTTAGGAGATCTGACGGCCGTAGGTCCTCATTCGAGTACCACCAAAGGCGTGCACAGAAGAGAGAAGATGCAAAGCGATCTTGCCATGGGAAACAGCTCCTTTTATTTGCAGATGATGCAGCAGTTGCACCGGAGGTTGCACCCGGCCAAACCTGTCCCTCAGACGGAAGCAGAACTTCAGCAGTTGTCCATTCTGTTGTATCTCGAAAGACAAGGAGGTTACAAGAATCAGAGAGAGATGGGTCTTTTGGCCTGGATTGTGGGTCATGCGTTGGACGCTGCTTCGAGCGGAGACTTCAACCGCACGAAGGAAGTTCTTGCTCTGTTGATGGTATCCCTGGAGCAATCAGTGGTAGATCGAGGAGATTGGTCTCTGGCCTATATGCTCTGCCTGTTGGAGGAGCCCCCATTGCAAGTTTTCCAGGAAAGGACCAACAACCTGCTGCACAATGCGCGTCCGTTCGGGCCACTTGTCCCACCTCAGTGGATGGCAGTTTGCTTACAGTACCTGAAGGATCTAGAGGTCCTTGCAACGAAGAAGAACGAGACATCGAAAAAGGCAGGAAAAGCTCCCCCGCCTGCGTTGCCAGCCGCTCCCTCAGAAGGTCCGGAAGAGGAGCCCTCCCCGAGGAGAAAGCCAAGGTTCCCAAAGCGGCCAAAGGCCAAGTCCACACCCGATGCATGAGTCAGGACCACAGGTCCGGGTCAGTCTTGGAACCCAAAGTTGTTAAGGGCAGACCCCATAAACTAATTAAAGGTGGACTTTTAAATAAGAGTAACTTAGGTAGCTGCCCTAGTTGTAAAGCACAGGTTTGTGATGGGTCCCCTTGCAAGTTTTGTGGATCTCATCCAAACGTCAAAGTTCCCGGAATTAATTTGAGCACAGATTTGGACACTCTTTCCTTTGCTAAGTGGTGTTCTTTCTTGACGACCTCTGTGCTGCGCACCAGAACGCCGTTTTCGATTTTTCTCCGTGCCACTTTGCACTTGGAACGAAGTTTGGTGGCTTCGTCATCGCCAGCATTTCCTTTGCCACTGCCGTTTCCAGGCATTTTCGCAAAGACGCCTCCAGGTCTGTCTGCAGCCAAGAGACGTAGGTGCCATTTTAGACGTGCTCTCCATGTCTTGGTCATGGCCTTAAACTATTGGTGGTCAGGTAGCAATTTCATACCCATGGAATTTCTGGAGAGGGCACCCTCCCTAAACCAACAGCGGATCTTTCGCAGGTTGGCAAGCCTGATGCTGGCTGACGGCCCCCGGGAGTCTTTTGAGACTCTTAGGAGTGGTCGACGTTTTCCCCAATTAGTTGCTAGACTCTCTGAGCTTTCCGATGCTGTCACTAAACTGGGAGCAGGTGCCAGTGCCTATGACAAGACTTTTGCAGGGCATGAGGTCCCACTTGACAATAGCCTTTTTGAAGAGTTAGAGCCATATAGGTCATTGAATGCCAGCCGTCTGAAGGTTGTCGGTGAGGGGTCATTTGACGCAACACCTTATCTTTCCCCAGAGCTTTGCATGGCCTATCGCTTCCCTGATTCTCTTCTTTTGGATAGGATTCCTAAAGCTTTTGAGTATTCCCAAAAATTCGACCCTGTTGAAGAAGTGGTTGCGTTGGCGAAAGTTTGGGATGCCAGAGGACTGCTGCATATTCATGACATAGATGTTCAGAAGTGTGCTAGACATGAACTGGTTCGTGTCTTCAACTGCCTAAAAAATGCCCAATGTGACAGACAGATTGGTGACAGACGAGGTCGAAATGCAGTGGAGATGCGCGTTGCTGGCCCCTCGTCCAACCTGCCGACAGGCGCTGACCTCTTAGACTTTGTCGTGGATCCGAAGCTTGAAACCCTCTCCATAGTTTGTACGGATAGGAAGGATTTCTATCACCAATTTGCCACCTCTGCCAATAGGACTAGATCGAACACTGTTGGGCCACGTATTCCCCTGGAATTGTTGCGTGACACTGAAGCTTTGAAAGCTTTTGCATCCGCAAGAAGTGCCAAAAAACCTAGTCGTTTGGTAGGAGGTGATGGTTTGGGGTTTTCCAGTCGGCAAGCTTTTTCTCGATGCCCTGATGGTTTTGTCATGGCTTCGTTTAAGAGTATATTCCAAGGTGATCATGCTGGGGTCGAAATTGCCACGTGTGCTCATGAAGGAATCCTACGTTCCGTTGGCCTTTTGCAAGATGAGAGCCGTCTTGAGAGCAGCCGGCCTTTTAGAGGCCAAGACATCTGTGAAGGTTTGGTGATAGACGACTATTTTGCCATTGCGAAGGTCCGCCCTGGAATCCTTGTTGACCCAGCAGTTGAGCGTTTCAAATCCTGCAAGGAAGTTTATGCAAACCTTGGTATTGTAGGGTCAGATGACAAGGATGTGAGTGGGGCCCGAAAGGCAAAGGTAATTGGTGCGTCTGTGGATGCCTCCCCCTGCTGTCAAGATAGGGGTCATGTCATGGTTGCTGCACCTGCTGCAAAACGCTATGCACTGTCTTGGATAACCCTCCAGCTCTGCCAACTTACACATACAACTGATGCGCTGCACCTGTGTGTGCTGGGTGGATGGACATCGACTTTGCTTTTTCGTAGGCCATTCATGTCCATTTTGCAGAAAGCTTTTCATGTGGTTGATGTTTTGTCTTTTGATGCATCAAGTCCGAAGTTGGTACCTCTGTCTAGGCCTGTTGTTACTGAGCTGACCTTGCTTAGCATCCTTGCCCCCCTGTGTGTCTCTGATATTGCAGTAGGGTTCTGTGATCGGCTGTTTGCTACTGATGCATCACTTGCGAAGGGGGCAATAGTCAGCTCTGAGATCAACCCTCATGTCATGGAAGGACTTTGGAGGGCCTGTAGGTCAAAAGGAGGCTATTCCAAGCTTCTATCGCCTGTGCAAAGTCTCCTTTCTAGGTGTGTGGATTTTGAAGAGACAGAGATGCGTGCTGATGAAGCAGTGAAGCGCCCATTGGCTTTCAGGTTTGATTTCATCGAGGTCTTTGCTGGAGCCGCCACTGTCACGTCGCATATGGCCGCCAAAGGGTTCTCCGTGGGATGTCCTATCGATTTGAGCCGCGACCCTGAGCTTGACATGACCAAAGTGCATGTGCTTGATTGGCTGCTGCATTTGGTGATGAACCATTTTGTGAAAGCGGTAATGGTCGAGCCGCCCTGCACAACATTTAGCATCATGAGGAAGCCACCCTTACGATCAAAGTGGTTCCCCTTTGGGTTTGACCTAATGGACCCACAGACACAGATTGGGACACTGCTTGGATATAGGGCATTTCAAATTTTGAAGGCTGGTGCAAGGTGTGGGATCACAGTTGTCTTGGAAAACCCGTGGTCATCGATGATAAAAAACCTTCCTCCATGGGAGGAGCTCCTTGGCCATCCCGAGTGTGAGCTTGTGCGATGTGATTCATGTGCTTATGGTTCGCCTCACTTAAAGGCTTTTGCCTTCCTGTGCGTCTGGGCTGATACCAGTTTTATCTCTTTGCGTTGCTCTGGAGGGCATACTCATGTGCCCGTACAAGGAGCCCTGACTAAGAAATCTGCCATCTATGTGAGTGACCTAGCCGAGGCGCTTGCAAATGTCATGGAAAAGGGGATTTTTAGGTTGGCAGAATTCGAAAGAGAGCTGGTGCCAGATGAGGTTTTGGGCCTTGAAAGCCAGCTGATCAACGAGCTTGCACTTTCCAGCACCTGGTCGTGTGATGCGGTTTGGAATTTTAGGATTTCTGCCCATATCAATTTGCTTGAACTTGAGGCTGTTGTTCGTCTGGTCGGTCGTCTTGTTGCCAAAGGAATCAGCAAGCGGATTGTTATCCTGGTGGATTCTAATGTCATAAAGTGCGCTGCATCCAAAGGTCGGTCCTCTTCCCGTGCTCTTTCGAAAGCCCTCAGAAAGCTCGCTGTTCTGTCGATCGTTGGTGGCCTCTACATTGTCTTTGGCTTTTGTCCTACTCGTTATAATCCTGCTGATGACCCAACTAGGGAAGTGGAATTGCGGGGCTCCATCCCGGGCATGGACTTTGCCGCTTGGGATCGCTTGGATTTCTATCGCCTGGCTTCCCTTCCAAAGTTGCGTAGGTGGGCCTCAAATTGGGTCAGGTTGGTTCTTTGCCTTTTGGGGCCTGCTGGTCTTGGTCTTACGGATCGTTCAAAGTACCGTGTCCCTCCTTTTCCCTATGGTCTGCACAATGTTGCCTCTGTCCCTGCTGGGTTGGAATCCATCCCTCCGTCCATGGAATTTGATTCAACCTTGGGTTACCCAGGCGAAGGTCCTCCTCACCTCACTTGCCATGGTCTGCTTTGGTTCCGGGCTTTGTGGTTTATGATGTGTTGTGTTTTACGTTTCACTCATGGCGTACTGGTTCCGCGAAATGCTGGAGATCTACAACGACTGAGTCTACGAAATCAAAGACCTCCACTTCCTGAAGGTAGACCCGTTTTGGGGATTACATCTCAGCACCGGGTCTCGCATTTGGAGCAATTCAGGTCCTGGCTTTCTTCTTTGGGGGTTTCTCTGGATGATATGCTGGAACAACATTTCACACGCATCGATGAGCTTAATAAGAATTTGGTCAGATACGGCCGTGCTCTTTATGCTTCAGGAAGGCCCTACAACCATTACGCTGAGACGATTAATGCTGTAGCATCTTTGAAGCCCGTGGTGAGACGGCAACTACAGGAGGCTTGGAATTTAGCTTTCGCTTGGCAAAGGGATGAACCTTCGGTACACCATATTGCAATGCCATGGCAGATTTTACTTGGGGCAATTTCAACATGTCTTTTCTGGGGCTGGCTGGATATGGCAGGGATGCTTGCTCTGTCTTGGGGTGCGCTACTGAGAGTAGGGGAGTTCCTTTCAGCAACTCGTCGTGACTTGTTACTGCCTGTGGACACCAACTTCACAAACAGGTTCGCACTGTTGGCATTGCGGGAGCCCAAGACGAGGTTTACTGCAGCGAGACATCAAAGTGCAAAATTAGATATTCCGGATCTTCTTCGAGTTGTTCACCTGGCATTTGCTCATTTACAACCGTGGCAAAAGCTTTGGCCAAAATCTGCTCAAACACTGCGCTCTCGTTTTAGAGTTCTTCTCTGCGAACTTGGGATTCAGTCTTTGCGGATGAATGGTAAAACCCTCGATTTGGGGTCGCTACGCCCGGGTGGGGCAACTTGGATTTTACAACAAACAGAAGACAGCGAGTTCACTAGACGACGTGGACGTTGGATAAATCAGAGAGTGATGGAAATTTACATTCAAGAAATTTCCTCTTTCCAGTACTTGTCAATAGTGCCTCCCAACTGCCGGTTGAAGATATATGCTTTGTGCGATTCTTTCTTGGCTACTCTCGAAGGTGCTGAGATTTTTCAATCTGCTGGAATACCTTTGACTGTCTGGTTTCTCGTTTGGCAAGGTCAAGTTAATCGGAAGTAATGGGAGAAGTGGGTGAAGTTCTTTCAGTGCTGGTCATGTTTGACCCAGCCAGGTCTGAAAGTTGTGTACCTTTACTCACTGAGTGCAATCAGCAAGGAAAACATGCGCTGGAGCTTGAGAACTTGGAACATTAAGTTCGATTGTGACTGCCGTTAACTTGCTGCTCAAGTCATCCCACCCAGGATCTTGGGCCCATCCCACTTTTACAGACTTGCCAAACGGGTGAAGTTCTTTCAGTGCTGGTCATGTTTGACCCAGCCAGGTCTGAAAGTTGTGTACCTTTACTCACTGAGTGCAATCAGCAAGGAAAACATGCGCTGGAGCTTGAGAACTTATATATATAGACATACATATTATACATGTTTTCTTGCCAACATCGCTAGCATTTGCCCAGCTCCTTCACATACAGGCGGCATTGGCACGGCGAGTGATACAGAACTTGCTGGATGTGAGCCGTTGGGCCGTTGGTCGTGGCACGAGTTGGGTGATGTTGGGGCCCATGGGGGGCCCAAGTTCAATATGTTTCTGTTGGTTTAATAACTCTTGCTAATTGGGGTTTTCCAAGTTGAATGTATGTGTATATAATTGTATATATATATATACATATCATCAAATACACCAACAGTAAACAACCCCCAGTTAACAAACCCCAAGTATGAAGTCTGATTTTGAATTGGTAGATATACCTGCAGTTGGATGAGTTGCATTTTTTTTTGGGGCACTTCATGTTTTTTAAGCCACTTCTCCTGGCTACAGAAGTAGATAATCTTGGAGCTGTGGGCCAAAGGTTTAGATGATGGGATACTCTGAATACCTGACGATGGAGGACAGTGGATTATCCCGAGGGTCTGAGATATTTTGCCGTTAACATTTGAAACCCATGTTATCTGGTTGGTGGTTTGGAACCATGGACTTTTATGGCTTTCCATATGTTGGGAAGAACAATCCCAACTGACGAACTCACTCCATCATTTTTCAGAGGGGTGGCTGGCTCAACCACCAAGCAGTTATTGTTGGGTACAGTGTTCAGGTATCCAACCCATGTCATTCCTGACTTGTGTGAACCGTGATTTCTCGCTTGGGCTCGAGTCTCTTCTGTCAAGTCCTCCCGCACCGCAAGCGAAGCGCTTGGTGCGTCGTCGTGACTTGGCGAACGCACGCTTTCGGAGGGATCAAATAGAGGTCATGTATGTGAATGTAGTAGACCCAACAACAAGGAATATCTCGTAAATACCTGGTACATGGCAGTTTAGCTTACAAAAAAAAATACATGCATGTAAAATCATGTAAATAAGTTAGATACGCTCACATTAATACTAGTTACTAGTTGGATCTGACTGATGTGGTATAGTTGGGGCATTTTCGAGATGGAGTTGTGGGGTGCTTCGTGGTTTCAGGGGTCTATCGTGATCGTGTTCATCCCATACCACTGGTATAAATATATGGTGAAATTCATCACTTCTCCGATGATCCTCCTATTTCTATACCCGAAAAACACTAAAAAAGACAAAAAAAACATCTGAGAGAAAGCCGAACTTCGTGCCAAAGTTTCGCCAAGTTGAAATCAGGATGCGAAGGCTTCTGATTCTTTGGACCACAGCAGTTGCATTTCATGCCGAATGATCCTCGGATGCCGATGCCGATGCCCAAAAAGGTCAGGTGTCAGATGTCAGTGCCATGCTACATGGCCATATTTTCCCATAAAAGGGGAATGGTAACGTTCCCCCAATGGTAGGGATTTTTTTTTGGGTTATTATGTGATATGTGATTCCGAGAACTCTTAATAATTTCTCTCTATAATATCACTCTCTATGTACAGATATCAGCAACTTGTAACTGACATGTCACGACCTACATCCATGACCAAGCCATCCGGGCGATCGTATCTCCCAGGAACTTACGATCATGTTGTGCCACGACTCCCGATGGCCGTTGGTGAAAATTGTCGTGTTTGTTCTTGGGAAATAGGACACGTGACCAAAAGGGGTTGTCCACGGTGATCCGTTTTACATATAATGTTTGGCATGGATAACCATGGACATGGTTATCATAACATTTATGATCCATATTATATATTACTATTACTATTATGATTGCATTGTGTTTATCATCCACATTATATTTAAATATATTTAAATTATATTTAACATGTTTAAGACAATGGTTCTTCCAAGATGTTGTCAGCATACGTAGTGACACATTCAGCGTTGAGATCCTACGTGACTGAGACAATGAGAGCGAGCTTCTGAGACGGCAACGCGGACGCGCGGCATCCAAGAGAGGCACGGCAGACCATGCTGTGGTTGCGAAATCCACCCGTAACTCTTGGGATTCCTGTGAAGCACTGTAAATGTAAATGTCCTAGGATTAAATATCATGGGATAAACTTCCCTACTTTAGCTGCTTTTTTTCCCTGATCTCAGGACATCATTTTTTTCATCATTGAATCGTGGCCATTTTTGTGGCCAAAGATGGCCCAACAGTGGAATATCCTGGATCCCGTGGAGGATTTCTGTGGGTTTGTTTGAACATGGGAAACTGGGAAAGGCCGAAGAAAAATGGCACTTTCGATTATCGATTTTTGGGAAAGATCTTGGAGAATGATGAAGCACTGGATGTTGGGTTATCCTAAATTTTCAGACAAACTCAAATGGAGATGATATAGAACAAACATGGCAGTGTATGCGACGAACTGATGTGGCGATGCTGTGAGAGAATGGTAAGAACAAGACCCCGAAGGATGATGAGAAACTGGTTGGCGGTTTGGAACATGACTTTTATTTTTCCATATATTGGGAATAATCATCCCAACTGACTTTTACATTTTTCAGAGGGGTGGCGAAAAACCACCAACCAGGAAAGATGACTTAAACCATTTAAGTGGGTCCTTTAGTACCCCATGTTGTGGTCGCCATACCATGCCACACCCTGAGTGAATTATGTCCATATACTGCCATACTTGGTGGCTCATCCCACGGCTCGTAAGTGGGTTATAACCCCAGTGATTTACATGGGATAAGGAGCGGATTAATCCACTTATAACTGGGGTTATAACCCACTTACGATCCCACTTAGTAAGTGGGGTATAACCCCAGTTATAAATGGGATAAGTAGGATTAATCCACTTATAACTGGGGTGAACTAACCCACTTACGATTCGTGGGTAGTTCGCCACCAAGTATAGGTCCATTTGCTAAATCCATCTATGGCTTTCGACATATCACCCATATTTGATGCGCTGGTGGGATCCATGATACGACCCTACCGCTGGAGGTGTCGCACATGTGCTGGCGCAAGGACAGACCCATAACTGGATAGCGCAACACGTTGTCGCAGCGTTCGGATTACGCTGGGTGGTTGCGAAATCCTGCACTACGATGGTTGAAACCCCATAAATCATATTAAATCATGGGATAAATCGCGAAATCCTGCACTGAATCCTATTCACTGACCTATCAACTGGTGGATTTCACTGGCCCATCCACAGTAGGCCAGCAGTTTTCAAATGCGTTCCACGGTGATTCCATATGGTGCTGCAGGAGATGTGGAACTGGAAGCCGCGGAAGACAAAGGCTGCCGGGCTCGGCGGCAAAAAAAGGGGTGGGACCCCAGATCTGGTGTTGCGAATGGCTTGAAAACCAACCTGTGCCTCAAATTTTCGGTGCTTGAACTCATCGATTTTCACCGACCAAAAATGCGAACTCGAAGAAAGAACCAACTGGATTTTCACCGGGCCGGAGCATTTTCACAGGAAAAGCAGCTTGATGTTTTCAAACTGTCCCAGGATTTTGACCTCGGAAATGCATGGTTAAATTCACTGAACATGGGGAGAATGAGAAACAAATGGATAGTTGAATTGATAGTTGAATCCGGAATATCTGTTGAATTGATCATCAAAAAGTTCAACACACTTGGATAGTTCTGTCCACAACTGGACAGTTCGACTCGTCTATTTCCCGTCAGGAGCTTTGGCAGAAGATCAAGAGACGAAACCAGTAGCGACTTGGGAGTCATGGGATGATCGCTGCGGAAATCGATGGACCAGTCATGGTTAAATAGATCTTCGAATGGTCAAGACATGTGTGTGACGTTATGTTTATTATGTTTATGTTCGGCCGTCGGCCTTGTTTCCTTCATTTAAAGTGTTCAGGTCTGGGTCTGTAATCTTAATTTAAGAGGATTTACGCATATTTAAGCATATTTAAGCTATGAAATGTTGTTCTATGCCTAGTTTTGTGTATAATCAGACGTACACGTGAACACATTCGTGATGTTGCCGCAAGAGATGCGTGACTGGATGATCTGGATCCATTTTCGGAAAGCTGAAGTATCTTTAGGTACTAAGAATGAATATACTTCGTAGTTTTTTATCGAAGATCTCATTCAACTCCCAAGCAAAATCATTAATCCCCATTTTTTTGTCAACAAAAACTGCAAAATCCATCAAAACCCCCCTGATTTCTCAGCATTTTTCCACATTTTTCCGACCTCCCGCTGGGATTTTGAGGTAACGAATCCCATCTTCGCGAGGAGTGCGGGGAAGTGGCAGGCAGGGAGTATGGATGGTTCCCAGGGCCCATGGTTTAATATGGTTTAATATGGTTTTATTATGGTTTAATAGGTTTAGTTTTATTATGTTTTATTTTGGTTTGATTATGGTTATTGTTTGACTTGAGGATGATTTATGATGATTTAATATGGTTTTATTAGGGGGAAAAGAGGGTTTAATGATGTTTAATGGCGATATACAGATATACAACCAGCATCAACCAGCAATCTGGGTGTGTCTGAAAATGGGTGTATATCAGCCCAAAATAGGTATTTGACGCGGAAAAGGATGATACACCATTAAGTTTGGGGGGTTCCTATTTTCAGAGAAATCCATATTAATGGGGAATAATGGGGATATCAAGGTGATACAAATGGATATCAATCTGTAATTTAGCAGGATTATAGCAGGATTTAATAACACGATTTAATAGCGATATAAAACCATGAATCTAATGCTTGATAGGGTTAATGTTTAACGGGTAGCACTATTTGACCATGGTTAATAGGGTTAAGGTTTACCATTGTAACCAACAGAGTTTAATGGCGATATATAGCCATCCAGCTATCAATCCAATCTAATCTAATCTATATAAGTCAAATATCATCTATATAAATCAAATCGAACCAAATCAGATCAAATCTAAGCTAATCTACGTCAATATATCTCTTATCTATATAATCTAACCTAACCTAATCTAACTAACCTAACCTAACCTAACCTAACCTAATCTAATCTAATCTAATCTAATCTAATCTATCTCTAGCTATAGTATGGGGACATGACATGGATATATTATATATATACACATAATATACACATGGATATAAGATTAATAACTGATCCAGGAACAAAAACATCGGCTTAACATGACTTAACGCTGAAACATAAGGGATTCAAACGCAAAACATGGGGAATACGGGTATTTCCAAAAAATGGGGGACCCAAAGCGAGCCACAGGATGTTGGTCATTTCTCAATCATGTCTAATTATTTCCAGGAAACAACTGGTTCCAATTGGTACCCATCAATTTTCAGAAGCACCCAAGTGGAAGCACCAAATGGATCACTTTTAGTTTTAACAACTTAACACCATCCATTTTTCTGGTGGGTGATGGTTTCGACCCGTAGTCAGACAATGTTCTATTGAAAAAATGGGGGGGGTGTCCATTGCCATGTTTGAGCGCGAGAGCGCGAGAGAGCGAGAGAGAGAGCGAGAGAGAGAGCGAGAGAGAAAGAGAGAGAGAGAGAGAGAGAGAGAGAGAAGAGAGAGAGAGAGAGAGAGAGGAGGATGGTGAGAGAGGAGAGAGAGAGAGAGAGAGAGAGAGAGAGTAGGATGGTGTTTTTTTGTGGCTTTCAACATGCTGCAAACCAGATTTGAAAGAATTGAACGGCCACCACAAAGGTATCCAGGCTATTTTTCCTCCAGTAAACAGCAAAATCCATCTGCTGGTTTCGGTACTGAACTTGTGTTGAAAGAAATCAGATAGCTAGATCCCATTCAATACTTTCCTTAAAAGGGAAAACGCCCAAAACTCATCATATCCCATTTGACCATACTTTTCCCCAGTGATGTGGATTGTCACCATAGAACTGGGTAAATTCGACAACACGAAGTCGAGATGGGAAGGGTGTCTCACCTTGGATTTGATTCAGGTGCACTACTCCGCGTGGCCCAATCACGATGAGTGCCGCGCTTTGAGAATCGGGTGATATGCTTTGAGAATGGGGTGAAGCAACATTTGGCTCATGATCTCTTAAGATGTTCCAATTTTGGAAATGTTCAGAAGATATTCCGACATTACCTGTTTCTTGGTTTTGAATGTTTGTTTTGTTGTTGTTTTTGGGATTGCAACCACCAAACATGGACCCAAGAAATATCGCTGGGAATGCGTCCTTTTTTGCTATCCCCGTTGATTCACTTTTGTCTACAGGGTGGCTTCCAACCCAGTTTAATATATGGTTATATTATGGTAAAATATATGGTTATTGGTAAACCAACATAACTATGGAAAATCACCATTTATCATATATATTCTACCAACCAGAATTATATAAGTTGCTTTTTAACCCCCATCAATGATATATCTACCACACATCCAACTGTTACTGGAGTAATGCTCACCCAGCTATCTAGGCCCCACCGGCCTTTCTGACTTTCTTAGCTATCCTGAGGTTCCTTGACGTTGAGATCTTCTGCGATGGGAAATACAAGCACCTTGGATCACCTTGGCACGTCTCAACCAGTTTTTTTTACCTGGGCTGCGGTCAGCCTGTCAGACATGCTTGGGAGTGGTGAAATCGCCCGGAATTATATTATTTATCTTGTCATTTTGGACATGGTGAAATCCTAGGTCCTAGGTTGCTTAACCAGCGTTCCGAACGGCTCCTTGAAAATGCCCATCAACTGCTGGATTCGGTGTCCCCAATGTGAACACCTGGGGCCCATTATTTTGCTGGGTGTCATGACATGGTATGGTCGTTTGATGTGTTTTGACGGAACACTGCGGTGTTTCACTGAAACACACTGTTATTGTTTTTTATAGTTCGTTGGAGGAACATGAAATCCGAAAAAACTCCATTCAACACCGGCTGACATGACACCTTTGGTCCCTAGCCACTTCAAGGAGTAACCCCTTTGTATTCCCAGCCATTTCACTGATGACCCGGTTTCCGAAGCAAGACATCAGGTGGGATGATCCTCCAGGGCCACTCCGATGAAATCACCAATGAAATCACCATTAAAGTCCCATAACCATGACAGAACAGAAGGCACTTCTTTCCCCTTCACTTTGGCGAGGTTGTGGAATGGCGATGTCTTGCAGTTGGCGGCCGCGAAAAAGGCCTGGCCGGACTTGGGGGAAATCCAGTGATGGATCTTTGATTTAGATGAATTTAGATGAAGATCCATCTAAATATTATAAATTGATTGATCTTCGATCTAAATAGTGGGGGAAACCCAGCGATGGCTGTTTTCTTGAATTTAGATGAATTTAGGGCGACTAAAAAAATTACTACTGGGGTACTACCAAGTGAGGTTCTTGTGCTTGAAACGATACTACTGAAGGAGGATCCGGGTGGTCGTTTAAAAGACATTTCACTTCTCCGTTATGACTGACATGTGCCATAGTCATATTAGTTGGATTTTCGGCCATATTGGGGAATGGCCATCAACAAATGTCAACCCGCTAAAGGATGGATTGCCATATCCCATGTTTTCCATGTTTTGACCATGGTACTGCCATGATTCACAGATCCACAGTTTGGAACATCGTTTCACGGCAACAGATGTATTGATATGTATTGATATCTGCCCAAGACCCTTGGGGCTCTCGCAACTAGAAATCGACAGTGGGATGGGTCAAAGCCGGTCAAAGCCAATGATACCTGATCTTTTTTGGGGCATTAACATCATTGAACATCATTGAACATCCACAGCGATCTTCTACTTACTAGCTATTTTGCTCTGAAAACCAGTAGTACTAGGTCTTCCCCATTCCCAATCTGAAAAAAAATCCATAGCCAATCTTTGAACCCATCTGGTACCGTTGTTTTTGTTCCAATCGCCATGTGACCCGTGCGGCGCTTCGATGGCGCCAGGAGTTGTGCGGTAAGGGCAAAGCCAAGAATCGCATGCAGTGGCTGGCGGCTCCCTGGGAGAATCCTGGCGAATCGGTGCTTGGACCAAGAGGCTAGGACCAAGTTATAGTATCGTCTTATAGTTCCATAATGATAGTTTCAAGTATTGGAAATGATAGTTTCATTAATATGGTCATTAGTAACCGTTTACATAACTATGGAACATCACCATTTATCATAAATAATGCCAACACCGGATTAATAACCCCCCCCCCGGGGGGTAGGTAGGTAGGTACCTTCTGGCTAGTTTTCTTGACAACCCCTAAATAAACGCACCCTGAACCATAAAATTCTGAACCATAAAACTTTGTTTCATAATGATAGTTTCAAGGATTGGAAATGATAGTTTCATATATGGCTATTGGTAAACTAAAATAATGGAAATGGTTATTATATGGTTATATTATGGTATAATATATGGTTATTAGTAAACGTTTACATAACTATGGAACATCACCATTTATTATATATATACGGGTTGGTGGTTTGGAACCATGGAATTTTATGACTTTCCATAATATGGAATGTCATCATCCCAACTGACGAACTCATATTTTTAAGAGGGGTGGCTCGACCACCAAGCAGGTTTCATATAGTTCCAAGATATAGTTTTAGAATGTTTCCCAGAAAATAACTTACTGGTGCTTAGCAGGGAATGAGGGAATGATCCATAGTCACTAGTAATAATCATCCCATTCCCCTATATTCCCCCATTCCCATTCATTCCCTACGTTTTAGCACCAGTAAGGCCAAGAATTGTCCCAGTTCTGGTGCTGATCTCGGAAGCTCATCCCATATCCTGAAATGATGTGGCAATTCACCAAGATGGGCAGTAATGAAAGGAGGGATAGCATGGAGATATATCATAATATATCATGTTAGTAGACTGTAGATCCAATGACTGGCTGTTAAACAACTCCTTTTGATGTCCATAAAGAATGGGATGAAGCCAATACAAATCAGATGAAGAACGTGGATTTGGAGTCCACAAATGGCGGCATGTTTTGACTGGACCATCCGTCCAATTTATAGGTTCGGTGCCTGGCATCTGGAGAATTTGTGGTGATGTTGCAACTAGCAGCATCTGGAGATCTGTGTACTCTACATGGGACAAGACCACAACGGCCTTGTGCAGACCACCCGAGGCGGGGAATTCAAAAGGATGATCCAGCTGAACATGATCCAGCCATCGGCAAGGCTGAAGAACTGGTGACCACAAAACAAGCCCCACAAATGATGTCATAGGGAAAGCCTAATCCCTAAACCATCCCTTCTGAAAACCACGCATTTGAGAATCACTTGACATCATCCCGAATGGGGGGGTATACCATGGTTTACCCAATTTCAAACATTTTTCCAACTTGGGGATGGTTTATGGCATTGGCTTTACCACAGCCCTAGATCCGGTCAAGAAATCGCACATGAGAGGCTCAGGGAGCCCTGACTTGATTTGACCATTTGACCCATGATCCAAGGACTTCTGAGAAGTGGGAATGTGGATGGCTCGACCCTCAGGATGGCTGCCACAAAAGCTGCAAACCTGAATTTTCCTGGGTGTCTTGGGTTGATTTTGAAAAACCATCAGAACTCAAAAAAACAAGTTAAGTCTCTTGAGCTATCCTCTGGGATGATGATTGGTCGCGATTTTATTTTCGTTTATATAAGCTGGTTTCATGGCCGATTTCTCACCACTTAAGTGGCTTTTAAAACGGCTTTTTGGCCCCAAAACCTATCAGCGACTGTCAGACAATGCCACATATTCGAAACGGGCCCAACAAAGAGATACATATATATATATATATAATTATATATATATATACACACATCCTCTGACAGATAATCCAACATAATTAGCTATGGAAAATTATGGAAAATGACATATTTACAGAGGGGGGTTGTAATATATCCATTATCAATGGTGATTTCCCATGGCGACCGAGCCCTGGATCCTATCTTCAGGTATGATCCTGAAGAGGACCAGATCCACGCCTACCACTACGTCAAGGGTGCGAACAGCACCGCCGAGGAACACAAAGAAACCGATGACTTCTGGGGACGCTCGGATGACTTTTTGCTGGCCTGGAAAGATGATGTGGATGATTGTGGATGTAAATGGATGTAACTGGATGTTTTGTTATTGTGTATTAGTATCAAATAGTTCAAGCCTTTGCTCTTGAACTGCAAAGCTGATCATGGAACAGCGAGCAATGTTTCGGACATTCCTTCTGGGGATGCTGTAGACTTCCTGTGTTGAGCCAACCTATAAAGATGGAAACAGCTCCTCCTCATTGCAAAGTGGGCGGTTGCCCCGGTTACGAGAGCTAAATTAATAGGTCAACTTTTCTGGTTTGTGGTAGATATTATATTATATTATTATTACTATTATTATTGTTTATGATTATTAGTAGCATTATTATTACTATTACTAATACTATATATATATTATCTCTTATAGATAGAAATTTTATTTAATGAGGTTAAAGAACCAGTCTAGCTATCTAGGGGAAGCACCTTGCAGGGACGGCATCTCCGTGCCACGGGACGCCGACTTTCGCCCCAAGGACACATGGACAAATCTCGACGTGTGGCCTTCATGCTGCTTGCTGGAGCCAAACGCCTGGTTTTTCATGGGGATTTATACTGTCATATACTGTCATATAGGGTTTTTAATAGGGATTTAATAGGGATTTATACTGTTTTTAATATTTATATACTTTTGTATATGACTGTCATGTACTGTTACCACTGATTATTTTACGAACATATAATTGGAATGGTTAATGGCTCAAAGTGGGCGTTGGTTTTCGCGCGTGTTTTTGGGTCTGGGCTGTCACCTCACGATCAGGGCTGCCAGCCGGAATGTACAGTTACACCATGTTTGATTCGTTATTGACGAGCATGTAACAATCAGTTATATGATCTTATATATATATATTACATATTTATATTATATTTATAATATCTATTACACTATATATATATATCTATGTGTATGTATATAGAGTTTAGTTTTGCATCAAAGAAATGGAGACATGAGTTAGGTGAGACATTTGATTGATGGTGATCTGAGTGCGTGATCCTGATGCAAGTTTTTCACATTTTCCGAGAGGTTTTGGTTCACACTGCTCAATCAAACCGATGCAAATCCAGTCATAAGCCCATTTTTTGTAACACATGTTTTGTTTTTGTTCTAGAAAGTGAGGGTACCCCCAGTTCTCTTCCTTATTTTCATAGGATTAATCGGATTTTCCATGAAATAAACCATCCAGCTATTGGGGTACCCCCATTGATGGACATCCCCGCATGAGTTTGAGGTTTCTAAAATCCTCCGAAGCACAGTAGGGAGAGGAGGGCCACCATAACATGCCAGCAAGATGGACCACAAGAAACATAGATGTACACCGTTTTTGTCATCTTGTAAGCTGTCATCTCTAGTCAAATATTTTATTTTGAATTATCCATATATATATATATACTGTGTACATATATGCATAACATATGACATAACATATATATATATATGTTAAAGTTATAGAACGATAGATATATTATATATATATGGAATTATATGGATGATATGATCTTCCGATCATTTCCTATGAAAAAAACACAAATCCCTTGGCTGCACTGGCTTCCTGATCTTAAGACAGATCGAGCTGAGGAATTGTCCTGGCTCCGTTGCTTGACCCAAATTGTGCGGTTTCGGGTTTCTGGTTTCATTCAACGGATTGGTTCAAGGGGTTTCATTCACCGGAAATTCCATGGTTTTTTGCCATCAAATTGGCTGGGGGTTCCTGTTTTTTTTTCCCTGAAGCCAAAAATCAATGATTCATGCTGAAAAAAACATACTATCTCTGACCAATCTGAGATGGCGACTTCTGTTCTCGATGTTTTGCCATCTCTAAACGGCCACCGGACCAGGGAATGAAAGGGACGATGATCCAATTGATGTAACTTTTGCCCCGAAAGTAACTTCAAACATCTTCAGAGCATCGCTTTTTTTTTTTGCATATAAGGTGGTATCACAGCTGATCACTATATTTGAAAAACATGGGTGGGGTTCAGTTTCAATATGTTTCTAACGACATGTGGTTTTCCATGAGCCCCCCAAGGGGGCTCCAAGGCTGAGAAATCTGCAGCGAGAAATCTGGCACTGGTTGGGACCCTGGGGGTCATCATGGCGATTCACAAAGAATGGGGATGTAATTGATGAATCATGGTTGGTATATGTTGGTATTGCGTAAAACTAGGCGATGATACCATTACAACCCAAGAAATGGTTAGTAAGTGGGGTCCAAGCGTCCCAAGTTTTTTTTTTTCCAGAGGACTCCGTAGGGTTACTCCGTAGGGTTACTCCGTAGAGTTACTCCGTAGGGTTACTCCGTAGGTGGGATTTGTGAAGTGTTAGCTTAAGTACATTTCAGGGTGGATTTAAGTAGCGAAATATAGGGGGTATATCAGTATATCCAACATTGACCAAACATTTCATGGGAATAGAGTGGTAAACTGGATTATTTGAAAATTTTGCGGGATTTTTGATGTGATAGCCCAGCAAGCTACTAATGGGAATAGAATCTCAGAATGGGATAGAATGGGAATGTAAGATAATATAACCCATAAATGAATATACATGAGGGATAATGGGGCTTAATAACATGACCAAAAGTGGCCCCCCAGGGACTTGGATATATTTTTCCTGCAAAGATGTGCACAATCCAAGCCGCATTTGGGCAGATCATGCTGACGTCATCTTTCCGTGGTCGCGTTTTGGGAATGGGGTACCAAAAGTGGCTTAGGGCTTAGGGTTTTCGAATGATTAGATTCGTGCTACAACAATCCATCAAATCTCTCGGTGCAAGCTACAAACATGAGATAGAATTGAGCTGTAAATTCAGAATGGGTAGTTTTAACCTGGAAGTGGAGACGCTATTTGTGAACCGGGTCTGCATATGTATGCTATCCATTGCTATCCGAATTGTTGTACGTTCAGCTCATCCCCAAGGAACTGCCGATGCTTGTGTCCCTGGCCTCCCTGGCGGCATGGCGAATGCTGTGAGAAATAATCCCGTTTGGCCGTTCGAGTCAGAGCGAGTTTCGGTGAAGGTTGGGGTACCCCCATAACTTGCCATCCAAAACCAATGGCTGACGCCAATTTTCACATCCCGAATTTTTGGATTTTGGGGACCCCATTTTAAGAAGCTCCAGAAGAAAATCACCATTTTTAATGGGAAAATCCACTATACATGGCCATTTTCAATAGCTATGTTAAATTACCAGAAGCTCCAGAAGCTGGGCAGAATAGAGAGGAAGGAACCGAATTATTCCGTGAATGGTTGACGAGTTCACGAAAAGCTATGAGGTGAAAGGGACGGTTGAACCATCTTGGAAGCGACCGGACCATATCAATCCCTTCCCTATATTCAGATATACCTCTGTAGAAACTCTGGTTGAGCAGTGTTCGGATCTCTGACTCCATTTATATACAGTTTATAGAGGTTTTTACTACCAAAATGGAGGATTTTCCATGACTTATAGTATTTTCCATGATTTTCCCACCTGATTAACATCTTGTAACCAGAATTTTCCAGCCAGATGGTACTACTTTGCGATTCGCAGGTACTTCGTGCCCGAAACCGCGGCGAAAGCTGTGGCATCTCTCCAGTGGTGGTTGGGCATCCCAATTACGTGTCCAACTTGGGGCTTTTCGGTGGTGTTTTCCAATCATTTCCAATCCATATTTTATCATACTTTGAATATATAAATATGATTAAATATGGATCTATAGAGTATATCATCCAGTTCATATCCATTTGTTTATCATACTTTGATGTTTCCCACTTTGAGATATGAACAGAATCTGAATATATATATATTATATACATATATATATATGTACTTAAAGACTCTAAAAAAGTGGTACGTTTTCCAATTTTTAATGGGTGAAGGTCAAGGAACATTTGAATCACAGAAACCCTTTCCTTCGCCTACTTTTCTACGCCGGTTGAATTGTTGAATGGCTCTGACCATGTCAGGCGCTGAGACATGTAAACAGCCTCACATTATTTTGTTCAGTGCGACTACGACAAAGGACTATGACTTTTCCATGCAAAGCCAAAGACAGCGTTCGAGATATACAGCGGTATACAGTTGACCGTTCGGGTGTTCAAGCCATTGAGCCTCCAGCATTTACCGTTAGTCCTGGATTTCCAGTCTAAAGGTGTTCACCTTGTGGAGAAAGCACTGGATTTTTTCATTCGACAATTTCACAGAACGTCATAGAACAGTTATTCAGTATCATGTCACAACTTGAATATCAAGAGTATTTTTGATGAATTATAATTACCTCACAGTGACGTCACTGGAATGATGGTTAGGATAATTCTACCATATATACATACACATATATATGTATACATATATATATATATGTATATATATATACATACATACATACGTTACATGTATGTATATATATACACATATATATATATACATATATATATATATATACATATCCATATGCAATTATATACATGCTATTGGATATCCCCATCTAAATCCCTATTTGATATCTCATTAATTATTCATTAATTCAGCCAGATAGATTTTCTTGGATGGTCATCAATCATCATCCATGTATGAACAGGATTGAATAGATTTGAATAGAGATATATCCTGAATGATGGCTCTCCTGTTCATCCTATTCATGATGTCAATACATGTATATATTAATGTATATGTATACATATTGTAATGATGGAAATAGTGTCATGTACCATAATAATGGTACATACTGGCAATATCACGCGCAGCCCCCCCCAGCTCGCCCACACCACTTGTCAGAGGATATTGAAGAGCGTGCTAAACTTTATATTCAAGGGAATCTTCAACATGCCTCAGCAAAGTCTCTAGGGAATCATCAAATCCACACCCCTGTTAAACTTTATATTCAAGGGTTTTTTCAAGGAGTTTAGGGTTTAGGGTTTAGGGTTGATGTTGTTGTTGTTGATGATGATGATGCTGATGATGATGCTGATGCTGATGATGATGATGATGATGATGATGATGTAACATTCAACGCACAGGTAGCTAAGCTGTGCGTTGCAAGATGAAAGCCATTATCACGGACATGTGCATTTTGTCCCAGAAAACACCGTCTTTTTTGATCTTCGGAGACGTCGTCGACGTGGGCACGGGCAAGCTGAGGGGTTTGCCCGTAATATTATTACTGGTTGGTGGTTTGGGACATTTCTTATTTTTCCATATATTGGGAATAGTAACCCCAACTGACTTTCATATTTTTCAGAGGGGTGGCTCAACCACCAACCAGATTATCATTATACAATCGATGAATATAATCCCATGGCGCAGGGCATGGCGCTGGATGACTTTCACTGCGAGCCTCCCGGTCTCCACGAGGCGTGAAATCTAGGACCTTTTTGGGGTGCATCCAAGGCATTGGAAGAGTGATGAATTTCGCCAAGATGAGATTAGATATACCATCTGGTTATTTATGGTGATTTAATGGGATTTTATAGTGATGGATTTTATGGTGATTTAATGGGATTTTATGGTGATTTAATGGGATATTAATGGGATATACCCTCTGGTTATGACTAACATAGCCATGGTATAGATGGTCCTAATCGAAATAGATGGTTTACCTAGCTATATAGCATGGTGGATTTTTCCATGGCGAACTGGCAATGTCATAACCAGAGGGTAGATAACACATTAAGAAAGAAACAAAGTGATAAAACTCCCTCACCGCATCATGACTTCTGAAAACCGATCCCATCCATGCCTAAGCTTACATGGCCTGATGGGGGGTAAGAGGAGATCAAGATGCTGCGTGGCACTCCTCATGACCTGTCAAAACATCCAAAACCATACGTTGCAATCTATAGTAACCATCGAAAAGATATAGAGGTAAAATCCAGTTCAAATAGTGACAACTTACTTTTCCATACTTTTTGTGGCTTACTATCTATAAACTGATGTGTCAGTTGGCCCTTCCACGAAACTCGTCCATTTTGTCAGGACCTCAGGTGGTGATCCCCAGTTCTTAGTTTTCATACATTTTTAATACGCCTTTTAGTAACACCCTGTATATCCCTGTATATCATTGGTTATAGACACTGTATAGATGTATATATATATATATGTATGATATATATATATATGTATGATATATATATATGATATATATATATATATATATAGAATTCTATGTATAATATATATATATATTATGATATCTACTATCAATCCTATGGTTAAGCTACTTGTAAACCAACTTGGCGAACGAAGCGGGGCACCACCTATTTCTGGGAAGACACGGATCTTTTTGTTTAGTTGGTGTATAAACCCATGGACCAACTAGGTATCTATAGGTATATTTATAAATCTATACTTGGTGGCTCATCCCACGAATCGTAAGTGGGTTATAACCCCAGTGATTGACATGGGATAAGTAGGGTTAATCCACTTATAACTGGGGTTATAACCCACTTGCTAAGTGGGATGAGCCACCAAGTAGGTATATTTCTATATATGTCCCGAAAATCCTCGTGTTTTCCTATTCCTGGCGTTCAGGCCGAAGGCCAACAGCGTGGAAGGACGCGTTCCACGGAAGGCTCACATATGGGATACCACCGAAAAGGTCTAAGGGATATGTATTGGAATGGAATGTAGTAAAAATACCATCTAGTTATTTAACAGTTGGCCATGGAAAATCACCATTTTTTATAGGTAAACCCAGGTAAACCATCTATTTCTATGGGCCATCTATACCATGGCTATGTTAGTCAACCATAGGGTATATTCTAAGCTTTAGATTGAGCAGTGAATGGTTTCTAGAAGGTCCACGTTTTTTTTTTTTCGCTATGAAGTCGATTTTTGTCAGAAACGTGGAAAGCTGTGCCTGGTGCACGAGGTGGAAAAATCTCTCCCCACATTAGTCACAAGAAACTACGGTTATCACTTGTATCCCTTGCTTATCATGATTATGTCTTAATATGTCTTAATCATTTTAGATCATTTTAGTCTTGATGGTATTTCCACTGGTGTACCATGTTACCAACATGGATCTTTTGAGGGGAAGATCAAGATCTCGAATTCCAGAGACCGATTTCTCGGGCATTGGACCCCATCAAGTGTTCTTCTTTTGTAACCCTTCTTTGAAAGGATAAACGATGGAATGGTGGAGTGTGTATTAATACATATCTGTTATCGTCTGTTATTATCTGTTAATACTGAACTTTCCTAGTGGTTATGGCTTAAGATTGTCAACCCCGTTTAAATTTATGGATGGTTTGATTCTTAAAATAGACAGTCGAATCATTGATGGATGGTGGGTCCATTGATGGTGGATTCTTGAACCAAAATCCACCATTTCTGTGTGAAAAGGGACCAGCTGGTTGGATCTTTCAGATTTGAAATGGAGTTTTTTTTGTAGTTTTCACATGTTTTCAAATCACTCAACTGAGTTCCCCAGGGAAAGAGAAAAACTCGAACTGGTTTTCTATCCATGGTGCTTTGAGTTCGGTGTTAAGAGCCCAACCACGAACTCCAACGAGGTGCTCCGGCGGTTTCCGAGACGGCTGCGGACTTGTTTGGGGATGACGACATGGAGGTCCGACGCGAAGCGGCGTCCCCAGCCATTCTGTTTGGCGAGTAGGAAACTCGTCTGGTTACCCTCCGGTAAACAAACATAGCTATTGAAAATGGCCATTTATAGTGGATTTTCCCTTAAACAATGGTGATTTTCCATAGTTATATGTTAGTTTACCAGAGGGTAGCTGGAACATACTGGAACCATATCATCACAATGGATGTCCAAAGTCAGAGATGAACATCAGTTCGCATGCACACAAGCCATTTGTTTGTAAGAAATGGATCTGTTTTTGGTCCAACTTGATTCATATGGCTATTGGCCATGGGTCAAAAGCCTGGTACATATTTGTTATTTGTACATATTTGTGCCCACCAAAATAGCTTGTCTAGATGGATGATGGATGTTCATACTCCTGAATATTAGGCCGGTAAATCTTAATCAATAACCTCCTGGGCTGTTGAATTAGGAGGGTATCATTTTAGCAGATTATCACTATTTGGAGGGAACCCCGAAATTAACTAATCAATACTTGGTGGCTCATCCCACTTAGTAAGTGGGTTATAACCCCAGTTATAAGTGGATTAACCCTACTTATCCCATGTAAATCACTGGGGTTATAACACAGTGGGATGAGCCACCAAGTAGGGTGTTATAAATCCGGGGTTGAAATTAATGTGGTAAACCCAATGCCATAAACCTACCATTTAGGGATGCTGTTTACCACCCACAAACATGGCAATATTGGGGACGGTTTGTATAGTTGATGGGAGATACCCTCTGATACACGTTTGAATTATATGATTAATATGCCAACATTTTTGGTGTTATCAATATTACAATAATGATTATCATTTGTTAGATCTATTAGCAAGTTTACTTATCGGTTTTATCACAACTACCAACATATTACCCTCTGGTAAACTTACAAAAAACTATGAAACATCACCATTAATGTGTAGATCAACTATGTCTATGGCCATTTCAAATAGCAAACTGTAAACGTTTACCAGGCCGGGTACCATGATTGGGGATGATGTGACAAACCATCCCCGTTCTCCCTGGCAGGCGCGTTTGGCACGCCTGAGAAAAGCCTGGATGATGGAGGAGCTCCAGGGGCGGATTGGATCCACCAAAGATTATTACAACCTACTTGGTGGCTCATCCCACGAATCGTAAGTGGGTTATAACCCCAGTGATTTACATGGGATAAGTAGGGTTAATCCACTTATAACTGGGGTTATAACCCACTTACTAAGTGGGATGAGCCACCAAGTATGTGTGGTTATGATATAACTGATATAACCTATAAACATATCTGTTGCAATCGACATGATGTTTTTCTGACAACCTAGAATCATGTGAGCAAAAAATGTGGTTATAACCTGGAAAAACATGCTTTATACAGTTGTGGTTAAGCCATATGCCCGAAGCTTGCGGAGCACACTTCAGGGGAGAAGGGATGATCTGGGTCAACCGATTGGTTAGATGTTAACATCTACTAACCAGCTAAAGAAATAGACTTTTTTTTCCAGGTATCTAAGATTCACCATGAATATATACCCCCAATCCCAGTGGATTATCATTATGTTCCCATATTTTCCTTATCAAACAGCCATTCTTTTGGGGTTTTTCACGGTTTTTGCCCATTTCCAGACACACCCAAATTTGCTGGGTGAGTCTCATTGAATTTGTACCAGGATCGGAAAAAAAACTCCCATCATCGGGAAAATTGTATCCTGAGTCGCAGTAATGTGGTAGACCCAATGATAGACCTACTGTACCATTTGGGAATGTTTTATACAACCCATGAAAATGGTTATGTTCGGGATGGTTTATGGCTTAGGGTTAAGTACATTAAACAAATTCTCAGACTCCCTGTGCCAGTTGAAGTTCAGCAACCAGGACGAAGTGGAGAGTCCAGAGCAAGCCCAGGTAGCCGAGTTAGCTCGGAGCTTGTGGAATAAACATATACTGTATTGAAATGAGCTGTACACAATTTAGGACCATAAAAAGTCGTGTGCATCATCACTTGATGTCGCTTCCCGAGCCTCTGGGAGGTCCATCAGTCTTATGCCTCCAGGTGAGGGTTGTACCACCATGGGCCCCATGCAAGGCGTCGACTCCTGACGCAGGATGGCCGGGGAACCCAGTGGTTGCCCATGATGGATTTGATCATCAACACTGGGGAAAAAACATGGAAGAACTGCATAGAGAACGTCTTGAATTCATTGGGCTTAAAAACATGTTGGACATTGACGTTTCTATCTGTTTCATCCTGATTTTTTGTGGTTTAATCCTCATTTTTCGTGATGGGATCCTCATTTTTACCACATCCCCACGAGCGCTCAGGCAGTTAGACCACCAAGAGTCAGAGGAGCTGTCGCGATATCTGCAGACCACCTCGTTGCCGGTCTCGTCCCATGCGCAGGCCTCGGGATGCCGTGGCTTTGGAGTTGCTAATCCATCATTGCCTTGAGTTGTTATGGAGTTTTCTTTTTAAACAATGTTTGGTTTTAGGAGTTATTAGAACTAAAACCAATTGATTATCAGGACTCATCCAAGGTTCTTAAGTCAGAGATACGCAAGTTTCTTTGTTTGATGGGCAGGGTGACCAGGTTCCCAGAGTTCCAGGGGGTACATACAGAAAGGAGCACAGAATGACATGATTTCAGAAGGTCGTTTGGTAGCGGATCTGGTTCAGGGCCTCCTGTGGATGTGACTGAGAATCTCGGCCCACCAAAGGTCCCAAAGGTTGCAGCCATAGCAGCTATAGGGTTTTCCATGGTTTTCCTGAATATCCCAAGTACTTTATGTTTTTTCGTGGCAACCACCTTTAGAACTTTCCAACTCATGAAGCTTATTGTGACATCAGGGAAAAGGGAGGGGGGTCGATATTTCACCAACCTGACCCCTGAAAGGTTATTCTGTTTGCGACATGTTTTCATAATGTGTCCACTTCATTATTTTCAGCTTACTAGTGTTACTATACTTCCCTTTTTGGATGCATATAGAATCATATATATAAATATTGCATGCTTTTAGCATACGGATCAGTCACTAGGAAAGATCCTCCCAGATAGGACATGAAAAAGTACGCGAAACCAACAAGTACCTTTTTTTTATAGGGGATATAGGGATATATATCAATTATACATTATATGATTATATATATATATACATATACCCACATCCTCCATTGACTCACAAGAATCCGTACTTCACCCCACAATTTTAATATACGTTTAAACAATGTTTATGTGTACTTCGAGTGTTTTGGGGTATTATACGGTATATATATATATAATATATATATATATACTTATATAATATGGTAACCTGTAGCTAGCCAAGATGGCTTTGAACCAGGTTGACTAGGGTTTATAACTTTGGGGGCCCGCTTCGCATCTACACACTTTGTGCCGCAGCTTGAAATGTCACTGGTCTCTGCCCCAAGCGGCGCTTGCGCTATGGCGGGACAGTCCAAGACGGCGGAAGGCGGCCAAACTTCGGGGGTATTCGAGAGACCTTAAATGGATTTTGTTTGCAAAAGATACCCTCTGGTAAACTAACAAAAAGCTATGGAAAGATCCACCTTTTTAATGGGAAAATCCACTATAAATAATTTTTTGTTACCCAATAATGAGGATCAAAATAAAAGAAACATATGGAAAAGAAGGAAAAAACATATTCACAGGGCGAATCTAAACCACCTGTTATTGGGAATGGTGTCACCACCAGCCAGCTTAGACTGTAGTGTATTTGGCCCACTGGAAGGGAGGCCAACTGCAACCACCATGTTGAAAGTGTCGTTTTCAATATACTTAAACCCTCCAAGTAGCTATGAATACGCCAAAATCATGGGTAGATTATCCCCTTTTTCGTGGGTGCCTGGAGTCGATTTAACATCCCAGACTGCCAGACATGCAGTCGAAACCGCCTCATGGGTTGATGATTTGGGCCAAGTGAAGGGAAAGTCACCTTTTCACTTCCAAACTGGAACACAAATTTCGTCCCGGTTGGCCATGGGGTTCCAGCAATACGGTATCATCACGTCGATTTTCCCCTCAGCCAACTCTGAACAGGTGGCAGTGGGGCGGGATCGCCCGCCCAATCCAGGCGCGTGCGCAGTGGCGCTTTGCGCTGCTGTTTGTTGTTGGTGGATGATTTTTTGATATTTTTTGGGAGTCATGACAGTCATACTGTGGGTAAAACATGGTAAAACAATGTCATTTGCACCATCCCCCGGCCCCCAGGAAAAACACCATTTTTTGGTTGGTGGTATGTTACCATTCCCAAATGGGTGGTTAAAATGGCCATTGTTTGACCCACATTACCCAAGACATATTGGGGATGATCGTTGATTTGATGAATTCCTATTGGAATCCCGTTCTTGCCCAACTACAGTAGTGGTTTCATAAGGTTGCTGAAGTGGTGGGGGACACCCCCAAGTTATCATCCAACTTGTGTCATGTTTCAAAGGGAAACCAATGGTTTTGGGGTACCCCAATTTTGGGAAACACTAATGTTTTGGCTGCTCCAAACATGGCTGGACCTTCTTTTTCATTTGAAATCATTCAGTTTTGACATTTTGATGTTTTTACTGTATCCACAATCACTGCCCCAAGCTAAGTCATATCTCCAAATGTGCCGTTCCGTGGAAAATGACTGAATCGACAAAGTCAATATGATGAGATATGATGAGACCCTGCCGACCTTGCGACCACTTTGGCAAGTTTCTGTGGGTTATGTATCCCTCCTCAAACCATGTCAACTAGTATTTTGTGTTGGTTGAAACTTGAACCCTCACTGGTGATGTGTGTGGTTATTCTACTGGTTGGTGGTTTGGAAATGTTTGGAATATTTTTTATTCCCGAATGCATAGCGAAGGGTTCCCGTTTATAATGTGGGGGTCTGGGGGCTGGACCCTTGTTCGCCGCCAGTTGGTCGTCGCGACGTTTTTCGCGCCCTTTTTCACGCCCTTTTTCGTGTCGTTTTTCGCGTCGTTAATTCCGTGTCTATGGGGAAGCTGCAAAACCTCGTTCGTTTTGCTGCGCACACGTCACGGTGTCTATGGGGGAAGTTGCAAAACCTCGTTCTGGCGTCGCCGTGTCTTTGGGGGAAGCTGCAAAACCTCCATCTCTGCTTGTCCTCTGGCGTCACCGTGTCTATGGGGTAAGCTGCAAAACCTCGTACTGGAACGTGTTTGTGCAATCTTTGTAGTACACATTTGTACTGGAACGTGTTTGTGCAAGCTTTGTAGTACACAGTAGTACTGGAACGTGTTTGTGCAAGCTTTGTAGTATACAGTAGTACTGGGAACGTGTTTATGCAAGCTTTGTAGTACACAGTAGTACTGGAACGTGTTTGTGCAAGCTTTGTAGTATACAGTAGTACTGAGAACTACTTTGTGCAAGCTTTGTAGTACACAGTAGTACTGGGAAGTGCTTTGTGCAAGCTTTGTAGTATACAGTAGTACTGGAACGTGTTTGTGCAAGCTTTGTAGTACACAGCAGTACTGGGAAGTGCTTTGTGCAAGCTTTGTAGTACACAGTATAAACGTGTTTATGCAAGCTTTGTAGTGCACAGTAGTACTGGGAAGTGCTTTGTGCAAGCTTTGTAGTACACAGTAGTACTGGGAAGTGCTTTGTGCAAGCTTTGCAGTACACATTTGTACTGGAACGTGTTTGTGCAAGCTTTGTAGTATACAGTAGTACTGGGACGTGTTTGTGCAAGCTTTGTAGTACACAGTAGTACTGGGAAGTGCTTTGTGCAAGCTTTGTAGTATACAGTAGTACTGGGAACGTGTTTGTGCAAGCTTTGTAGTATACAGTAGTACTGGGAAGTGCTTTGTGCAAGCTTTGTAGTACACAGTAGTACTGGGAACGTGTTTGTCCAAGCTTTGTAGTATACAGTAGTACTGGGAAGTGCTTTGTGCAAGCTTTGTAGTACACAGTAGTACTGGGAACGTGTTTGTCCAAGCTTTGTAGTATACAGTAGTACTGGGAACGTGTTTATGCAAGCTTTGTAGTACACAGTAGTACTGGGAAGTGCTTTGTGCAAGCTTTGTAGTACACATTTGTACTGGAACGTGTTTGTGCAAGCTTTGTAGTATACAGTAGTACTGGGACGTGTTTGTGCAAGCTTTGTAGTACACAGTAGTACTGGGAACGTGTTTGTCCAAGTTTTGTAGTATACAGTAGTACTGGGAAGTGCTTTGTGCAAGCTTTGTAGTACACAGTAGTACTGGGAAGTGCTTTGTGCAAGCTTTGCAGTACACATTTGTACTGGAACGTGTTTGTGCAAGCTTTGTAGTATACAGTAGTACTGGGACGTGTTTGTGCAAGCTTTGTAGTACACAGTAGTACTGAGAACTACTTTGTGCAAGCTTTGTAGTACACAGTAGTACCGGTACGTGTTTGTGCAAGCTTTGTTGTACACAGCGTGTCTTGCCAAGCGTGTCTCCTGTTCTCTCTCCTTCTTGTTGTTTTCTTGTTTTTTTCACTTCTATGTGGCATTCAGGTTCGTGGGACACTGCAGATTGTTGGCATGATGGTTTGTTGGTTGCTGGCACGATCCTCTTCCATGTGGTTTCTCCTGTGCTCAAGAGGGCACAAGCTCAGGATATGCACGCCTTTCGATGTTGCTTGAAGGTAGAACATGCATTGCGCCATGGTGCACAAGCTCAGGACACAGCCGTCGTTTGCTCAGGGCACAAGCTCAGGACGCAGGCTGAAAACTCACCGCAATCTTTACAACGTCACGATGGACGGAAATGCCGCAGAAGGCCAGGAGCTGTGCTGGGACTTTAGGATTAGATAGGTAGTATACGTGACAAGCATATCTGTAGCAAACATGCAGAATTTAAACCAATTGACTTCTCGAATCATGTGTTACTGTGTGTCTCTTTGTAAATTAGTTGTGGAATCATCTGTTCTTCTGTCATCAGGTGCCTTCGCTGCGACAATGAGCGCACGATGCGTGAAAAAAAGTTCGTTTCCTGTTGCAGAGGTTTGGACTCGTAGCCCAAGAGCGTGAATACATTCGGGTTCGTGGCTTCCATGTTGTTTATCCATTCAGTTGGGAAGAATCATCCCAACTGACCAAGTCATATTTTTCAGAGGGGTGGCTCAACCACCAACCAGTCTATGTTATTCTCCAATCCCCATCCATCATCTGACATTGAGTATCCCCGAATCCCACACCGGTTCATCATCACTTTCTTGTAATTCCTACTAAACGCGTTTGCGTTTGGCCACTGGGAATACGTATACCGTACTCACTATATCCCATCTTCAAACACACCCAAATTCATGGTTCATTGGACAGATCCACATTTTTTCATGCTTAAATCCCTATGAATTGGTTGCTAAGATTCACATTTTTCTTGGTGAACCCCTTATACCTTTTAGACACCATCATATGTCAATGAAATTCCCATATCCAACCAGTTCAATATCATGGAAATATGTAGTTCATCAGTGACATCCACATGCATTACATTTCATATTCCATTGATAGTTCACCATGATATTCCCATGATATCCCCATTATAGTTCACCATTCACCATGGGAAAATGCCAGGCTCACAACTGTCGCCTGGGTGGCAGCATTGGCTCTGGGGACCATCATCACCGCGGCCGCTGGTCTAAGGAAACCAGCTGGAGTGCTAGTTTTATGGATGTTTTATGGATGTTTATGATGTTTTTTGGTGTTTTATAATGTTTCATGATTTTCCTTGGATGTTTTTATGATGTTTCACGATGTTGCATGATGTTTTATAATGTTTCATGATGTTTTTGGATGTTTCATGATGTTTCATGATGTTTCATGATGTTTCATGATGTTTCATACTGGTCCATGATGTTTAATGATGTGCCATGATGCTTGATGATGTTTTATGATGTTTGATGGTGTTTCATGATGTTTCATGATGTTTCACGATGTTTTATGATGTTTTATAATGTTTCATGATGTTTTTTGGATGTTTCATGATGTTCCATGATGTTTCATGATGTTTCATGATGTTTCATACTGGTCCATGATGTTTAATGTTGTGCCATGATGCTTGATGATGTTTTATGATGTTTGATGGTGTTTCATGATGTTTCACGATGTTTTATGATGTTTGATGATGTTCTATGATGTTTTATTCTTATTCTATGTCCTGTAGATAAAAAGAAAAACACCGGACACCAATGATAGGAATGTATCATAATGTATCTCCATCTGAAACGATTTCGCTTCCTTGGATAGTACTTAGTTACTTATTTGTTTTTGCTGTGCATGGGAGTAGATATGTGCATTATATATATATATATGTGTTCATATATATTTATATTTATATAAATATAGTAATATATGTATTCTGAACCAGCTGACAAAAAGTGCCGAGTATTTTTAAGGTTGGCAATGTCCGAAACCACTTAGAAGATGTGGGATGTCCAACAAGTACTATAGTATACTATAGTGCTAATCATACTTAATCATCACAACCATTCATTCTTGGTAAGGAACTACACTTATTACTGGTTTGTGGTTTCAAACATTTTTTTATTTCTCCATATATTTGGGAATAATCATCCCAACTGACTTTCATATTTTTCAGAGGGGTTGAAACCACCAACCAGATTTATTAATGGATTATAGCTAATAGTGAAGTTTATGTTAGTTATACATGGCTATAACCATAAGGGACTATAACCACCTGATTATAAACCAAACCATTGCCGGTGACTTCCCGGAGGGTGCTAGTGCCCCACTTGGAGGTGGTGAACGAGTTCTGGTCGCACCGTGTGAGTGTTACGTTTTTAGACGTGGCGAAAAAAAACGTGGCTATTGAAAATTGCCCATGTATAGTTGGTTTATAGTTGATTTATACCTATTAAAGATGATAAATGATGTTTAATGAATGTGGGTAAAACAACGGCCACTTTTACCACCCATGACTGGGAATGGTAAACATACCACCTATAAAATATGGTGATGACCGGGGGATGGTTTATGACATTGTTTTACCCTGATTAATTGTCGGGCTTAAATCGGGTGAAATAGCCTCAACCCTCCTGCCCGGCCGTGCGGCGGCCATGGGGCGAGGTGCCTCTGGTGCGATGGTATCGGAGACGACGCAACCGGAAGTTCGAGTACGGCCCCGTGAATCTGAAGGAGATGACCCTAGCGGCAGCCAAGGACCGGAAGTTTCCACCGGCGGGAAGTTCGTTCCATGGAGGTTTTGTTTAGCAACGTTTGGGTCATGATTTCAATATCGAACTAGTTAATGGGCTTTAGAAATGAACTCATGACTCGAGTGTTTCCAGGTCTATGGAGGTGTCCGAAAAGTCGTGGGGCATGGGGATACCTGAAATTTTGCGTCATCCATGTCATGGATGACCATGACGACTAGTATTGAAACAACATGAAACAACCATGGTGACGACTGGGGATCCATTTGAAGAAATCCCAATATCTTGCGGTATGTTATGGTCATGACTGGAACCACGTATTTCTGAGCTGGCAACTATAGTTTCAAGATTTGGAGCGGTTTTGTTGTATTTTATTGAAGTGGACATGACTCAAACTATGATATGTCTAATGTAATACTGGTACTTACTATGTCCTTGCAATAGGCAACGGTGAGGCAAACGCAGGCAACCCTTACATTTCCCAAACGTGGAAGCGCTTTGTTTTCTTGCTACATGCTAGTGATAAGTTGAATGATGCCCTATGCCGCGGCTTGTCGGGTTGATACGACACAAGGTTTTGAGCATTGCTCACTTGAATATGGTACCAGTACTCCTCCCATATCCCTTATACAGATATATTAACGTAGATTAATGCCATGTACGTATCTATTTGGCTGAATTTTATGGACCACGCAGCTGTGTAGTAAATGGGTTATATGACATATCCCCATTGTATATCCATCGTATCCGCCGAAGAATTGTAAGTTTTATACCCATCAGCCATTCATCTGGATAAATTACCCAACAAATCCATATAGTCATCCTAGAGTAGAGAGAATATATGTGAATATATGGGAATTATATGAGAATATGGATATTCCAACTTAAATCAACACTAAAATGGGAATGATATTGAAACATATTGAAACAACGCTTGTAGAAATTCTATCACAATGACCTTAGCCATCTTGAGGAGTTACATGCCATGAAGGGACCTGCCAGTCCCTCTGAGCGAACCAGCCTCGTTCCTGATGCTTTGTTGGACTTGGAGGCCAGTTTTTTGGTCGACCAAATGAAGTGTTCCTATCCAGGTAGCCTTAAATCATCCAAGTCATGGATGACCATGACTTAGTATTGGAAGCTATGGTGACTTGGGGATCCCCCATTTAAAAAATCACAAATGACTTATTCAAGTAGTTTGATTTGATGTAGTTCATTGATTGAATTAACTGTTAGCTAGCATAATTGTGGATGGCACTTATGAAAGTTGGATCGTCTTGGACAAATGCACGATTAAAATTATTAAAGTTCCAGTTGAAGGAAGCACGAATTGTGCATGGACTTTGCCACCAGGTATTACTTCATTAAATGTGGATTGCTAAAATTGATCATTCAAAATCATTCATGTTTTTTGCCATCCAAGATTCGCAATTGGATTTTCCATGATGATGTTCCACGGTTCTGTACCTTCGACCAATTCCGGGAATGGATGTCCAGTGATACTGGATTCGAAGCCCAAATGCTTCCTCAGAAGGTACGGCTGGATACATAGTATGGGTATACAGGATCGAATGGGTCAAAAGTACTAATTCCTCAAAATTGATACTTCACTATGATTTGCTACCATCAGTGACCTGATCCATAGCCATATCAGTTACAAGTGGTTGTAAACTAATTAATTAATGTATCTCAATTATGGCCCATTCTATGCAGTCTATGATCCTGTTATCACGCATAGTATACTATATACTATATATATATTATGATAGTAGTTATGTATGTACACATCACATATTTTGTATGCAATGCATATGGCTCTATAGATTCCTTGCCCGTCCTTGACTCCCGGTTGAGAGATTACAAGAATGGTAACCAGGATGAACTATCCCACGGACCCGATTTCGGTGGTGAACCACCCCTTTTTCGGCCTTGTTACAATTATCTTATATCCAAGTTGAGAAGCATTCAAGACCATTCCTGTTTACGCAGATCATAGTCACATGGATTTTCCCCATAATTATCATTGGTGGCCTTGGCAAATGTGTCCTTTTGGGGATTCAGAAGATCACTTTCAAGTGTCTGTTGGGCAGTATATCCCAAATAGTTGGGTGGTGTTCAATTAGGACACCAACGCCCAAAACGTGAGCCCCCCCCAGTTATAAACTCATCAACTATATATAGTTATATCCCCCATAAAACCTAGTTAACCAAGTTGTGCGCGTCAACTTGCTATCATTTGGGGGCCTCACCTATATTAGGACATTACATACACAAACCAACCCATGGGAAATCCCATATTTATAGATGGATTTTCCATGATTTCACATATTTTTCCGTGAGCACCTCCATTTTCGATGGGGATTTCCCTGAAATCAGCCATACATATCCCATTAAACCACCATTTTTTGGGTTTAGTCCCCATTTTCCTATGGTTTTTTTCCGGTCATGGGGGGCCTCACCGTGGAGTTCCATCCAATCCGGACAGGAACAGGCCGAGATGCACATGGCACCCAGCGCGCCATCGGAAGAGAGGGAGATGCGCTCAGAGATCCTGGCACAGATGGGCGTGAAAAGCTTCAAACGTTCCTTGGACATGTGAGATAGGTAATGTGACCTATAGTTATCCATCTATAGTTATCCATCTATGGTTATCCATCTATAGTTATCCATCTATAGTTATCCATCTATAGTTATCTATATATATATACACACTATATATGGTTATATTGTGATATAATATGTGGTTATTGGTAAACGTTTACACAACTATGGAAAATCACCATTTATCATATATATATACATTGTTTGGTGGTTTGGAACATGAATTTTATGGCTTTCCATATATTGGGAATAGTAATCCCAACTGACTATTTTTCAGAGGGGTGGCTCAACCACCAACCAGATGGTAATGTGATGATTACCCGTTGGTAAATTTACATAGCTATTGAACATTGCCCATTTGTAGTTGAGTTATAGTTGATTTATACCTATTAAAGATGATGATTAATGATGTTTAATGGTGGTAAAACAATGCCATTTTTACCACCCATGACTGGGAATGGTTTTAATCCCACCTATAAAAATGGTGATGGCTGGGGGATGGCTTATGACATGACATTGTTTTACCCACATTAATGCACTTAAGATATCTATCCCTATGGATCCAAACACCTCCTGAGAAGGTACAAGACACCCCCCAAATCATACCCCTGTCCCAAATCATACCCCAGTCCCACTTCCTAAGAAGGTGTGGCTGGATCCATAGGGTATAATGGGGATTTTTCACATAAGGAACCAACCATTACTATATCATACTATATCCCAATTTTCATGGGGACTATAGTTGGGATTTATTTGACATGCGCACTTTCGAAGACAGATGTTTTTCATGAGTATAAAACTCTGTGGAGATTTCCTGGGACCAACTCCATTCATTGGGAGACCTAGTTGGATTATGTTGGATTCAATATGATTTCATAGGATTCCATCAGATTTCACAGGAAAACATATGTGAAATCATGGAAAAACCATCTATAAATATGGGATTCCATCAGATTTCCATGTGAATTTCACAGCTTAGGATTGAGGGAATCCTGGGAATCGGGGCGGCTGGAAGACGGGGGATAAACATCATCCCAGGTGAACAAACCGATCAATCCCGATCCGAAGTCGCCTCAATAAGTCGGGTCCCATATGTATATATATTAATATATTATATATATGTATTTATATTATAATTCTAATATATATATATCACTGGGTCATAAATAGGCTTAAATAGGTTATTGACCAGTTATGATCCTTTGGATCCTCCAAGCAAGACTATTCTTTCTGTAGAAATCGATGATCCTCAGGGTATCTCAGCTTGGGCGATAGGGAAAAGAGGAAAGCCGGATATGTTCACAGGAAACAAATGGGGCAAAATGGCGCGAAACCGCGGTTTTTGCGATGGAAGAATGAGGTTAGTCATGATGAATCCTGTATATTTGCCTTGAAGCAAGTCTGGGACTGGATGAGATCCTTGTATAGCGGTGGACCTGACTTGTTTCAAACGTTTCTTGCATGCACGGATTTCCTGATCATCAGCAATCTACTGGAAAATCCGCATTTGGAACATAGGTTTGTTATTGTTTTGAGAATGATCTTTATCTTCCAATAGGTTATTCCACCGTGTGGTCAACCTGACTGGCACGCTGAAGGGTGAAATGGGTTTATTATGGTTTATTCTTGTGCGATTGGATCAATAGATATTATCAATAGATATCAATAGATATCAGTAGATTTAAGTTGTTTAACTGAACATCTGCAGGAACCTTTCTGGTTTTTTCTCATCAAACACGGGCGACATGTTGGAAGCAAAAGGCCCCAAGAAATTCATCAAACATCCAGGCGTCCGAAATGCAAAAGAACTTTAGTCTGGGTTGAATCCATGTTTTGAACATCCTGAAAAGTTATTTTTTTTTCGCATTTTTTTTGGGCAACTTCACCATAAAAATGGTCGTGTTGGCTCATGCTTCTGCATTTTTTCATATGTTTTCCTTGTTTTCATCTCGATTTGGGGTGATAACCCCTGACCAAGTAAGTGACTATGAAGATGTTGAAGAGCTAGACACCATAAACCAACAGTTCGATGTGGGAAACCGCACATCTTTCTATATCTTTCCCCTGGATTTACCACTGAGGCTTCTTGAAAGACCGGAAGGTGCCAGAGCCAAAGCGAGCCAAGTGCACCACGCTTCAGCTGAACATAGGCCCCGCCTCGGTCCGGGGGTACCCCCAGTTCTCATCCAATTTTTTTCGACCATTTTGCGAAACCGGTGACTTGGGGATCTGCAGAAAGCCTTGCATCAATTTGGCTTTGTCGGAAGGGTCTTCCAATGAACCATGGTTTAGAGTTTAGAACCTCCATTTTCCCAATGGTTTAATGGCAATTTGGGGATAGACCCCATTTTCAGACACACCCAAGACAGGGGGCTAAAAAGCATGGCTTCCGAGTCAGCATAGCGATAGTCACTGAGTCACAGTCACTTGAAGACTAACTCTGGTGGCATGACGCCTGCACCCTGCGGGATGTGCACTCTTCCACCATTGGGGGAATCTAGTGTGAATGGCATTTTAAGGTTGTTGTTATAAGTTATATTATTTTATTTGAAGATTGAGATTGACTGACAAGATGGAAAGTGCGGTAGATGGTTAAGCAATTGGTCATTTAGTAGACCCACGTTTCATGTGCTGGATGACCATGCAAGTCAGGATCCATGGCTATGACAGCTGATTACAATAAGATATCTACTGTATGTCTTTTCCACAAATTGAGTAAGTAGCCAATAAGTCGAGTCTAGTACTTTTTGATACCATCAATCCCTAAGGATCCATGTATGGAATATTTACCTACATTGGGATTATTTTAAATTACTTTGGGGGTCAATGTAGGTAAATATTCCAGCACCATGGATCCTCTGGGAATGATCCAATTTTTGCCACTTGGATCGTTGAAGATTTTGTCAACTGATTAGGTTCGTTTTTGCAGTTCCTTGGATAAAAAAACGCCAGGTCTATACTGTAACCAAGCCTGCAGTCTCTTGGCCTCGAAGATTGCCTGCTGCGGATTGGTGATTTATGGAAACAACACGATTCGATGGGTGAAAATCAGACCTGCAAATTTCTGTTTTTTTGTTTTGGGAATTCAACTTCAGCAGTTTTTTGGGGATTTTTTGATCATTCATGGAACATCTGATGGTTTACTCTCCGGTAGTCACTTTCAATGGTGGAATTTCCTGCCATGTAAAAGATTACCATGCTAGGTATGATTCTTAATGGATATAACATGATATAACCAACTCTGAAAAAAAATCTGTCTCCAAAAAATGGATGGTGGATACTCAAAAAGCCAAATTTTGGCTGCAAGAAATTGTTATCGATGGGATCATTAAGGTTTGTATCTGAACTGCCAGGGTTTTAGCTGCAATCTCTGGTAATTTCTTACATAGACATGGAGAATAGCCATGGAAATAATAGGTAAATCATCTATGAATTGGATAACTTTCTGTAGCTAGGTAACAAATTACAAGAGTGTGTGTGTATATATATATATGCATACACATATGATCGTACACACACATATATATATATATGTATGTATAGACATGTGTATATATACACACACGCACGTGTGTATCATGTGTATATATATATATATATGTGTATAAATACGTATTTGTACGTCTATATATATGTACACCTATACATATATATATATATATTTATATATATATACATATGTACATACACTTGAACTATTGTCTTCTTCACGTCCGTTGTGCATCCCATAAAGATTGGATCAATGGGCTTTTTCAAACATCGAAAGCCACCTGACCTTGGGTCTCGCAAGCTACTTGGAAGATCATCCCAATTTTGTACGGGCAAAGTTGGTCATCAACTCTTGGTCATGTGCCGTCAAAAGCTGGATGACATACTGTAGCCATTTCTTGAGGTATGGCCATGAATCCACTGCTGTAGGATTTTTGTCCAGTAGGGAGTCCTATTCTGGGATATCCATACACCGTGTACAAAAAGACAACATGATTGAAAGTGCCACGGAATGCACGCATGAGTGATTCTCTTGATGTCATCATTATCATTCGCAAATGGATATCCAGTTGTTTATCATGATGTTCCCCATTCAAAATGCAATGTTTGCCGGTAGAATGTACACTTACCAATTTTCAGGACACACCCATAGCTGCATTTGTGGGTAAAACTACCATTGTTTATCCAATTTGTTGGTAATACCCATGTATGATGATTACACCATCTTTCGATGGTGGAATCACATGAAGTCGGTATCTTGTCATGCTTAACATATCTGACAAAATATACAAACAAAACTGCAAAAAAACAATGTTAAACACACATGCTTGCTGGTTTAATCATGTTTCAATCATGTTAAATCACTACAAATCTGCTGGTGAGTCGTCAGCCTTTATTTTTTTCCATGGCTGGCAACAGTGGTCGACCACTGAGGCCATTGTCATGTGGAGTCATCGCCTCTGAGGAAGGAAATGATGTCCCAGGAGTTTTTTTGATGGGGAAAACCCATGGGAAAAATCATGGGACAATCAGGGTCTGCTATTTGGTATGTTTTGGAGAAAAATATCAAAGATGTGTGTGTGTTTTGTGTGTGTGTGTGTTTTCATCAACAAATCAAGATCGACTTTGATCGACCCGGAATAACAGAGCCTGACAATCTCGGAAAATCATGGGAAAATGGATGGAAAACCCACAAAGGACAAATGATGGAATTCAAACCAACACCTTTTTTTGGAAATCCATGGAAAAAAAAACATGGGAAAATCACGGGAAGATCACCGAACTAAATGGAGGTTTATAGCTGGGAAAATCTTTGAATTTTAGTGTTGGTGAAGTTTGATCATTTTGAAGCAGACTGGCTGGTGAATTTTATGATAAATCTATATAATTTAAGTTTGGACCAAGACTTGGGAATTGCTTCGTGAATTGTTGGCCGAATGATGTTAGTGATTGATTTGAATGGTTTGTGTTCAGTTTGGCCAAGTTCGGCATCAGGAATCTTAAACTTTAGCTGCAGCGACAAAGAGGGGAGGACCACGATGTGAATCCTCAAGTACTCAGTGAATGTTTGAGGGAAACTTTCTCGCATGTTGGTCAAAACCATAGCCTTTTGCTGCACAATTTCCTCACACATTAATTGAGTTTATTTTGAAAAATCGCTGAAAGATACAGGGGCTTGCTTTGGTAAAAATTGGTCTCAGCAACAGCTGACTTCCTGGTACATCAATCGATATACATGTACATATATATATGAATATGCACACTATATATTTTATATGATATATATTCATTTATGTATTTATTTATACATATATATATATATACATGTACATTGCAATTGGATATTGCCCTTTTGTTGGGTTAACATTGGTTCATGCTAAGTCTACACAGCCCCTGTGATATTGTCAACGCTCCCAGCTACGAGGTGGTTCCAGTGATGCCCACGTTGGTGTTTCAGCCCACGAGTTTCTTATCTTTCACCATAAACCATTTCGAATACAATTCACCACAATTCCCCTAGGGACCTAGTTCCACCAACTTAATAAAAGTCTGGTTCAATCATCATCAATTTCATCAAATTCCAATTTTCAGGGCATTTTTCCCAATGTTTCACCAAGTCGGATGATTCTGTTGATCTATCAGGGGGCCTTGGGGCTTGGCTCGGTAGGAAGTGGTCGATCGATGTTTGCTATTGCTGAAGAACTCCCCAGGGGTGAAGGCCACCCCGGCGTTGAAAAAGCGGTCGGCATTTCTGATAGGTTTCTGGTAGGGTCATTCGGGATGGTTCTTATTGATGGTGATTGATGAGACTTTAACCAACGATTTTTTGAGATAATAGCTAACTAAAAATGGGATTTTCCAGCCAGCCACATTTTTCCATGACACAAAGGAGGGTATTCATGGTTTGCTCAGATTTAGGTAGGGTTTACCAGATTCATGAAAAGCCATCAGAATTCAGTGTTTTTGTGTTTTTTGGTACCTGAACATTTAGGGGACACCTCTAAATCCATCGTAAATCCACTGGCTTTGGCTTTGAATGGCATTTTCCCTCTGTTAGAATATGATCATAGGTTTTAAGGGTATACCCATGCTTGAAGTAGGTGACTTTGATGTGAACAATCCCACTGTTTCCAGCAGGTGTCGTATCCTTTTGCTAGCTGCTAGCTTTTTTTTCTAACTCAACCAAACTTGTCCTAAGCCCTACCTTTTGGACTGCAAGTTGGTGGATTCCGACTGCACCAGGTTTGCTGACATGTTTTCGCTTGAGACTCCAGAAACATTGCGAGATGTATAATGTGTGTGTACATGATGTATGTCATAGTCTATAGAGTATATAGCTATCATCACCAACTCTAGGCTATTCTTATATAACTAAACCGCCTGTGTATAGTAACAAACTATACCTCTATACATAACAATATATAACTATATGTCAATAGCTACATGTTATCACAGTTATGTCATATAACACAGTTATAATATATATATATACACAACTCTCTCTCTCTACAAATACTATATAAATACTATATATATACATTATATTATATATATTATATTATGCATATGTATATTCTGTATTATATTATTTATATTCTATATATTCTACACCTATGTTGTGTATATAATTAAAGCCTGATCTAGAGGGTCTCTCCTCCGCCAGTATCTGGACATCACGGGTGGCGCGCCAGAGCTGAACGATGGCTTCCGTCGATTGGTGGAAGGGGCAACAGCCTTGAGGGTCGCTTGGATCGATGGTTTCAACATGTTGTGGTCTGAAAATCTCGAACATATCTAAAATATATTGAAATATTTTAAAATATCTACTTTCAGCCCAAGTCTTTCAATTCTTTATTGGTGGTTTGGAGATGTTTCACACAAATAAATTCCTCGTTTGAGTTGATTTGTTCATACTAGCTTATTGGGGATTATGATAACACAAAGGAAACCACTAAGATAAAGCCACAGTGATGATCACTAAAATAAGTACATAGAATTTATATGAATTGATGTGAGTAATGGAAGACTCTATATAGTTGGAACACACGGTTTATATGATAATTACATGTTTAAACCATGTTGAAACTCGTTGAATGTATAGTTGATTGATGTTGGGCGGACTTCGCCTCTAGCATCGCTGGAAAGCCACAGATTTCAACGGCAGGTTCATGGGGGGTTTCCTGTGCATGTTCATTGAAACCAGTTCTGGGGGTGATTGGTGGAATTAGGCTTTCAAAACTGTGATTTTGCCATGCACAGGGTGTTGTCATCATGAAAAAGGGACTTAACCTAGCGAACACTTGTGGATATTAGACAACTTTTGTCAGGAAAAAGACGACTCACATGGGGACTTCATCAAGAAAATTAGTGGTTGAAGCAATATGATTTTGAGTCAACCTAGTCATCAAAACATATATCTACTTAAACAGATAACAATGGTGATAACTATGGCAATGTATAATACATATATATATATGTATATATATACATACATATATATATATATATACATACATACATACATACAGACACACACACACACAGACATACATACATACATACATACATACATACATACATACATACATACATACATACATACATACATACATACATACATACATACATACATGCACACATGCACACATGCACACATGCACACATGCACACATGCACACATGCACACATGCAGACATGCATACATGCATACATGCATACATGCATACGTGCATACGTGCATACATGCATACATGCATACATGCATACATGCATACATACACGCATACACATATACATACACATATACATACACATCCATATACATCCCGCCGGGTTGGAAATGGGCCGAGTAAAAACAGCATTTTCATGTGACTGGCAAGAAGTCAATCATGCGTTTCGCAGTGTTTTTTCATGTTTTTATGTTGTCCATGAAGGTCAATTCTATTGTGATTTTGAATTTTCATTGGGATTTACTGTATATAGTTGACATGTCGGAGTGCGAAAAAGGTTCCTTTTGGGAAGTCAGCGTGCCCAAAACCTCAGCGGTAGCCATTTTTTTCCGGTGATCCCTACATCTTCGCTAAGTACGCACCTGTTTTCTCCAACAAGGCTTTTCCAACTACATTTGCCTCCCATTGCCACTGCCATGTGCGAACGTACGTCCAAATGAGGTCATTCAATTTTTGTTCGTTTTCTGGACAAGATGTCAACTGATCGTAGCATCACGTATGTGCGCACGTGCAAGTGAACGTGCCGTGGCGTAACATCATGGGAGTGCGCAAGTACGTGAACGTTATTGCCCCACCCCACCCCACCCCTGCGTGACGTGACACATCTTCAACGTAGCATGACGTATGTGCGCACGTGCAAGTGAACGTGCCGTGGCGTAACATCATGGGAGTGAGCAAGTACGTGAACGTTATTGCCCCACCCCACCCCACCCCAAGGAACATATATAAAAATGCCTAAAGCGCTCGGACGGTTTTCAACCCGTAGGCATATACATACATACAGATACAGATACATATACATATACATATCCATTTACATATCCATATACATATACAGATACAGATACATATACAGATACATATACATATACAGATACAGATACATATACATACATAGATACATAGATACATATATACATAGATACATAGATACATAGATACATAGATACATAGATACATAGATACATATATACATAGATACATAGATACATAGATACATAGATACATAGATACATAGATACATAGATACATAGATACTATATATATATACAACAAATTGATTAGTAGTGCTTTCATATTTTTCTCGTCCATCCCTTGCTGGCATGATCACCAATGTAGAGCCGTAGATCTAGTTTGTCCCAGCAACATGAGTCACATCCCATGAGATCCCATTGTATCCCCATTCAATGGTTGATGAAATCCGCATAAATCGGCATTTCCTCCGCAATAATGGCCATAAAGAATGTTGAATTCCCATTGCTTTTTGATTAAGAAACCCTATAGCCTACGGTCATCAGCCCATAAAACATAAAATTCCCTTAATAAGTGATTCTTAGGAATAAAACCCTACCATTTTCACACCGGTTCTTGGAAATTCTCATAGTCCATCAACAAATCCTACAGCTATTCCCATAGTTCAGCTTGTAAAATGGATCCGATTCCAGAGGAGAGCCAAAAGCGTGAACTCATGATCATCGATCGCTGCAACTTGACGGTCTCTTGGCTTTTCTTTTTGGAGGTACTTTGATAGGCAAACCAGATGTGATGTATATAGATAGATATACACGTGGGATGATGTGAATATGTATATGTGGGGCATATTCTGTATGTGGGATTTCACACACACAGATGCATATGTATAGATATGTATTAATATGTTTTTTCTTATTATTGTCATTATTTTTATCATTATTATCATATGGGGCATAGTCGTTGTTGCGGGACCGAGGCAAAAGCCCAGGATTTGCCGTGTATATATATATATATGCCATGTATATATTCTCATTCTTCTTATTATTATATGAAATATAATTTTTTTCACACACTGCACAAAGATGCGAGTCTCGCTGCGGCAGATTCCTTGTGAATTCTGACCACTCCTCCCTGAGGAGATGAAATCCATGAGAATGGCCAAAAATGATGTTCATCCATCATGACCGATGTATGCACCAAACAGCTTCCCTGACATGTCTGTGCATTTACGTGTCAGTTCAGCTGGAAGGGCACTATCATCGCACTCCGTGCTGATGATGTCTGCATGCATGGCAAGTGCAATGGCCCTGCACATCGCCGGCGGATATTCTTTGAGCGGCGCCGTATTGAATTGGCCGTTCTGGTCACGTCCTACTGAGACTCCGGTTGGCAGCTGTCCAGATACACGCTGGCAATTCAACTCCTTTTCAAGTCCTCTCATCCCTAAGACAAGGAGAGTCGTTGGTTTAGCTGACGGCGCTCCGAACAACCCCTGCGAGAGGTGAACCAAGCGCATGTTCGGCAATCTCAGGAGGAGCTGCAATATTGGCAACCTCCAAATACTGACCATGTCATCCTGTTCTGGGTCACGCGGGTGTTCCACAAATCCCGTGCCTGACCGGACTGTCAAAGCCGCCATGCCTTGGAATGCAAAGCCCAACAGCAACGTGCCGATGCTGACTTGGCCCAGTTCCTTGAGGCTCATGGATGCCAATCCCCAGGGCTCTGTCGGTGTACGGACTACACGTGGCCCTCTTGCATCGTCTAGCACATGATGGCGTGCGCGACTCCAAGTGTTGCATGGCGGCCCAGCAATGATTCCAACCACATGCCCTTGAACAATGTGACCAATCCAATACTGTCGTGTGGCCGTCTTCGAAATGTCACCATAGGTAGAATCGATGACGACGTCAACAGAAGCCACAAAAATTTGATAGGTAGGATGTTGACGTCCAACTGCGTCAAGATACCACTCGATATCTCCTCGACGACGGCGCCCTGCATAAGCATGTAGAATAACCTTCTGCCGGCTCAGAGAACGTGGCAAAGGTTGTACTTGGCTCCATGGAGTCTCATGTTGATAAGCAAGGTCACCGCACCAATGCTCCCAGTGCGTAATGTCACCAGAGAGGCGCGCACCTTTCTTGGTGCATGTCTGACGCAAAAATGGCCAGGTGTCAACATTCTGCAATGTTTTGATACATTGTCGAACATCATGAAAGGAAAATGGCAAAACCTCTGCATCCTCAACAGTGAACTGGTCAAGGAATTGTTCGAGAGTTCTGTAACACAATGTCCAACTGATAGGGTGTTTGCGTATCTCATCCTTCAGAATCTCCTCCAAATTGGCTGTGCTCTCACAATCAAGCAATCTCAAATAAAGGTCTTCCAAAAGACGGATATCATACGATTCAAATTCTTGCAGTCGTCCTGGTGGGAGCTTTGGCCCTTCAGCTTGCATGAACGGCAATGAGTCATCAACTCGTGCGGCCAAGTCTGAGTCAGCAAGGGAGCCTGTTCCAGGGGCTGGTTGACATAACGAGTGTCTGCCTACAAGAGTGTGTCGGCAGCGAGTCGCATGTCTCAAATGTGCAAGCACCTTGGCTCTCGTATGGTACTCGCGCAGGCATGCTGGACAATGCGTCTCTGCAAATAAGAATCGTGCTTGGGCAATTCTTCCATGTTTGCGGAACATGTGTGCTGCTTCTCCACCGTGCGTCAACTGTCTGCTTTCACATTGCATGCAGCCATAAGAAGCAATCGGATTGGTTTGTTCATTGGCTGCTGGTAAGTTTGCCACCCAACCATGGTCATATAGCAAGCTACCAACTTCTTGATGCAAAATGAGAGCAGTGTGGTAGTTTTCGCGCTGTGCAATGGCATGCGCAATTCCCCTTTTGATCAACTTCTTCCAATATCCTCCATGAAAAACCAAAACATCTTGCCAGACCGGATAATGCGCAAATGGTTCCCCCAAATTGGAGGTGCTGGAAATTTGATCCCATAGCCATGCCAAATCATCGCGAATCAAATTGATCCAAGCTTCATCTTCTTGCAAAACCCCCCAATGTGAACTAGTTCCGCAATTGTGTATCGTGCCGAAGTATCTCAAGCGACAGCTGCGTAAGAGCTCATCAGGTTTGGGCATGCCAGCTCGAACCAAAAGTTCTAGATCATCAACATGTAAATCATGCGGGAGCTTCAGCAATCTTCGATAAAGCTTCATGACACCGCTGAAAAACTGTTCTTTAGATCTCTGACATTGCAGCGTCCAGGATTCCAATCCGTAAACAAGTTTACTGAGCACCAATGTGGTAAACATGTCCTTGCGTTTAGACCACTGAATGCTGGAATTGTGAAAAAGAATTTTCCGGTGAGTGGAGAAGGCTTGATGTGCAATCGCGAGTCTGCGCGAAACTTCAATCCTGTCAACAGTACGATGGTGGAGCAGTCCTCCGAGATGAAGGTATCTGCTGACCACATTGACTTCATAAATTCCTTTTTCACATATCACAGGCAGTGTTGTCTGTGCAGCAAAATATTTTCGCCTGAAAGTTCTGGCTTGGTTGCCACGAAATGTGAACATCACCTCCGTTTTGGACTTCCCCAAATTTGGCTGCATGTACAATTCATGGCATTTGTCGATGAGAATACTGAGAGCCATTCCTGCTTTGCGTTCAATGCCGAGATTGGTATCTGCAGCGATGCAAACATTCAAATCATCCATCCAATTTGGTCCGACGAACGGTATCAGGGAAGCTGGGTCTTGCACATCAGGAAGAGTTTGGAAGCTGGGATATGTGATTTCAGGCACATGTTCCAAGATGTGATGCTGTTCAAGAATGACTTCATAAGACCTCAGTAACTTTGCCCACAAAAAACCAAATATGACGTCAGCGAAACTGTCACCCGGTCTGGAACCGATGGTCGTGTGGACAATGTCATCTTGCTGTCCTATGCGGAACCAAGTATTGGAATGTAATGCTTGGAGCAGCCGTTGGATCACGGGCGAGGCTCCTGCTTCAACAAGGGCGCTGGGCTCAAGCAGTTGCTCATGGAGCTGGTGGACAGCATCCGCATCAAGCTTGAGCTTGGCAGCCATGGCAGCAATGTGTTCATCAGTAAAACATCCTCCTACAGCAAGAGGCCGAACAACGCGATAGAACGCTTCGGTGAGATCAAGGAACACAAGAGCCGTGGGGCGTCCAAGTCGTGTTTGCCATCGAAGGAATGCTCGTGAAAGATGGAGGGGTATGCCCACTGGCATTTTGGGCCGGCCTCCAAGCTGCTGTGATTGCAGAAATCTCGTATAGATGGCATGGTGTTTCTGCCTGAGTGCACGGTGCACAGTTTTCCCAATATGGCTTGACACAAGCAGTGATCGGTGGTTTGCACAGTCTCTTACATCTCCTTTCTGTTTCCATGCAATAGCAAGTCTGCCTCCTTTATGCTCAATGGCTTCTTGGCCAAATAGGAGAACCTTTAACATCATGGAGTATGTGAGTCGTGCCATCGAAGTGGCCTGGTATCGACAGATCTCTGGCGGGATTCCGTCTTCACCCACTGCCTTGCCCACGGCAACTCTGCGATAAGCCGCCTCAAGTTCGACCAGACTGGGCACCTCAGAGACATTGACACTAAAGGGTCCTGTGTTGCGAAATTGAGCAAGGCCTTCAAGCCACCATTCCCGATATTTTCTAATGGGTACTCTGTCACCTCCTTCCATTTGGCAGAAAAACTCTATCCATCTGTTCTCAGCCTCTGTCGGAGTTTTGCAGATCTGTCCATCGCTTTGGCGAACAGCAGGCAGGCAAGGTCGTTTCTGCTTTTTGGGATTCGACGAGCCAAGAAATGGTCGCAATCTGTGAAGAATCTCACCAGCTGCCGTCTTGTCGTTCATTTGATCCAGTTCTTCTTGCAAATGTCGTTGCTTGCTTCGTTGCAATGCAATTTTCAAAGTCTTGGAAATCACAAAGTAACGGCAATTGAGGTGAACCAATGAGCATAGAACTGTGTCAACATGTCTGTCATGCATGGCCACTACATGATGATGCGGTGGTGCTTTATAGGTTCGACTGGTTTTCCAAGCCCAAAACATGAGTCTGACAGAGTCAAGGCTGTGCTGTTTACGGGCATAGCTGAGTCTTTTCTTCAATTGCAATTTGGTCCTTCGAAGATTCCATACATCTGCATTGATGCACGTCTTCTTGCAATCATTCTTCGATTTTGGGCAGGTGGAATGTAAGGTGCTTCGTATTTGCTGGTTGAAAAGAAGCACTTGCGTCTCAATATCTGCATCCCAAGCGGCAACATGAAGATTTGTGAGATCAATTTGATCTTTCACAGCATGGATTTTGTGTCGATCAAATGTCCCTAGGGTTTTTGAATGACGGGATGGCATTGGCAATGGCTGTGTCCATTGGATTTGGACTACAACTGCGCAATGGTCTTCAAAGCTGTCTCCAGGGCCAAATTCATCGAGCACAGTGGACGCCGTGCATCGTGCAAGTTCACGCTGTGGGATGGCTATGTAATCAATTCTGTGCTGAGATTGTCCATCAATGGCTACCCAAGTTTCATGTTGTCCAAAATGTAGGTCGGTGGTGCAAGGCAAGCACAAGCCGCTTTCATGCAGAAATGTGCAAAACATGTCCGTGTTGGCAGAAGAAACATCATCATTATCAAAAATGATCGGGGGCTGACTTGGTCCAGTCTTGGCATTAGCATCCAAAAGAACATACA